CGATTCTTGTGATAGACCAAGCGTTCATTTTTGACAGAACCCAAATCAACCAAACTGAACTAGTACCATTTGTATATGAATATTTTCTGTAACTAAAATATGCAATTCCACCGCGATACGTCACAGCCTTCCATGTCTGTGTATCTTTTCATAAATACTACTTAAATTTACTAGAAAACCTTCACATATATATATATATATATATATATATTTCGACAATATTTATCTTATGGTTGACATAATTATTGGTGTCACCATCATCACCCATCTAGAGCTTCAATAGTTTGTAATGAGCTGTGTTCGTTGTTCGCGATCTCCCAAACTTCAAATAACAGAAGAGCCATTAGAAAATTCACTTCAACTGGGTGGAATGTACGTTTTTATAGAGGCGGCGGATTTGGACAGGCGAAGACAATACAACGATAGTAGTCTACAATTAATTAAGTAAACACATAAAAATTCGATATTTGTTAATATTCAGAGGCGAAATAATTATAAAATTTAAGAAGGTTAAGTTTCTATACTCTGGTAAATCTTACTTATGATATTTTGAGCTGTGTTAATAATTCGCCAATACACGTCCAAAGAAAAGAGAAACTCATTATTTTATTTTTAATTTCTAGAAGCATAGAATGTCATCTGCTGTCTACTTCTGTGATAACAAAGGGAAACCAATTCTTTCGAGAAGATACAAGGACGACATTCCCTTGAATGCAATTGATAAATTCCAAGTGGTATTATCAGATCTTGAAGAAGAGTCGAGTGTTATTCCCCCCTGCATTACACATAATGGGATTCAATATTTGTTCATTCAACATAATGATTTATACATTGTTTCATTAGCCACGTCACTGGCAACTAATATTGCTGAGATTTTCACTTTTTTACATAAGATGATGGATATCCTAGGTGAATATCTGAAGACTGTGGAAGAAGAGTCCATTAGAGATAATTTTGTAATTGTTTATGAATTATTGGATGAGATGATGGATTTTGGTATTCCTCAAATTACGGAGACAAAGATGTTAAAGAAATACATTACACAGAAATCGTTTAAACTAGTGAGGGCAGCCAAGAAGAAAAGAAATGCAGCAAGACCTCCAAGTGAATTGACCAATTCAGTCAGTTGGAGAGCCGAAGGAATCAAATATAAGAAGAACGAAGCATTTTTAGATATTATAGAATCTATTAATATGTTAATGACACAGAATGGGAAAGTTCTTAGGTCCGAGATCTTGGGTAGTGTTAAAGTAAAATCGCGGTTATCTGGTATGCCTGATTTGAAACTTGGTATTAATGACCGTGGGATTTTCACTAAGTATCTAGATGGTAATAATATAGGGGTCAATTTAGAAGAATCAGAGCTATCAAGCAAAGGAAATGAAAGTTCTATTACTAGTAGTAGCGGTAAGACCAAGACCAATATTGAATTGGAAGATTTAAAATTTCATCAGTGTGTGAGATTAAGTAAATTTGAAAATGAAAAAATAATTACATTTATTCCTCCGGATGGTGAGTTCGAATTAATGAATTACAGATTAAACACTATGATTAAACCCTTGATTTGGTGTGATATGAAAGTGAAAGTACATTCAAAATCAAGAATTGAAATATTTTGTAATGCAAAAGCACAAATAAAGAAGAAATCTGTTGCGACAAATGTCGAGATTATAATACCCGTCCCCGAGGATGCCGATACACCCACATTCAAATATTCACATGGTAAGATTAAATGGGTTCCTGAACAAAATGCTATTGTATGGAAAATCCATACATTCCCGGGTGGTAAGGAATATGGAATGTCTGCAGAATTATTATTACCATCAATAAATAATGAAGAGGAGCCAAAATTTAAGAGACCTGTACAAGTGAAATTCCAAATTCCATATTTCACCACATCAGGTATTCAAGTACGTTATTTGAAGATCAATGAGCCTAAACTTCAATACAAGAGTTATCCATGGGTTCGTTATATAACACAGAACGGTGATGATTACACAATAAGGCTTTCATGATAAATAAAAATATAGATATACATAGATAACTACATGGATAGATATAAAAATCAAACCAAAGATATGTATCAGATATATCTGCATCTATTTTATTTTAAAAAAAAGAGGTATTGAAATGTGTACAGTTTAAATCTGGGTATATATATATATATACAATAGTAGTTTAGATAGAGAGCATAAAGGAAAGTATATTGAAATGGAGGGTTGATGATTGAATAGAATGAAATGGTGGTAGTACATGCCTGTCTGACAAGAGCGAAACAAAAACAAAAATTCATCAATTTTATAAGAAGTCTATGAGGCGAGAGTGGAAATAGGATAAAAAAAGGATATATTATATTATATTTATCATGAAGGTTCATATTGTTCATTATTTGAAGATGGAAAAAAGAAAAACTATAGAATTTGGTTTGATTAATAATAATCGTTACCTTCTTCATAATTATCTTCACTATCTGAATCATCCCCACCTTCCCCATTTTCTTCTCTTTCTTCTGCTTCTACTTTTAATTCGTGCATAATATCAAAACAACTTGCTAATAGAGCATTCAATATACCTTGACCTTCTGGAATATTCCCATCGGAATCATAAAATTTCCCATCCTTACGTAAATTATCCAAGGATGTTAATTTCATTATATATGGATACAACTCTCTTTCATTATTAACACCACCCATTCTTTTCAATTCTAGAAGACAACGACGTACTGTAGACAATTGGTTGTGGATTGGTTGTAAGGATTCAGAGACAGGTTCGGAACTCTCCAACAGTTTATAGATGATGGTGTAACATCTTCTCAATAGGTACAATAAGATAGATTGACCCTTTGAATTGGCAGTCACATTACCATCACTAGTTGGAAACTTCCCATTTATTCTCTTTGCGTCCACTGCGCTTAATCTCTTTTGATAAGAAAACAAATCAGTTTCTCTTAAAGTCCATCTTCTAGTGATCATTAAATTTTCCAAAGTAGTCTTAATATCTATTAATTCATCATAAATTTTTTGTAAATTTTCATCATTAAATAAAGTAATAGCATTATCAGTGGAATTATTAGGATGATGAGATAAGTCATTAATCAAGTCATGACAATCATCAACAAGACCATTCAATACGTTTTGGCCTTGATCTGAAGCCATATTTGTCTCTAAGGATCTGAAGTTACCATTTTCATCTCTATTATTTTCTAAATCAGTCAATTCTATTTGTAAAGATTCTAATTTTTTTTGTACAATTTCTCTAGAGATTCTAGTATTAGTCGATTCCGAATTATTTTCAACTTCTAATCCTACAGAAGATAATTTATCATCATTCACAGGAAAAGATAAATTTTTATTGGATAAAGTAACTAAAGATAATAAATTTCTTCTAATTTGAAATAATTTTTCCATTAAACTAGCCAGACTTGGATCAATGGATTCCAATTTTGATTCAATTTCATTATATAAATTCAAACAATGACATAATTTAGCCTTTAACAATAAATCCTGTTCAATTTTATTTTTATTTCTTTCAGTGTCGATCTTTCTAAATTCTTCACTCAAGGATTCGTCCTCTTCCTTATCACTGTCTCTTTTCTCATCAGCACAACTTTCATCCACAATCTTACTGATTTCATCCAACCTCTCCTTGATAGGTCTCAAATCATGATGTGTATAAATACGAGATTCTTTTAAATGTTCCAACAGGGATTGAACGGTAGATAGCGATGCATAAGTTGCCGGAGCCGATTTCTTTAAGCCCACAGTTAGGAAGCATAGCGATAACAATTGGAACACGTCATCGAGGATGGAGTCCACACGATTGTGCAATTCCGAGTTATGGATTAACGTGACACCAGTGGCCTCCTTATGATTAATCTTTCTAATATCATCTAATTCACGGACTTTTGTTAGCACATCTTGATAAGTGTGTTGGACGTCTTTTGAATTTAGGTATTTGTCTCTGTTTTGTTTCACTTTGGATAGAGAACCCCTTACTTCGATAAGATAATTAAGAATTTTATTTTCTTCCTTTGGAACCTCTTGGTTTTGTTCATTCGACGACATACTGCTGATGTTGTTGTATGTATCTAATCCTTCAAGTAAGTAAATGAGAGTGGGGGAAAAGAAAGTGTTTAGTTTAAATGATATTGAATAGTAATAACTGCCATCTCTTTGAGTGTAATAACAAAAAAAATATAAAAGAGCAGTTCAAGAGTTGTGGTTAAGATATGAATAAGCGATAATGGTAATAGTAGTAATAATAATACAACCGTTTCACCCCCTGCCAATAAAAGTCAAATACAGACAAAGCGAACTGAGCTAATAACGATTTTCTCTCAAATGGAAGAAAAAAGACGAAAATAGAAGAGGGTGTCGTGTCGCGTGATGTGCCAGTGAAACAAGAAGAGACCAAGAGAGAATAGATACTATAAAAGTGTGTTTATTGCACTGAGATCGATATGATATATATGTGTATATATATAATGTGTATGTGTGTGTGTGTTTAGTCCTGGTCTGGGTTGACCACCGTTAGGACGTTCCCATTGTTTGAACCTGGTTGTCCTGTAAATATTGAGCCAGTCGATATTCTCTTTGAATCGTCGAATGGGTTACTAATGTTGTTGTTGCTGCTGCTGTTATTAATATTATTATTGTTGTTGCTGTTGATATTATTATCATTATATGTCATATTGTCGTTATTGTTATTATTATTGTTATTGTTATTGTTGTTATTATTATTCATTAAGTTTTGATTAATATTACCTGTTGATCCACTTGATCTGAACATTCCATCTTCTTTATTATTAGCGTCAAAACTACGACTTCCATGAGATGATAAGGATAACGTATCAGCAGCGACATTATTTGGTTTATATTCCACTGGTTTAATTGCTTCTTGATATTCTTTTTCCATTCTATCTTCTTCCTTTTTCATATTGTAATGTCTAACTCCAAACAAAGCAATAATTGCAATAACGATAGCACCGACGACCCCGCCGACGACTCCACCAACGATCGCACCCACATTAGTTTTCTTCTTGGAACCATTCCCATTAGTGTTATCATTAGTAGTAGTGCCATTGTTACTTGTACCAGTAGCAATCGCGCTTTTAGTAATAGTGTTAGTTACAAAGATCGTTGAACCACCTTCGGTATGGAAAGTAGTTGAAAATACCACCGATGTAGAAGCAGCCGAGTCTGTCACTGACGTAATAGGAGACGAAACCACATCAGATGAAGATGACGCTAAGATATTCAATTGGGAGCCCAGGGCAGATACACTATTATGAGTGGAAGATGAACCTGAAGACGTCGACGACGATGACGATGAAGAGGAAGACACTGACGAAGAGGATGAAGAAGAAGTATCTTCATCGTCTGTTTCACCCGTCGAATAAACAGAATACGAAGATTCACCACCACACATATCTGAGTTATAACCATAACAATAAGTGTCACACGTACCTGTAGCCGATTCGGTATCAGCGGGGTTTTCATTTCCACAATAGCAATTAGCGTGGTTAGCTAAAGCGAAATAAGAATAGCCTTCACATTTTCCTTGACAATACGATTTAGTTTGGTATGCATACGTATTGATTAGACTGAAGCTTGAAGGCAGACTTGAATAGCAACCCAGCAGGGTGACGACGCCGCTGTCATCAGCTGTTGTCAGTGTCAGATACGACGACAGAAGGATTGTGATGGACAGTATATTTATGAGCAATCTTTGCATCTTTTATTATGATTGTGAGAGTGTGTAGATAGAGAATATATGATAACGACGGACTGCAAAGAGTGTGTCTTTCTGAGTGTGTCTGTTTATGACTGTAAGTGAAGGGATATGTGGTTGGATATATAGTGTTCAGCAGTAAGAATCGATCCATCCATCGAACCAGTATATATTTACTTGTTTGTTGAAGTTCATCAATAAAAATATCAACCAGAAAGAGAGAACGAAATCGAAATCGAAATCGAAATCGAGAAAAAGTTTCTTGGGAGACACCGAAAATCCAATCGTTGTGTGCGAAGCCTGAAATCACAATAGCAATCACAATAACAAACCCGTTTCTGTATGCATTCGCACAATAACAACAAAAGCGAAAAAGCGAAAAAGCTGCTTGCGCTCTGAGGCGTCACTGTGCACGGCAGCGAAAGCGAGGGCCCGGGCCCGCATTCCGTGTGCGGTGTGTGGGTGCACGCAACGAGAATTGTATTCGGCGGGTGCTGCCCAACGCGAAAAGATTTATTATTTTTGGCGTCTCTGGCGGCGCGCGCTGCGGGACGCCAAAAGAGCGGCCGTTGCAAGTGACAAGAATATACACACAAATATAGATAGATAGAGAGTTGTGTAACTGTCTACGAAGCCGAGGCGGTAGCAGCGGTAGTGGATACTATTGTGGTGGTGGTGGTGGTTCGCCTCACGATATCTGATGGTATATCGTCAAATGGAAGTGTATCGGATATCGGTATCGACTCAGGCCTGTTTTTGACCTTGTATATATATGTATCAAGCATACATGTATATATATATACATATTTATATATCTGGACTGGACTGGACTGGACAATGGTTCAATTGTATATATACACGTTTCTATAATAGACAATACACATGACTCCAGGTATTCTTCTTGTTGTTAGGGTATCGTTATTATATGTCATACACGCACACGCACCCACACACATCTACATATAGGTGTACCCATTAATAACATCTCATAGTATTTATAGATTCTGTCTATCAACTACACAACCTGCACCTCAGTCGTGTCTCCCACCATCGCAAACAGGTGTCTCTATCTCTATCACTATCAACGTCGCGCCCCCGCCCCTCTGAGATACAACATCCAAATATGTAATCACGATTCTTATCCGTTTTCGGAGTAAACAACTCGCGGCCGCTTTTTACCGTTTTGGGTCCTCGTCTTGTCTCGCTGACCCACGCCCACTGTTCGGCAACTGCTGCACGAACAGCGGGACACACAGCGCGCGCTCCCTCGCCGGCTGCCTCGCCTGCCCAGGGTAGCTGCTCTGCACTAACTGTTTATGTAACGAAATTTGGTGAATTTGGTGAAATTGATGAAATAAGATGGCGGTGACTCGTTTCTTAATTTGGTTTCATTCTGGCAATCTTTTTCAAATGAGGAAGGAATGCACCAGATACCTTTTTGAGATCTACATTATTCTCTTCTTCTCTCTCTTTTCCAGATTTAGATTCAGATTCAGCTTCGGTACTAAAGTTCTGTTGAGGTCCCTGACAGAACTTGCTTCGTTGTACTGACCTTTTTTACATGTGTATATATTCTAAATAACGACTTTTGGAGAGGAAAAAAGAGAGAGAGAGCTGACTATTTTCTTGATGGGGTTGCAGTGTTAGGTATATGTCCTTTCTATATATCTTTGTTTTGTTTTGTTTTATTTTGTTTATTCTATCTTTAGTTGGTGTTGGTGTTGCTGTAGTATTTTTAGGAGACAAAACAGACTTCCAAATAATATATTCTTTCTTGTCCCCCCTTTCCTCATCATATATAAGCAAGCACTCATTCTCTTCTTATCTAGATATTCTGTTATTCTCTTCTTTCCTCTCTCTCTCTCTTCTTACTATTCTCTTTTATATTTTACCTACAATACATCATCCAACAAATCAACCTTTTCCCCTCGCTTTTAATTAAATTCAAAATAAAATGTACGCCAAGACTCTACTATTCCTAGCTGCCGCCGCTCTAGCTCAAGCTCAAACCGCTTCTCAAATCGCTGAATTAAACGTCATCATTGCCGATGTTAAGAACAACATGGGTGACTACACCTCCCTAGCCACTTCTGGTTCTTTGTCTCTATCCGACTTGCCAGCCGGTATCATGCCTCTAGCCATGGCCGTTCAAACCGCCACTGACGACTCATACACCACCCTGTACTCTAACGTCGACTTCGACGCCGTCTCCACTTTCTTGACCAAGTTGCCATGGTACTCTTCCAGACTAGAAGGTGCTATTGAATCCGCTACTGCCGGTGCCGCTGGTGATGACTCCAAGACCACCTCCACTGCTTTGGACCAAGCCACTTCTTCCGTTGCTGCTGCTTCCTCTGCTGCTTCCTCCGTCAGTGCTTCTTTGATCACCGCCGCTGTCTCTTCCGACGTCTCTGGTGCTGCTGCCACTGAAACCGCTTACTCCTTCAGAAACACTACCGTTACTGTCTGTGAAGCCACTTCTTGTCACGTCACTTACGTCACTGAAACCGTCTGTAACCACCCAGAAATCTGTCAAGCTAAGACCACCGTCCCAGCCACCACTGTCACCGAAACCATCTGTACTCACCCAGAAATCTGTGGTTACAAGAACGGTACTCAAACCTCTGCCGCTAAGAACGGTACTAACAACGGTGCTGGTAAGACCACTGCCGGTCTACAACAACAAACTGCTAACGGTGCCGTCAAGGCCGTTGCTGGTCTAGGTGCTGGTGCTCTAGCCGCCGCTGCTCTATTGTTATAAGCAGAATGTCTTTTTATATTTCTCCTTTTCGTTTGAAATTTTCAGGTCTCTCTATAGTAGTCTCCAATCTATCTAAACACTTAAATTATTGAAAGATATGATTGAACTGCTCTTTTATTTTTTATTCTAGTTAAATTAAATATCCAACATATAATAATAGTAATATACAATATATCGTTAAAAACAAAAATTATTTACTGCTACTATATTAGACTTACATACCTGCCTCTCAATATTTATTCGTTCTACACTTCGTAAGACCTGATGGATGACTAAACATGCAACAACGATCTTTGGAATGACACACCAGAACGGGTTCATTAACATTCCACTAATATATAGATATATACATGAGTATATGCATCAAATAAATTGTTATCAGTATTATTATCAGTATTATTTGTGTCATTCAAACAGAAACAACTTAGCACATTCGGCCGAACCGCTCTCTCTGACGCCGTCTCTCCCTGCGTTTATTTTATCTTTTTCGGATCCGAGATTCTTTTGTGTGTGTGTGATGTGGGCGCAAGGAATAGTTTACCGTTTGCCACTCTCCGTTTGAACAGATCTCTGAATATTCATGTATATATAAGGGTCCTTTGTAAACTTTTTTAAGAAGATTATGTAATTGTCACTAGTAGCTTTTTTGCTGTTGGTGCATTCTTTCTAACAACCCCGATTATACTGTAACAACAATCAATACATTACAATAATATGAGTGCTTTAGTGTTAGGTGCTACAGGTTTATGTGGTGGTTTCTTCCTTAAATTTACAAATGCTTCTGCAAAATTATCAAAAGTTTATTCAATTACTAGATCTAAACCTTCAATTCCAATCGATGAACAAAAAGTGAACCTGATTATGAATAAAGACAGTGAAAACTGGGATAAATTAATCCAAGACTTAGATGGTGACGTTCAATACTTATTCACTGCTTTGGCAACTACTAGAGCCGCTGCAGGCGGTACCGACAAACAATATGCAATTGATCACGACTTAAATATGAAATTGGCTCAAGCAGCAAAGGAGAAAGGTTGCAAGACTGTCGTGGTAGTAAGTTCCATGGGTGCAAATGCCGATTCGTATTTCTTTTATCCAAAGATGAAAGGTGAAATTGAAAACGATTTAATTGCAATGGGGTTTGAAAAAACTATTATTCTAAGACCTGGTATTATCTTGGGGGATAGAGGTAATACAGCACATTCTGGTGCAGGGAATGGGTTGGCAACTACTTTAGGTGGAATGTTTTACAGATCTAGATTACAAAGATGTATGGCTTATCCAGTTGAAGCAGAAGAGATTAGTAAAGTCGGTGTCCATTTAGCATTGAATGATGATGATTCAAAGGAAAAGGTTAGATTTGTTGAAAGTAAAGAAATCCTTGAAATTGCCGCTAAGATTAAAGATTTGTGATCAATTAATAACATACATATGTATATATGTATGTATAAAGATGTAGAAATAGTTTATTATAACAAAATTTAGAAAATTATAATTAATATTAATATTAATTTAAAGTTAGTATTTAAAATTATAAAATGGTTAAAAGTACGAATAGATGAATATATCGTAATAAGTTTCAATCTTATAACAACAGAGCAACGGCAGCAAGGGCACCAGCACCTAGACCAGCAACAGTCTTGGCAGCACCGTTAGTGGTTTGTTGAGAAACAGCAGCAGTTGTAGCAGTAGTGGAAGAGGAAGAGGAAATTGCAACAGTGGTGGAAGCAGTAGTGGAAGCAGTAGTAGAAGCAGAAGCAGAAGTGGTTTCGGCAGCAGAGGAGGATTCAGCAACTATGGAAGACGAAGTGGTGGCTTCAGCAGCAGATGAAGATGCAACAGCAGATGATGCATCAGCAGATGATGCATCGGCAGTCAAAGTGTACAAAGCAGCAGCAATCTCGGAAGATAGTCTGGTAGAGTACCATGGTAGAACAGTCAACCAGGTTTCGACAGCATCCATGTCGACGTCATCGTACAAAGTGGTGTAAGAGTCATCGGTAGCAGAGGCAACAGCTAGACCTAGGGATAGGACACCAGTTGGTAAATCACTTAAGGAGATGGTACCGTCAGTAGCTAGTGCCATATATTCAGAGATGTTGTTTGAAACATCGCTCATGATAGCCTTCAATTCGGCGATTTGGGTGTCAGTGATAGCATGAGCTAGAGCAGCTGAGGAAGCTAATAGTAGAGCAATCTTGGAGTACATTATTATTTTAATATTGATATTAAGTGAGTGGACAAGTTTTCAATTGAGAAAGTGTTTGATGTGTTATTATTATTTTTTTTACTAGATTATAGAACAACTTACAAATTTGAATCTTATAACAATATTTGGTCCCTTTATATACGTCAACTTTTGGATATCTTTTATTGAAAACCATAAAAAAGGTTCAACAAAAAATGCTGGCCTGGGAAAGTATGACAGACATTTTAATGTAACTTATAAGGAATTTAATCAATCGTATAGAAATAAATGTTATCTTACGTTAACAGCATTGCACACAACTGGTCTTTCCCCTTGCACCAACAAGGTGAAATCAATCATTGCGACACACTTTTTTCTATACAGATTATACGTGTGTAAAGTTTATCTTGGCATAAAGTGGCTGAGGTGAATAAACTAAATATTACTTCGTCATCCCTCTTATTAGTCTATGTGTGTGTGCGATGCATTTCCTCTTTTTCACTGGCATTGTTGTGCATTTTGGATGAATAACTTTTCTTTTTCATTTTTGCCAAGAAAAAAATTATACTTTACTTAATTCTCTAGGAAACGATTAATTTCCTCATCTTGCATTATAGTCGTGTACCGTATATTCGTGCCAAGAAAGAAAAAGTATTATATATTTCAGTAAGTTGACAGAGAGACTCCCATGTAGATTTACGGAAAAGATAGATAGATAGATAATCAGCATCTTTGCTCAGCCTTGTTTTCTTGTTTGAACTCTCCAGAACAATAAACAAGGCCATTTTAGAAGATGATTTATTCCAATGGTGTGGATTTAGATGACATCCGTGGAATATAATCAAAATGACCATTGATATAGTCTCCTTCTTTCTTTCGATTTCTTCTCTCATTTCCTCAACATCATCAGGCCTAGAACTAACTTTCATTAAGGTAATATTACGAACACTTTGTGATCTACAATATCTACTACAATAGTACTAATTTTCTCATGTTCCTAAACCCATTTTGAAGAATTAATACCCTCTTGTTTACTATATGATGTCCGATTGGTATATATTGTACAAACTAGTACAACGTAATCAGTAGCATAATATTCAGACTCGTCAAATAGGCACGTAATGATGTTCTTCTATATTGTACATGATATAAAACCGTTCCAGTAAAAATTTCTAATAAACTAGATATCCATCATTACACCGTGTTCGTTTGTTCTCGTATATTGATCAATATGTGTGTAATCGTTCATGTTTCACAAAGGTCTAGACTACTGTTGTCATTGCTTCCATCTTATTATTTAATTTGTATATTATATTATTTTTTTTAAAATTACTTACAAGAAATTATATATAAGGATATTTATTAGTTTTGTTTATTTTTGGAATAGAAGAGGAAGTGCGATATTTTGAAAGTTTGCACCTCACCAACCTTCCCAAATGATGGAAACAGAAAAAGGAAAGAATAGTAACATTATTGGTTCGCGATATCATATGTTGTTGTTTTTAAATTTCTTTGGGAAATATTCTTCATTCTGAATAATAAACCTTTCTAATATCGACGATTTTTTTACCTCTACCTAAAGCAATTTCATTTAAAGATCTTTGTCCCTCGGTCAATGCTTCAATTAAACCTTTAGCAATATTCATATCATTTCTTGATTTGTAAACTTTTGCACTTAGGTCTTTAATACCTAATAATTGACAAATTTCAAATATTATGTGATTGACTCTTAAACCAAACCCAGGTTCTTTTTTCCTTAAAAACAATTTAACACCATGATATCTATATTCCAAGTCAGAAAATATAGTTCTATTTTCATATCTTGGTACATATTTCAAGTTTCTAATTGCATCCCAGTGAGCTTTATAGATAGATGTAGACATATCATTTCTTGATTTACCTTCTCCAAGACCAATCATACCATTTTGATCACCAACAATTACCAAAGCATAAAACGATGCGATCTTACCTTTACCAGTTTGATTCGAAACTCTTTTTAACACTAATGGTTTCATCTTTAAGGTCTTTGTAATGTAATCCGGTTCAAACCCGGTTTGTTTACTGATACCTTGAGCCAAGATAATATTCTTAGAAATTTTACTCTGGGTGGCCAATGCTTTCACTTCTGGTGGATAAGTGTTATCAGGTATCTCTGGAGTTTTGTAGTTATATGGGTTGTATGTGTATTGTTCCGGGTTTGCTGAAGAATGAGAGTTTGGTAAATTTGGATTATAATCCCAAAATGGATGTAATTTAGTATAATCATCTTCATATGCAGATGCAAACCTAAAATCTTTTCTTTGACTTAGATCAACAGAATCCGGGATGGTATCCTGTGCTAATTTGATCGATTTCAATAGATGTGCCGGATAATATTTAGCCAGCAACTCATCATTGGTTTGGGTTAATGCACGGAACGTCTGAGAGAATTGTCTCTGGAAAAGAAATCTCCTAACAGACATCTTATATTTGTTATTAAGCTAACCTAGGGTGAAAATGGTGGGGAATAAACGAAGAAACAGAGTTGTTATTTGTTTTTCAGTCCAATTTAATTAATCTCTTAACACTCAAACCAGTTCTTTCTATATATATATGAACGTTATCCCTTTCCTTCTCTCTTTTGAAGTCCCCTTATGCAATATTTTAAGTCTTTAACTCTGCATAATTGCAATATTTTTGTTTTTTTGGCTCTATGGATATTTCCAAATTTCAACGGGTAAGAAAAGTAAAAAGTTGGAGGTCGCCTACGGTACAAGGTCGTTGTATACGATGTGCATATATAACTACACCCTAGTATATCAATTTAATATGAGAAATCTATGTTACAATTGCATCCCGTAAATGCTTATATATTGAATATCGTAATAAAATTGTTATGTATAGTTAATTAATCCTAAATAGATGTAATAACTTCCACTAGGTAAAAGAGAATAAATAAAAATAATACGCCTTCTCTCAATAACCTTTCATTGCGCCAAGTATATTTATAACCATATCAGTATAGGGTTATTTATTTAAACAGCCAGTTAAAAGACTAACCTCATAACAACAACTATTCCACACACATATAGATATTGATTGATTGATTATAAGCCTCATCACCAACAAAAGAAACCCTACCTTTATGGGCCCACACACTACCATCACTCAACACGGCATACCCTAATGGAGTACATAGCACAATATAAGCCGTTTGGGTATTTCCCATTTTTGCATTTCCCGCTTAGCAAAGATAAATAAAAGATTAAGAAAGAGTGGGATGGTGGCATTCTTCCCCGTGGGATGAATGCGACAACGTCAGGGGGAGTAGGAGAACTATCACCGGGATGGAATGAACTGACACTTCCTCAATATCAAAATGATAAATAAGAGGGGGAGGGCCTACCGTGTCACTACTTTTCATATTAAGCTACAGGAATTCTTCCATTGTTTATCTAAAACTCCTCGTGATAGTTCTTGCTTAAAGGCCTTGCTTAATTGGGCGACGTAAACTAAGGAACCGTGGCATAATAATAAATTCATTGCGGCATGAATGTTGCCCGGAAGCGGAAAATGGTAGAGTTTGTACAACAATTGTTTTAAGAACAATGCTTGAGAATGAAAATATATTCAGAACGCATTACTCAATTGTAAGTATTGCGTTTTTTGGGTAATCTCTTGAACAATAGTAATCTCTTGTTTAAATATGTTTTGGGGGGGGGGTTCTCATTTTACTTGCGTAAGCAATTGTTCGACTATCATTTAAGGAAAGATAGGATAAAAAATAATAATTTTTTACTCCCGTTGGATATAGTCCAAAAAGAAATACAATGTGCAGAAAAATGATCAACAATTACTTGCTAGTTAAACTATTGTTTTCCATATTGTTTTTATCAGTTCATTATGAACAAACCGTTACAAAAATCGTCTAAATTTGTACGTACTTCTCGTAACAAAATAGGGACCTTAACTTGTTACGATTATTTAGTAAACTTGATCTTTAATGGATCATCAGTTGATTTACACCCCATAATGGAGGATTTGCAATGGGTTCAATAAAGTTAAATATACCGCATTTTGTAGATTTGGTGATAACAGCTGCATTGAAAAATTAGGGCACGTGGAAACAATGTCAACAAATTTAATATAAATAATATCACCAATTCCCTATTATCCTTGAATGCATATGCTAAAAGAAGAATGGGTGTATTCACGTCCTTACCATACACCAGAATCGTGTCTTCCTTTGATATATTCTTAAATTAAGTTAAAATATAAGGTGATTTATCATAAAGTTGCAGGGTGAGGTCCTTCTTATGCATATATTTTGACAAAGGCAATTTGTCTTGTTTCTTACACAGTAATATTTATCAAATTACTCTTTTAATAAACTATATATGCAGTTGTTGTTGTTGCTGTTTTTAAACTGTGACGTGATTTTAAATTAATAGATTATATTAAAATATACATGGGGTCTCCTCCTCAACAAAAAAAGAAGATAGTAATTTGGTAATAAAATATATATGACGAAAATATAGTGTTACTGATGAACGTGTATAAGATTAGTTTTCAATAGAAATAAAAAAAAATGGAATATAGTTACTTTGCTTCTTACAAGCTAATGAAACTAAGCACTTGAGTGAATCTCATTAGTGTATTAGCTGTTAAGAAGAGTAGAAAATGAGGATAATGGTTATGATGTAGCAGTAGTAATGCAGAAAATGTATAACATTTAGTTGTTTGATCTCTTCTTTAATTTACAGTATGTACATGGTTCTCTTTGTCTACGTCTTTGTCTACTATGATGGCCAGATGTCTCATCAGAATCACTGTTGGAATCCTGGGATTCCATTAGTTTTCTAGGAGCATACTTATAATCTGGATATTTTTGTTTGTGCATCTCTTTTTCCTTTTGAGCTAGGTCCTGCCAGTATTTCTTTTCATCAGCAGGTAGTTGTCTCCAACGTTTACCAATTTCTCTAGATACTTCAGAGTTGGTCTTGAACGAACCTTGCGTGACCAACATGTATCTATCTTTTGGGAAAATTGAATAATGAAGATGTTGTCTAAATAGAATGAAAGCATTTCTAGGTCTTGGAATATGTTCAGCAGAGCCTGGGCTTTTCTTACATGTACATTTCTTTAAAGATTTTTGATTACCAATAACAGAAGTAGAAGTAGATGCTGAGGAAGATGATGATGTTCTAGAAGAACAATGGGATGAAATAGACGATGGAGAAGCAGGCATGATCTTAGTCATTTCGGTACTGTAATCCATTTGAGTACCATCATGGATCATGCCGCCGTTGTGTTCGTAGTATGCAATTGGAGGCACTTTATGTAAAGCAGGGGTCGGTAATTGGTTGTAAACTGGGACACGAGTAGACATATGCATAATTGGTTGTTGATATCTTGGAACGTCTTGCGTTTGGACAGATAATGATTTTAGAATATGAGCAGATCTAAGAGAATCCATATTGGTCACCTGTGGACCAGCTACAGGTGAAATGAACCCATTAACTTGCATGTATGGTTGATATTGTGGCATTGGGGTTTCATAAGAAACATTGTATTGACCACCATATGGTTCCCTATACAAGGGTGTATTGATAGCGATAGGGGTACTCACTGGGATGGGAGCCGACCCTGAAGTGGAGTACATGGTGTGGTAGGAGTATGAAGGTTGTGTTGGTGGAGCTGGTGGACCAGATTGTGGGGGTTCTGGTTTTTGCTCGATGTTCGAGAGCAGTATTTGAATGCTTGGTAAGTTAACGTTTGCTTGACTAGTCATTGTTGTAAAAAGAGAAGAAAAATGGGTATTGTTTTTGTTTTTGTCTCAGGTTTAGAGTAACGGGATGCTAAATGATTCTCGAAGATACTATTTTTTTATGTAGAAATAAAAGAAGAAAAAATGAAACGTAATCAAGTTTGTGGGTTGAATTTGTTTAAATTACTAAATTATAGATAGATGCCAGCTAGAGTATAAATTTATATCAATTTTTTTTTTCTTTTTTGATTTTGATATGTCAAAGAACAAATTTTAAATTAAATAACTAATAATTTTAAATTGATGTAGAAATAAGAAAATATGAAGTTCAGACAGACATATGTTAGAAATATCAAAATAAAAGGCTAACCTTTAGTGTTTTTATATAAATTTAAATAAATAAATGCACTTTTAATAAAACTGATATTTTTTTTACCTCTTGAAGAAGGGAGAGAAGAGGGATGGTAGTATAATTTCATCACACTCACTTGATTAAAATAATATAAAGTAAGGAAGAAGTAAAAGAAGAAGAGGGAAAAAAAAAGATAATTAATTAATATGATCTACGCCCGAATGATGTGTAACATGTAAGTTGATTACCATCAGTTTACCTACAATTGTTCGGCCAGAATAGACAGCTTGGTTACGTGAGAGAGGGATAGAAGAACTCAACTAAATGAAGAAGAAAAAGCAGTAATTTAAAGAAATAAAAAATAAAGAGTTATGCACTGATCAGTTTTGAATTTTTCTTTATCGTATTACCATTCTGGACAAAAGTTTAAAATTTATCTTTCATATTCAAAATGGTTTGATATGAAAGTAGGGGTGTGTGAGTGTGTACTACACTAAAGATTATTCGTCATGAAGTCCTACTTTAACTTGTCTTATTAGATATCAATCGTGCATATGCATAGGTATTTGCACGACGGGACTTAATAATTCAAGTGAAAAAGAGAGAATTATTACCACGACATCTATTTAAAAATAAGAATAAGGATGTTACTACTATATTATTAATAAAAGAAACCAAATAAAATGAAAACAAAAAATATGTTGCTACTCATATTGTTTCAGATCTACGATAGACATTCATAGTAATTAAGGAACAAGTTATTACTCTCTCCGAGTCTCCATAGCCATAAACCCATCGCACTTTCGATAAAAATATAATAATTTATAATTGCACGAGGAAGAAAACGAAAAACGGGACAAGAAATTTCAAGAGAGAGAAACAGAGAAGATTAATACTGAAGAGATATATATCCTTCGAGAACAAAGCTTCGTACAAGAGAAATTGAGAAAGTAACGATAAAACAAAGTAAGTAAAATTAGAGTGTGTTAATCGGCAGAGTTTACGATTTGCTGTACTGTACTCTGAAATATTTGCAGAAGCAAAGGGCAACATGACGATGTTATAAATGCAACGTAGTTAAGATTTGTATGCAAAAATGATTAATTCGAGATTATCACCGTATTTCTTTGTATTTGTTCTAGTTATATTGCATTTACTGCAGCCAGCCTGTCGAGAATTGTGTGGTGTTAAAATGGTAGGAACCTTGTAAACTCACCACCATATTGTAAGTGTAAAACAGCTCAATCGATTAAAAAAACAATAAGGAAGACAAACCGATAATAGTTCTGCTAGTCTTTATAACTCTTACACAGGTTGAAATATTGGATTTTCGGTCTAAGTTATTCACTATTGCACCGGAAAACGATTTTTATTATATTGTTTTTATTACAGGTACTAGATAGATTATCTATCATATTGATTAAATAATGGGAACAGCTCCATTCTATACCGACTTATCACACGGTATTTTTCATTCAAAGAAAACCCTGCATGGAAAATAAAATTTAGTATAGGGCATCGGGTTATCAATAAGTTAAAAAAATTAACGTATCATCATTTGGTTCTCCAGACATTTCCTGTAGTTCATTAGTTTTAACAATACAAAAACCCAAAATATATTGTGTACGGGTTTTACTCTGGCCAAAAAACAAAAAGATGTTAGAAATAGAAACATTAAGGGGGAAGTGGGAGTGGGTCGCTAATATAACATTCATATAGATCCTCCTGCTACCCTGGGAACAATCAAAAATTATCTGCCAAAGAACTCCACAGAGCGTGGTTCGTACTCTTGTTTGTCTCTCCACCTACCTCTTCCCCACTGGAAGTTCATTCAAATATGGTGATTTTTTTTTTGATATTCGTTTTAGGTCGACCATCCAGGCACCAGAAAACCTTATTCTAAATTTCTCCAATTTTGTTTTTTTCTTTTTTGGAATTCCGACATCCTGGGTCCCACCCCTGCGTGCTGGTCTTCGGACATCTTCCCACGAGGGTGGGAAATGGTTACTTCCCTTATATCTTGTATTATTCTTTTTCCTCTGCAACAAAATTAAAGTATCTACAGACGATCACCCGAACAATATTTGTGGCGTGCATCAAGTCTTTAGTAGCCGTAAGCGTCAAAGTCTCTTGCTACCTTTATTCACTAGAAGAAAGGAGCCCAGAGGAAGTTTTGTCAGTGATTTTCTCTAGCTATTCCACTGTGATAGTAATTATTTTTGTTCGTTCGTTAGTTGTTCTTGTTATTTTTCGTTGGAACAGGATTACACATTCTTTAAATTGACCTTCCTTGCATATTATACTGTCCCAAAATGGGTGGCCCGTCAATTTGGGTCGAGGCGAGACGTTGCATTGTTAGTAGTAAAATAGCTTTATTATCGATATTTAAATGTTATTTTACTTATACACTAGTAGTAATTTCACGATTTTTAGTAACAGGATATATCCTAATAAATGATGATAAATAATTAGTAAGATTAGTATACTATAAGATGTGTTGATTGATGTAATGAAGAACGGGGTGTGATCCTTGATCATGACTTGGCTTTTCAACCGTAGGTCAGTAGAGGGTCGAATAAAATTAAACTTGGTTTTGAGTTCCTTTGTTTCAGCTGTTTGTAGAAAAGTATATAGCTATAGGGGGAGGGAAGAGGTGCAGAGTCGGAAGTATTATATACTTTTGTCTGTTATTCGCAGGGGTACAGAGAGAGAGAGAAATAATATATATATATATAAATGTTTCAGTTGAGAGGCAAATAGCATGAATCAACCAATGAGAGCAGAGTCGCGTGTGAATTATTTACTATAATCGATGAATTTGATTTCCTATCGGCTGAGAAGTTGAATGAATGTGTAATAATTGAAAATATACCTACAAGTAATCATTATCTAATAAACAATGTGGGAGAAAGAAAATAACTTTAAATTTTATTTATAAATCTTTAGTATGCAATAATTTACCTAGTGATGAGAACCGCTTGATTACAACGATTCCTAAAAAAATTATCTATTTTTTTGGGATATATATCTTCCGAAACAGGAAAAAATATTTTGTGCAATGCGACATAATTAAAAAAAATGAATGAACAAGTGCAGATTGGTTGGGGTAAAAGTTATTCACTGTACTGAATATTAGGTGTGTCTGTTTTTATTACACATAAATCCATTTAATATCTGCCTTTTGGAGAGTACAGGTATAGCCTTTGTTACTATATAGATATGCCTATTTACTGTTTTATTTTTTTATCTTACTAACTGGTAGTAATATAAACTGAGATAGGATGAGCAAGGTAATGGAAAGGCATTTGTATATCGACTTGATAAATATCGGTTCCATCTCGAAAAGAAGAAAAGAAACAGAATTTATGTATTCATCTTTGCGAGGTTGTTTTTTATTTTAGAAAAACAGAGCTACTATACAAGCAAAGACAATCACATGAACTTAAGGAAAATTCCCTATTGTAAATATAGTTTTCAAGCAGTAAACTGAGCGTACAATAGCAAATATATAAATGTTCTAAAAATGTTTTTTATTCTTCAATAGTACGTTGAATTCAACGGTAGGTCGAGAAAAACTTGTTCCTTGCGGTAAAGATAATTAGGTGGTTAGATTATCCGTCTCTCAAAAGAAACTGTATTAGCTAAACAAAATATATATCTTAACGTCTAGCCAATATAATGTGTGTGTTCAGTTTATTACTACAAGAAAGAAATACAGAAGAGACCTTACATATATGACTAGAGGTTAGTATGCACTAGAAGGCACCCGATTACCATTGATAATTATATAATAACCGGTTATTTTTGTAATATCATAAATCCCTGTAAAACAACTGTACATAGTCTTGTCGGAACAAAAATTCATATATATTTATATGAATTTATATTTAAATATATAAACATATGAATGACATAGTAATACCTTTTCTCCCAATTATATGTTTGTTAGTCACTCAACAGAAAGTAGGCATAGAGACTTCTTTAATAATGGTCAATGTTTAATTTTATAGTAGTAGTTGTAGTTTAGCATTTATTACCATTTACAAGATCTGGTTTCTGCTTGTAGGAGAGAAAGATGCGCAGCGATAAAAGTACATTTATCGGTCAATAATTTCATTATCTATGGAACGGAGATAATGAGGAAGAACAACAACACAATGAATTGTTTGTCCTTCTTTTTCTTTTTCTCTCTCACAAACAAAGAAAAGTAAATAAAATCATCTCTTCGCGCTGCGTAGTTTTGTTACAGGAGCATCTTTTTTATAACTTTGAAAGTTATCGGCGAATAATTAAATTATTGAAAATTTGGGGTTTTTGATGGTATTTTTAAAGTTGTACGATCTTTTCTTCATAGGATTGACGTTCTAAAGTTAGAAAGTATTAGTTCCAGAACGCAGAGTTTACCGTTCCTGTTTCATAAATATTTTTACTTTGTTTTGATTTGTCAATAATATTTTTGTGTGGTAGTAAGTCAATCCATAGATGAACCTTACGCATTCCATTCTGCACAGTATTGTTACTGTTTTTATTTTTACGTCACCTCTGAGTGAGCTACTATTATTTCATGGAGGGGGAACTAGATATAACCTTTTTTGTTTTTTATTGTTTTCTTACATAACAAAGTAGAGAGCAGAAGAAAAAATAAATAAAGCTTATCCTCTCCAGAATTTCAAATGTAAACAAAAACAAAGAAAAAAGTTTAAAGCAGCTCGCATTCTTCAATTCCGGGCTGCTGGCAAGGAAAGGTTACTGCAGAAGCGTATTACATTCTATTAATTGTTTTTTATGTGGAAAATGGGATCGCTTCTCACGTTCAACTTAGGTAACAAATTTTTGCTCAGTATATATGCATACATTCATTATTATTTGTTGCAGAAAGCAAAAAAAAAGGATTTTCGAGAGATAAATTATTTATTCATACTATTGTCGATATCGTATGATTAAAATAAAATATATTCGGAAAATCATTTTCTTTTGCTTCAAAACAAGATGTATTTTTTTTTTGGTTGAATAAATTATTACTATCATCTACATGTATGCGCCCCCTATATAAAAATGAAATAATATGCAATTTTCTGAAACCTGTTAATTGTATATTTTGTAATGGGTTAGTCTGTACGTAGTAAATGAACTGGTGTTTTTAGTATGAATTAGCTCCGGGTGAGAAATAAAAATACAATTAGCAGAGTAACAAATAGTACATTTTACTGTTTTAGGCGATTAGAACCGTCAATTTAACTGTTTTATCGGCAACTAACAGATTTGAAAGAGAAATGCACGTACAATATTCTTGGTGTGCAGATATATATCAAGGAATGTAAAAATCTTTTTTGTTTTTTCTTTTTCTTTTTCTTCCAGGACGGAAAATTCATTTCTTTGTTAGTTTCCATTGTTTAAATGGTTGTTCTGCAGTAGTTTGTTTGAAGGATGTACATGATGTATGTCGCACTCTGTCTATTTGGTGCCTTCAAAATGTGAAATAAAGAGAAATTGCATCAAGAAAAAAAATGTTTTTGGAGAGACAAAAGACAAGAAATATAGCCGAATGTGAATGCGTTTGTTTCTTCTACTGCGTCACTTTATTAGATAAGAGAAAAATGCATATTTTACTTTTGACGTTTTCATTGAATAAGTAAAATTAGAAAGAAGGAGGACAATCGTAAATAAAGAGTTGTGTGTTTGTTTATTATCCTACTTTCACTCTATTATGTGGGAGTATGTAAAGTATTTGGGATTCTCTCTGTTCTTCTCCATAGTGTTTGTTGTTGTTTTTTGCTTTTGAAGAGTGACTGGTCCAAATTGGGACGAAATCCATTCCTTTTAGGATACGTTTTCATTTTATTTTTTTTGGATATTTCATGAAATAACAGATGACTGTTAATGACGTTGTTAATAAATTCATTTGTATAACTCTTCAAGAAAATTGATCTAATTATCAGAAACCAGATCTAAATCAAAGTATAATGGAGATGTATTATTCAGGTTTATCTATTTATAATGTGGGACATGTCTATTTCTTTGTTAAAAAGTTTGTCATAATTGATTTGATCAGATAGATATCAAGATATTATGATAAAATTTACATGCATACTTACTATTACTCGATATGTACTCATACACATGTATAGCCATTGGAATTTAGAGATAAGACAATATGTGACAAACTGTCTAACTGGTCTAAATTCAACTTGCATATATAGCCTATTTTTGTAATATGAATATGGATATTATTACTGATTCATTCAATGAACGGTAAATAGAAAATGATCAGGGTTTACATCCCTCAAGTCTACTAGTAATAATCAGAAGAAATTGAATGAAATATTGCTAGTTAGGGCATCGGCACCCCTATTTCTCACGTGACCTGGAATTTCCCTACTTCCGGGTAATCCTATTTTTTTTTACTTTTTCTGGTATTTTTTAAAGAGAAAAAGAGAGAGCAATCTTCTTGAGGTGGCGATCGATAATGTTAGGAGGGAAAAGGGTTTATTTTCTTAGTATTATTGTTATTTTACCCTTTATAATAATAATCTCTAAATTGTAAGTTATTCTAGAACAATTCCGGGTTATTAGTATAGAAAAAGTCTAGAAATAAAGGAATAGAAACCATAATAAGTTATTCAGGTTTATTAAAATAAAGTAAATCAAGGACTAGAACTATCGAAGGAGTGTCCTTTTTTTTACTTATTGTTGTTAACAGAAAAGAGGATAATAAACATACTTGAAGATATTATATCGTAATAGGAAAGTGTGGGTGCGTGTTTTCGTCTTTTTAATTTAACCATGTTTAATACAAGAATAACGAATGTATCGAGATATGCCAGTATAATACCAAGAATAAAAGTATGCTCTAATACTTTGTTAAGAAACGAAACATCGTTATCATTATTACACTCGAATCATAAGGTTCCAGTGTTAAATCTTACTAGAGGAAGAAATAATACAAGATCTATTCATACAACAACACCCTTACCGTTTAGATATAATCTTCAAAAGTATCAGGAAAATAAGGGACCTAAGAATCAGAATAATAAGAACAAGAATAAGAATAAAAATGAAAATAATGAAAATGAAGAAGAATTTAAATCCTTAACAGAATATTTGAAATCAAAAGAATTCGCAAAGACAATATATTTAACTGTTGGTTTTACCGTTTTGTTCTCTTTATTAAGTGGACCCGATAATGATAATGATAATAACAATGATAATAATATTCTTACATTCCAAGACTTTAAGACCAAATATCTTGAAAAGGGCTTGGTTAAGCATATTTTCGTGGTAAATAAGTATTTAGTACAGGCTGAATTATTGCCACAAGCAACAGCATTATCTAATGATAGAAGCGCAGACTCTAGAGGATTATTCGGTACCCCATTTGGCGGTGGTCCACCAGTTGTATCGTTTACCATTGGATCAGTTGATATATTTGAAGATCAAATGGATCAAGCACAAGATCAATTGAAAATTGCACCAAATGATAGAATTCCAATTTCGTACGTTACTCGTACTTCAATGTTACAATACTTATTCCCTTTTATACCAACTTTATTGTTACTTGGTGGTTTGTATTTCATAACTAAGAGAATGACCGGTGGTGCTAATGCAGGTGGTTCCGGTGGTGGGAATGGCATAGGTAATATGTTTGGTGTTGGTAAATCAAAGGCTAAATTGTTTAATAAAGAAACTGATATTAGAATATCATTTAAAGATGTTGCCGGTTGTGATGAAGCTAAACAAGAAATTATGGAGTTTGTTCATTTCTTAAAAAACCCACAGAAATATACTGCTTTGGGGGCCAAAATCCCAAGAGGGGCAATTTTGTCCGGTCCTCCAGGTACAGGTAAGACTTTACTTGCTAAAGCCACGGCTGGTGAAGCCGGTGTTCCTTTCCTCTCTGTCTCAGGTTCTGAGTTCGTCGAAATGTTTGTCGGTGTTGGTGCATCTCGTGTCCGTGATCTTTTTGAACAAGCTCGTAAGATGGCACCTTCAATTATCTTTGTAGATGAAATTGATGCGATTGGTAAAGAAAGAGGTAAAGGTGGTGCTCTTGGTGGTGCTAATGACGAAAGAGAGGCCACTTTGAATCAATTATTAGTCGAGATGGATGGTTTCACTACTTCAGATCAAGTTGTTGTACTAGCTGGTACTAATAGACCAGATGTTTTGGATTCAGCTCTGATGAGACCGGGTAGATTTGATAGACATATTCAAATAGATTCTCCTGATATTAACGGTAGATTGGCTATTTATTTGGTTCATTTGAAAAGATTAAACCTATCACCAGAACTTGTTCCAGCAGAGTCTGCACGTCATGATCTTGCAGGTAAATTGGCTACTTTGACTCCAGGGTTTACTGGTGCGGATATTGCTAATGCTTGTAATGAAGCAGCATTAATTGCTGCCAGACACAGAGACCCACATATTAAATTATATCATTTTGAACAAGCTATTGAAAGGGTCATTGCTGGTCTAGAAAAGAAATCAAAGGTCTTATCAAAGGAAGAAAAGACTACAGTAGCTTACCATGAGGCCGGTCACGCTATTTGTGGTTGGTATTTAAAATACGCCGACCCATTATTGAAAGTTAGTATTATTCCAAGAGGCCAAGGTGCATTGGGTTATGCTCAGTATTTACCACCTGATCAATACCTTATTAGTGAGGAACAATTCCAACATAGAATGATTATGGCCCTGGGAGGTCGTGTTTCTGAGGAATTACATTTTCCATTTGTAACAAGTGGTGCACATGACGATTTCAAGAAGGTAACTCAAATGGCCCACGCTATGGTCACTTCACTTGGTATGTCAAAAAAGGTAGGTTATTTAGCTTACGATCAAGATAGTGGTGGATTACAAATCAGCAAACCTTTCAGTCAAAAGACAGCAAGAAATATTGACTTAGAGATCAAACGAATAATTGATGACGCTCATATGCAATGTGTTAAATTATTAACAGAAAAGCTCGATGAAGTTGATAAAGTCGCAAAGGAACTGCTCAAGAAAGAAGCTATTACTAGAGAGGATATGATTAGACTGCTGGGACCAAGACCTTTCCCAGAGAGAAATGAAGCTTTTGAGAGATATCTGGATCCAAAAACTGCAAAACCAGCTCCACCTTCATCTCCAGCTACGAATTGAATCTAGTACTTATTTTTGAGTATTATATAGAGTAAAATATTGAAATCGTTCAGTAAATGTACTATTGAAAAGTAAAAACGTCTAAACAAGATTCCTGTATTTTTTTGTTTCCTATCGTTGAATACTGATATAAATAGTACCGTTCGATTTATTAAATATATTCATGTAGATATTTATACAATTTAATTGTTTTATTATTCTTATTAGATAAAGTATCTGCGATTTTCTGTTTGGCTTCACACAATGATTAACAGTTATGCATATTATACGTATATTATGTGTGCCATCTTCTAACGATAGTTAATATCAATAAAAATTCATTGGAATTATAACTTAAAGTGTTCGTGTAGGGTAGTTTTTTTCCTTTCAAAAGGTCTCGTCGTCAATTATTAAGTTCTGCGAGGTAGCTTGATGTGGTTGAGTGTTTATGGATTGGTTATTCATCATAGATTCATGAGCATGTACACTGACTGAAGAATGGTTCGTTAAATTATCATTATCCATATATTGCTGATTGTTTGCATTAGCCGTTTCAGTTTTATTTTCTTCCTCTTGATGTTGATCTCCATCATTTGAATCTTCCGTCGCATATAATATCTGTTGAACTTTGTTTAAAAATTTATCTAATTCACCAGTTCCACTCTCATATACACCTTCTTTTATTAAATCTTGCGTTGATTGTACCAGAATTTCGATATCTCTCAGTTTACTGAAATAAAAATCACGTTCTCTCTCGAGGATGTTTGTGGTATCCTTATATGTATTAATCTCTTTGTCCATCGAAGTCATGCTATTCTTAGCCTGAGTTAATTCTGTTTGGATAGCCAAGTACTGGTCGTTCGATATCCTTCTTGTGACGCCGCTAGTTCCGTATGACGACCGTGTTGATCCGTAGTTCTGTGTAGGCATGCTAGATTTACGTTTTGCTATACTAATCGAACCACTAGATGGGGGAGCAGTGCCGCTAATACCTCCACTGACTTGTCTATGCTTCCTTCTGGAAATAGCATCATATGGGCTGCTATCTTTATTTTGCATCCAGAATTTTTTAATCCATTGCAAAAATTCCAAGTTGTCCTGGAATCTACATTTTACTAATCTTTCCACATAGACTGTCTTTTCAATTGCATGTCTAGCAAAGCAACTCTGTAAGATTTTGTAATTTGTATGAAACTCATATTCTGCTGTAGCATTGAACTTGACTCGATGCATTGGCACATCTACATAAACGGAGTCCATGATTTGACAGTATGCAGCACCTGTACCGCATTCTTCAATCTTTTTGTAGTTCAACTTCAAAAGGTCGTTCAGCCAGTTAAGCAATTCCGTTCTAGATTCTCCGATATTATTACTCATTTCTATATATTCGTATTTTCGAGACCCTTTTCACTATCGAAATGTCGTTATTATATTTAAGTTGTCCTCCTAAGTTTCCTTTCGTGTACTATTTTACTGTATTTGCTGTTGTTATTATTTAATTCGACTATCTAGTTTCGTGTTGTTTGTTTATGTTTTCTTTAAGTCCACTTGAAGGCTTCAACAAGGCGCCAAAAAATTTAATTTTTGTTTTTTTGGTCTGTGTATGAGAAACGTTTCAAGTAATGACTATCTTATAATAAAAGATTAAAAAATAATAGAGTTAGATAGATGATAATATAATCTTTTTTTTATTGAATATTATATTGACTATGTTATATATAGTTCGGTTGCAGAAACATAAGAAAAGATAAGAAAAAAAGGTGAAAGTATTTGTACTATTATATAGAGAATCACACTAATAATATTATAATTTCTCTACCCTGATCAAAGAACCTTGCTGATATAGAAGATCCAAATCCTTTTTAAAATATTTTGTTGCTACAACCCTTTTAATTTTTAGAGTTGGAGTGACAGTTCCATTTTCCACGTTTAGAAGATCCGTTCCGACGACCATGTTATGTAGTTTCTCAAATCCCTGAAGACCTTCTGTGTGGCGATTAATTGCCAAAAGCAGATCTTTTTTCAAAATAGGATCACTGTTGATCTTATCAAACAATTTTTCTTGTGAGAGTGACAATACTTCGGGGTGTGAACGTGATAATGCATTTTGTGTACCTTCATATTCTAAGCTGACTATACCTACGAGATAAGTCTGCAATGGATCACCAAAGATGAACAGTTGGGCAATGTACGGACATGAGGAAAGGTAGGCGTTCTCAATCTTCTCAGGGGCAATATACTCTCCATGTGCCAATTTAAAGAAATTTTTCACACGATCAATTATATGTATTCTTCCTTTGGCATCAATAAATCCAACATCACCAGTAGAAAACCAACCATCTTTATCTATAGCAGCCTGAGTCTCATCTGGGTTCTTAAAATACATACTAAATATCTGAGGGCCTCTTAATTGTAATTCACCTTTTAAATCTTTTTTGGCGAAATAGGACATTTCAGGGACATCTTTCAATCTACATTCAGTACTAATACCAACTGCACCACATGAACCAATATCTCTCTCGTGAGGTTCTGCTAGACATATACCAGCAAATGATTCTGTTAATCCATACCCTTGCCTTATTCCGATATCTAGAGCACTACGCAAAAATAGAAGTGTCTCTTTAGCAATTGGTGCTGAACCAGTCACTACAAATGATCCGTTAGTTAACCCCAGCGAATCCCTAATTTTGTCGATTAAAACACGATGATATAATAGAAAATTCAATAATGAATGATCTGTACCACCATGGCTGCTGAACCTTGCAGCCTTATTTTCTATGATGTTAGATGCGATATTTTTCTGAATAGCAGATTTACTCAGGGTTGTCTTGATACCAGATTCAAATCTTGTTAATATTCTGGGGACCATGGATAAAAAATCAGGTTTCAAAATCTTTAAATCTTCGACAAGAACCAAAGGATCCGGTTTGTGGAGAAAACCAGAACCGACTCCCATAGATAACGCATATGACGTAGTTTGTCTTTGAAAGATATGCGTTAAAGGTAAGAAACACATATCGTACAGTTGTTTGTTTTTCTTACTGCTGGGAACCTTCATTGATGATAAAACGAATGCATTACTAGAGGTAATAGCTTGGTGAGTTAGAACTACACCTTTTGGTAAACCTGTTGTACCAGAAGTAAAAGAAATTGTATAAGTTGTCTTTGGAGTTGGCGGAATCAATGGAATATTATTTAGCTTACCAATTTCTTCCACTTGTTTCATTGAAAACACGGAAATTTTCTCATTCAGTTTATTAAAATTTTTAGTCAAAAGAGATTCGTTAATAGATTTAAGTTCACTTTCTTTTAAATCTTCCATACAAATCAGAGTGTTAACATATTCAAGGTCAGGTAAGATGGAAAGTACATTGTACATATTCGACTTTGCAAACACTAATACAGGACTCTCGGTCAAATTCATAATGTACTCTGAAGTTTTGGGACCTAATGTCTCATACAAAGCTGTGTTAGTGATAGAATAACTTTGACAAGCTAAATCTGTAATAATCCATTCTGGCATATTATGAGCCAAGATAGCTAATATAAAATTATTGGATTTAAGTGGTTTATTTCTCTTTACGTTAACTAGAGACATAATACCAGACCCAAATGCATGAGCTCTTTCAGCAACTTGTCTATACGTTTCAAAATGATACTGTTCTGACCATAGGTCTGTTGTATGGTCATATGTTCTTCTACCTAAACAACCATTATCAGGCCATCTTCTCGCAGAGAACATAAAATGTTCGTAGCCTGTGTTTAATTTCTGATCTACACAGGTAACCAATTTCTCAGGGGAAAGACTATTTCTAAATGTATCGCTATAATGCAAGTTTGCATCAATACCTTTATCATTATCGACATCATTACTGACATATTTGCTCATGGGGACAGCTTGTTTCTTTAAATATGTCTTATAATCTGGATAACTATTTAGTGGAAGCTCGTTTATCAACTCTGCCAAATATTCATCTGAGCCCTTAACATAACCAGCTAGTTTATCCTTCAATGGTTGAAACCTTGCATCGGTTTCTATGACATCTGAAATTGAATATGTTTCATACATTTGTGATATTTATTTTAGATATCTGTTAAAATCAATAATCCTCTTGATTACCTCTAGTTGTAACAGTAAGGAAACTTATTATATATATCTTTCAGAAGTTAACCGCTCAAACTGAAACAAAGAGTATTAAAATATAATTAATGAATTAAAAAGAGAGAAAAAAGAATATTATAACCTTAGACTCCCCTATTTATATCGTTGTCATTGTCATTTGGGGTAATAATATAATATATACTACCTCCAAGAGCCGTTCAATACATTAGTTTTTCCAATGTCATTCATTTTCTCCTCTTTTAACTTTTCCGTAATAAGGGTATCATCACACCTCTCCTTATCCGTTTCTTTCATCAAAGTTGGAGTAAATTATGCTTCATTTGATCTCTTTCTTCTTATTGGTATCTCTTAATTGGAGATCGATCAATTCTTAATTTCTCTGCCTCTTTCTCCAACAGTGGAAAGGTCGGTCCGGTTTTAAAAAAGTGGTTCCGCTTTCCCAATCAAATAAGAGAGAGAAAATGGTAAAACGTATATATATATATGTATATATGATGATGTTGTATGATATTTATAAATAAAGAAGGAAAAGTATACATCCGCATTTGATGATAGTTTATTTACTGTAATTTGGTAGCATCTATTAGGGCATCTGTCACAACGTCTGGGATACCTGGACTTTTGGAGAAACCCATTCCACCTAGGGATACCTTCGATGAGTAATCATTGATAACATCTTGTTCAATTGACTTAATTAGGTTATTGTACCCAATCTTAAACTGAGGTAGACAGTCCTTAGCCACGGTATAGATCCATTGGCCTGCATCTAGATCCTCTTTGGAGGCTCCTAGATGTTTCTGTAAGGCACTCTTGACATTCAGTATAGTTTGTTGTTCATTGGCGATATTCTGTTTACCTTCAGCATCATTATACATTGAGCCACCAACCATAGCGGTCAATTTCGTATAGTTCTGAGGTGGTGATGAAGTTGTGTTTAAACTTGTTTCGCCAAATGGTTTGAAACTCTTTTCAATAACAGAATCAAAGATAACACCAAGTACTTTTTCAGGGTTGCTGTTAGTCTCGGGAATCAAGTAACCAAACCCATTCTTCTCCTTAGGGATAATATCTTTATCTGGAATGTATAGGTTGACTAATGTCACTGTATTAGTCTTGATCAAGTCCAGTTTTTCTTTGATTTTAGGATTTGTCCTTGCAATTAATTTAGAAAAAATATTTGGAGCTACAGCTAACCTAATATGATCAAATTCTTTAGCAGTAGTTTTCAAATGAGTTTCTTTTCCATTTATATTCATATATTCAAGAATCATTTTATCCTTTTTAGTACTTTGGTTCATGGACATGACATTGTCTGTCAACAAAGAAACATTAGGTAATTTTATAATTGCTTCTTTGAAAGTGTTTGGAAATTGCGATAGCCCACCTTTCAAACCAAGCATGGGAAATTGAGCTAATCTCTTGGATAATGCACGGATCTTGTTTTCATCCTTATTGAACACTTTAGTGTATAACGCTACACTTTCACTTAATTTATCATTGTCTTCACTCGACTTATTAGAACTTTCCCTCCATCTAGCAATCGATGCCTTCGTAATTGAGCCGTACTTTCTTTCATCGTAATATAATTTACCAACGACTTTTCGAGCGCTGAGATTACCAACATCGTCTGCGTATATACCACGATATAGAGCACTAAACAAATTACGACCAATGTCAACACTACCATATCTTCTTGTTAACAACGATAGCACACTTTCATCCTTAATCTGAGAGTCAATAGGTTTCCTTGTCCATTCGGTGATCATACCTCTTAATAACCCTTTGCTTAAAGGATTGAGAAAAAATTTAATTAGTGTGGTAAGTGAGTTAGGCACTTGGATCAACTTATTTGTAGGGTCCACTATAAACTTCTTATCTGCATTGGAATCTTTGCTGATAGTTCTTATAATATCACCTTTATTCATCTCAAGCATTGAGTCCATGATCATGACAGTCCCATCAGAGACACCTCTAAATGTCCGAGGGCCTCTTTCAATCATAACAGGCTTTCTGTTCTTGTCCTGAGTATCCCACGAATTGATCCAACCTCCGGGACGGCTCTCTGGGTTAAATAAAGTGATATGGACATCTGGTCTTAACTTGCCCAGAAAGTAAGTAAACGTTAGACCTGATATACCACCGCCAACGACACCAACCTTTGCGTTAGTAGGTAATTTTATCAATTGACTCAGCATTTTTTTTTTCTTATTGATGCAAAATTGCCGGATCCAGTTCTAGTTATCTATGATTATTTTAACTTTAAACACTTCAAGTTCCTTCTAAAGTAGAAACGTTTTCCACTTTCTTATTTACTCTTCCCCTTATAAATGAAATAAATTATATATCTGTATGTCAGTCCTTGATTTCTGTCTCTCATACTCCATTGTTGAACGAAAATACGATTCTCGGTGAATTTTTCATCTTCGTGCCTTCAAAGAGAAAAACTCGTAGAAGTACTCCTTGATTACATACGTCGATCATCAGTTTCCAAGAAAGATTCGTACCAATAGAATTGGAAAATATATATATATATATGTGCCTATGATGATTATACTGGGGAGCCTTGTGAAATCATATTTTTATAAACGAGTAGTATAGATAGTTGCTACAGTTATATAAAAAGACTATTTAGAGTTAATTCAACGTTTGATACCTAATGCTTTTTCTCTGGATTGTCTAATGGAACTTAATCTCCATGAGTTTTGATTCTTTGCATATCTGTCATGTAAAGGTGCCAGTTTTAACTTCTTACGTGATTTACTATTATTGTCTATTGCTTTGTAATAATGAGGCGCAAATTCAAGAAGCCATTCTGGTTCGATGCTAGTCACCTGTGACATAAACTCCCTACTGGTTAGCACCAATGAGTTGTAAATGACATACTCATACTCTTTGCCAAACAATGAACTAGATGGGTGGATACCCACTGCAGTATTACCTACTATTGTCTTATAACCAACACTTGGTTCTCTCTTAGCTGCATTCATGAAGAACCCAGTCACTAATGTTTTACGAATGATGTCCACATCACCTCGACAGCTGACAATAGGTAAATGAAGTTGATTAACTATCGATAAAATTTGATCCTTCACATCTCTAGCACGTTTCAAATGTCTTCCATGCAAGAAATTGATCTCACAAAACTGTTGACCTCCACCTGCTTTTTCCCACTGTGTAAATACGTTTAACAACGTTAGATGGTCCCCATATGGGTGATTGAAACGAGCTTTTTGACGATCCGCTTGTTGTTGTTTATCTCTTGGTCTAAAGAAAATATTTTGAACAGACAACACTGCAATTATAGTAGATATTTCATCAGAACATTCATTAGTGACAGATGAAAGCATGACTCTTGAAAGCGTTGGATCCATTGGGAATTGAGACATTCTTTGGCCCAATTTTGTTAGATAGCCATCTCCATCCAATGCTTCTAAATTGTAAAGTTCCGAAAGTGCGGATAAAAGAAGATTCCTTGGTGGTGGATCCATAAAGTCAAAATTCAGTAAATCGTTGATCCCCATAGCTTTTAACATAAGGATTGTATTAGAAAGATTTTGCCTTTGTATTTCTGGAATAGTATTCGGTAACATTTCATTGTAGAATGCAGACTCAGTATAAAGTCTATAACACTTCCCTGGTCCAGTTCTACCAGCTCTACCCTTTCTTTGGTTGGCTTGTGCCTTCGAAATTGGAGAAACAATTAGTTGTTCCATACCAGCTCTGGGATTATAAGAATTTACTTTCGAGAATCCTGGATCCACGACATAATAAATACCATCTATAGTGATGGAAGTCTCGGCAATATTAGTAGCGAACACTACCTTTCTACTTCCCTCTGGAGTTGGTTCAAATATCTTTGACTGAACTTCACTTGGTAATGCAGAGTAAATTGGAAGAATAACTAGTTCTCCTATAGCATCTCCTAATGTCTTGACCTTCTCATATAATATCTCACAACACGAATCGATTTCTTCTTGACCTGTTAGAAACACTAAGATATCACCAGCATCATTATTAATATGTATATCCATAACACAGTCTAAGGTAGCTTCGATATAATCCATCTGAGGTGTCTGTGAATACATTACTTCCACGGGGAAGGTCTTACCAGGTATATTAATCACAGGACAGTCATTAAAATACTTGGAAAATTTCTCAGAATCTAGCGTTGCGGACGTAATAATAATTTTAAGTTCTGGTCTTGCTTTGGCAGCCTCCTTCAATAGAGCAAAAAGAATGTCAGTCGCTACAGTACGTTCGTGAGCTTCATCTAACATGATGACTGAATATTTAGACATCATTGGGTCCAAAAGAGTCTCTCTTTGTAACATACCATCGGTCATATATTTGATTTTTGTCTTTCGGGATGTTCGGTCATCAAAACGAACGTTATAACCAACTTCACCTCCCAACTCACACCCGACTTCTTCTGATACTCTTTTCGCAACAGATATGGCAGCAACTCTGCGGGGTTGTGTACAACCTATCATACCATTTTCACTAAATCCTTCTTCGTTCAGATATTGTGTGATCTGAGTTGTTTTACCAGAACCTGTTTCACCAACTATTACAATAAATTGGTTGGCTTTGATAGATTCTATTAATTTGGATCTCATATTATATACAGGTAATTCTTTCCGCTGTTGGCTTATAGGTAATGAAGTTCTTTTACCAAACGATACCTTTTCTTGAATCCTATTCTTTTCCCACGCAGTAACAATGAGTTCTTTCTTTAATTGGTCAATCTCTTGTTTATATTCCCTTCTGGTTCTAGTGGGGTCATTTTCTGAACTTAATTGCCTAATTTGTTGTTCGACATTTTTCTTCTTCTCTAATTTTTGCTCTCTATGTTCCGTCATTGTAAGAGAACCATTCATTGCAACTCTGTTCATTGAACCTCTTGGCATTTTTACAATTTTTGCTGGTTCGAATCCTTTATCCTTTGTCATTAGTTCACTCTTCAAAAAATTTGGTTTATCATCAGTATTCAATTCAACATCCAGTTCTTCCATATCTTCATCAAAGTCAGTTCCACCAGTTGTAGTCTTACTATTTTCACCTTCTCTTTCGTTCTTCTCATTGTCAGGCTGTTCATTAAGCTCTGGGTAGTCTTCAATAGAAGCAGCCCCACTTGCAATCAATTGTTGTATTTCCCACCTCTCTGGGGATGTCAACTTTCTTTTTTTAATCTTAACTGATGGAGTCTCTTTCCTCATCGCGGTTCTTCCTCGTTCGTTACCCTCAGTTTCTCTTGTCATGTCATCTATATCTTTTCCTGTCACTTGATCAGCCCTTCTCATACTCAAAGAAATCCTACCATCATCACCCAGTTTAATAACTTTCACATACACTTTCTGTCCTTCCAATACACAATCTCTAGGTTCTTTTATTCGTCTCTTAGCTATCTCAGATATATGCACTAATCCTTCACATTTTTTGGATTTAACTCCTAAGATTGAGACAAAACAACCAAATGGCATTAGTCTTCTCACTAGTCCTTCATATATGTGACCTAGTATTGGATATGGATCTATATTTGGGGTCACATTCCTAGATTTGGTAGGTTTTAAATCTTTCGTATCCTGAATTACTTGCCAATCAACAGCTTTGTTAGGTAAATTAAGACCATCGTATTGTTCTGTCTTTGTAATAAATGGATTACTTGAAGTCTCTGTAATAATTCTTTTAATTTTTAATGAATTATAGATCTCTCTTAACGCTTCATCGTTTAGACCACTATCTAAATTCTTCATTTCGTCCTTAAATATATCTAAAGTATCGCATTTATTGAATAGACCCTTTGTAAAATCCTTCAAGAGTGATACATCGGACTCCGAAGTTAAGCCAAGATTTTCTTTTAGAAAACTCCCTAAGTCAAACTCTGTTCTTTCATGTAATAAGTGGTATATCTTATGTATCATATCATGTTGTAATCCAACTTCTAATTCGTTAATTCGCTGCTCGAAGTTTATCTCACTTTTAGCTTTCTGTTTTATATCCTTCAAAAAATCTAGTATTGCTGCATCATCAGCTCCTAGTAAATCCAATATTTCCTTATCTTTATTATTCATTATGACACTACGTAGTTTGTGTAAGAGAGGCGTTTGGGGTAATAATACTATGTTTGGTGTTTAGTTCCTAATATAATATTTACTATGTTTAGATTTGCGATGAGGTTAAGGTTTCTTTTATTTAAATTTTTTTATATAAAAATGTACACATTGTAATATTTTTTTGAAGTCTCTATGCGATTTGTTAGAACAAATGTCTTCGAAAAATTCAATAACATGTGTAGAGTCACGAAACGATAGCAAAACAGTAGAGAGGCTTAAGACGAAGCAATATAAACTGGTGTAAAGGGAGAGGTTTGACACTGCTTAAATGAATATCTTCTTTAGTTTAAATTTAAATTTTTAGATATCCTAATCATTTTCCAAAATCAACTAGACCACTTGGTCTTTCCAGCGAGAATGCTTTAGAATGAAGTTACGAGAGATAAATAATACAAAAAACATGGTTTTGAAATAGCAGTCTTTCACAGTTTATTAAATATAACCAAGAAACAAGAAATGTCCGATCTTTATAAAAATATTTAAGTCAACCTTCAAAAACTTAAAGGTAAATGTCAAAACAATTTTGAAAATAGGGAAGTTAATAATCTGGGTATTTACCAGCAAACTGTAAGGAGATTAAGGTATTGAGTGGAGCATAAACTTTCAAACATTTGTGATGATTGGTGATAGTGTGCATATGGACAAAAAAATTAAAATCTAAATTCAAAAATACTCCGATACGGGGAGTCGAACCCCGGTCTCCACGGTGAAAGCGTGATGTGATAGCCGTTACACTATATCGGACGTAATCGTATGAAATGTTGTATTGGGATCTCAAATGGTTGAAGACAAAATATAACAGACGGTTACTTTTTATTTCAATAATCGTTGTTTTTTCTTCTTTTATATAAAGTAAGTTGTTAAACAGAGTTGCTGTTGTTAAACTGCTTATCTTTTGTGCATAGTAACGTTGGACTATGTAGCTCCAATTGTCGGAAATATATTATAAGATGTTATAATATAGAAAGTAGCAATACTTAGTTATTACAATTTTATGTTTAGTAAAAAATTATTACTAACTGTTCAATATGATTCTAGAACATTCTTTAAGAATGATTAGTAAGCAAGTATTACTAATTGTTTCATAAGTGTCTAGAACATGTTTCAAGAATGTTTAGTAAGAATACTATCAATATTTGGTACACTGTTTTTCCTTTCCCAAAAGTATAAAAGGACCACATATTCAAACTTTATATATATATACAATCTTCCTTATATAGACTTACTTTATATAACATAAAATAAAACACAAGATTATACATTTGAATATCTATAACTATGTCCGATAATTTCAACTCGAATACTAATCATATATTCTCGATTTCAAACTTACGTTTACAAACTTCAGAATTCTTTGTCTTTATATATTATTTATTTTCTTAACAATCTGTTTCTCATATTACCTAAACGATTGTTAAGTAGTGAACTGATTACCTAAACGATTGTCAAGTAATTGATTTTGTCAGAAATTAAGAGTAATGTGCACAACACTTAATTTCAATAGGTAAAGAACTACTTTTAAGCACAGTTATAGATAAGAATCAAACTAAACAGAGATGAAAGGTGTGATTGAGGAAATAAAAACCTTTAAAAAAATGATATAAAAGGAAGCTCTTAATATAATATATAAAGAATATTAAATATTCTACAATACGTAAAAATATATATAATAAAAGAGACCGATCGATTATCGTATTATAAAATGTCCGAATTAAAACAATTAAAAGTTGCAGAGACTACTAGAGGCAAAAGCTCTATCTCAGATTCTCTACAGATCTGTTACCGAAACGATTGTTAAGTAATGAATTTATTTGCTAAACGATTATGACCTAAACGACTATTACCCAATAAAATGTTTAGTTCTTATTAGGACATTTTAGATATCTTGATTCAATATAATTTCTGTCAATATTTTTATGTAAGATATAAAAAATCAGATGACTATAAGTCGATTTTATAATATAATAAAATTTGTTCAGTTATGTAAACGTAAGTTCGAAATCGAGAAGATGTCTAATATTCAATTTTCCCATCATGCTTTTGTTAATTCCTTTGACAATTTGGAATGGACCTAAATAGATGAGTTGAACCTTTGAGTATCTTCCTCCTATGAAGTAGGTATCTCTATGCAATAATACGTAATCGCCTTTCTTAAAAGTTATTTCTGTTCTTTTATCATTGTTCCTGGTCTCCATATCAGCAGCATTTTCTTCTAGTATATCTTTAACTTGTAGCATAACAGCCTTCTGGTGTTTAACGAAATCTACGGTTGCGAAATGTCTTGCGTTCGTTTGATTCTCAGTCGTTATTTTTGGTTCGTTGGGAATGTAACCCAAATCTACATCGAATGGAGAACGTTTTGTTGTTCGGTTTGGAGTTGTGTTATAAGTAAATTCCATCTGAGGTAGGAAAGTGTCATTCTGCTTATCACGGTTTCCCAAAAACGATTACTAGAGATAGAGACACTAGGTTCACTGCTAAGGATTATCAAGAATTCACAGAACGATTAGGAATCAAATTAACGATGTCATCAAGTAATCACCTCCAAACATATGGCCAATCAGAAAGAACAATTCAAATTTTAAACACATTACTGAAATCGTACGTCGCTAACAACCACAAACATTGGGATACTTTTCTCCCTCAGATGGAATTTGCTTATAACGCAACTCCAAACCGAACAACAAAACATTCTCCATTCGATGTAGATTTGGGTTACATTCCCAACGAACCAATAATAACGACGGAGAATCAAATGAACGCAAGACATTTCATTATACTCGGCGTCATCTTATTATGACCAATTAAGTAACCTAGGAATTCAACAGCGTGAGTAGCAAAATGACACATCTTGTCTTTTGCTACTAATTTTTCTTGCTGTAGAATTTGTAACACCTGTTCAATGTAACGCCAGTGCTCTTCTTTGGGATTCGAAAATATCAGAATATCATCTAAATAAACGCAAACGAACAATAATGAGCGGAAGAGACCTGCCATATAACGGGCAAATATACTGGGAGCGTTGACAAGTCCAAACCGCATAACTGTGTATTCATACTTACCATTTGTTATAACAAAAGCGGCCTTATACGTGTCTGACTTCTTCATAGGTATTTGGCGATAACCACTATGTAGATCTAACGTTGAGAAAAAGGAAGCATTACCAATTCTTGCGAGTAAGTTCTCTATACGTGGTAATGGAAAAGGATCCTTCACGGTAACGTTGTTCAAAGCTCTGTAGTCTACACATAGTCTATAAGTATTATCTTCCTTCTTGACTAATATAACAGGTGAGCTACACGGAGACTTCGATGGAGTTACGAAACCATGTTTAATCAAATCCTCTACAATATGGGCAATTTCTTCTTCCAGCTTTAGTTAAGTATTGTAGGGCTGTGAATGTGGAAGCTTAGTGTCTGGCTTTAAGTCGATCTCATGGTAAACAGGACACTCATATTCCTTCTCTCGCGGAGGGAGATTATTACGGACTCTCTCAGAAAATTTATCTTGTAACCAACGTGGTAAGTTTCTAAATGAATTATCGTTGTTCTTTTCAACAACGTTGATTACAAACACATCATCAATATCAGAGGAGCTAAATTTGTCCTCCGCTGTATCCATATTAACCACGTTAATACTATAGACGGGACAACAGCTATTTATATTCTCGGATGAGTTATGTTTCTTTAACAACACTGCAATTTCAGGAATGGAAGTAATTATCGGATAACCAATGATGACATCTTGTACCATATGAGATGTAACATAGACGGGCGTACCAATTACCAACTGACCCTGTTTTAAAGTGATTCTAGCAGCTTCGGTTGTTAGTGCAGCTTCTTGGGATGCAATACCCTTGAAGCGAAATGGAGGAGCGGGACGTACAGACAGTCCTAGTTTAGCAGCAATGTCATTACGGACAAAATATGTTGGTGAACCAGTATCATATAATACCTTAATGGGTTCCTGCTTCAAAGTCATAGTGACTTCGAAGGTACAACCAATAATGGACCTAATTGTTTCTTTAATGATTGGACATAGTGTAACCAGACTATGGCTGGTGACAGGGGTGACCTGCCTATAAGCGATTTCTCACATTAGAGTTATCGACTCTACATTCATGGATGTTGTGTCCTGGTTTTTGGCATTTGAAACATAAATGTCTCTTCATACGCTCAGTACGGGATAAGCGACCTGCGGAGTAGTTGTTTGATGAAGCATAACGATCATTTCCACCTCTGCCTCTTTCTCTAGGCTTAGTGTAACGTAGTGCATGGGTAACAGCAGCACCAGTTTTGACAATATCTCTGCCGGTGTCCATATGAGATGAATTCATGTCCTCCAAGAAACGATTTTCAATAGCAACGACAGAGTAAGCGGTCTCGAACGCTTCGTCTAGGGTCGAAGGGCGGGTTAGTGCCACAAAACGGGAAGTCTCAGGAGTAAGACCTCTCATATAGGACAACAAGGCACCCCTCTCGGTCCAATAGCCAACTGGCATCAAGGACCACAATTGTTTGAACTTGGTATTATAAGCTTCAATACCAGTACCAGTTTGTTTCAAGGCATTCATCATATCCAAGACGTCATTAGGATCCAATTGGTTGATGAAATGAGAGTGAAAATCGGCACTAAATTGATCATAATTATACGGACCTGAAGCGTGGCTCGAGAACCAGTTAAGAAACCATGTAGCAGCGGGACCAGCAAGGTTCTGTCGGAAGAAAGCGATTTTTTTCTCTCTCATCGACAATGTGACGGATCAAAAATTGAACTTGCATGACAGTCATGAAGTCTGGGAGTTTCATAATGTCCGTAGTACCCCGAAAGGTAAAAGGAGCGGAGCCTTTCAGAGTCGAACGGTGTGTTGGAGTCGGGACTGATGGATCCGAAGCTGCATCAGAGTACTCGAAAGCCATATCTAACTTGGACATAATAAAATAAGTTAAACGGGCAGTGACTTGACGGTAATATTATGGTAATTCGATGATCTTCTAACTTAAAAGAGAAGCGTTACCTGATGTTGTATTGCGATCTCGGAGTACGGGAGACTAAGATATACTAGAACGGTTATATTAATTACTATTATTAATCATGCTCTCTAATTAGTACTTTTATATATCTTCTATATATGTATTATATAATTAATGGAAGATTAGAGCAGAATGTCAAACGGAGATTCGTGTCTCCTATATACGTTTCTTTCAACGACCGACTTTAACGTGGACCTCAATCTGCCATTTGTTATTTTTAGATGTTAATTACCCGATTCGGGGAATTTTCGGTTGGTTTCATACATAACAAAAAATTACATGTAATATATCCGGGTAATGTGCGTTATAATCCAGATTAAACCATCTATTATCCGTCATTTAAGATCAAATACCCACTAGTAAAATGATTTTATATTATCGAGAGGATTATATTACTATTGAAGAGATCTGTAAGTGACTTTGGTCCAATAACTCTGTTACTTCATTACAATTTTTTGATAAAATATTTCTAGTGAAAACTTCTTTCTATAAGATAACATAAATATGTCAACAGGTTAAACACTTATGTACTATATACCTTTCATAACAGAAGTATTGATTGTTCCAGAAAGAGAAGGATATTTCACAACTTCTTTCACAAAAACTATGTAACTTGCTAAATATATATAATATTATCATTTAGTAACCAACTTTGAAATATAGAAGTACCCCCACTACTGTAAATAAAAAAACAAAAGTGATAAAATTATTCCCCCCAACTATCCATCCTTATATACTAATATATATATATATATTTGCTATTCTATTTGTAATTCAATAAATTACTCGTCAAATTGCTAGAAATAGCCGCCCATCCCTTTCCACACTCTGTTCCACATTTTTATACTAGTGACCACCTGACATCACTAGCCACGATTCAGCTTCCACTATAATATACATATTTAATTTGTTTTTTGTTTTTTGCATATTTTATGCGCTTAACGACACCTCTCTGACCGGCATCGCCTTTTTAAATAAATTATGAAATTTTTAATATAATATGCATTTATACACTACAGCACAATATGGTAGTGTTTTGGCTGAATTGGGGTGGCATAATAGATAAAATGATGAAAAATATATATATAGAGAGAGGTTATGGTAGAATAGAGTAGAGATCGTTAGTGACTAAGTTTAAAATATATCAGTATTTATTTCAATTAGAAAGGGACGTTTACGGAACATTGACTACTATCGGGTACTATTACAATAGAGAAAGTGAATTGAGAGAGACCATTGATTAATACTCTGAATAAACAAATAAATAAATAAGACATGTCGAAGATAGAATTAGGCCGTTATCTATTCGAAAGATTAAAACAAGTCGGCGTGCATACCATCTTTGGTTTACCTGGTGATTTCAACTTGGTGTTGCTTGACAAATTATATGAAGTGGAAGGAATGAGATGGGCAGGTGACACTAACGAATTGAACGCTGCATATGCTGCTGACGGTTACGCTAGAGTTAAAGGTATGGCTTGTATGGTTACTACCTTTGGTGTTGGTGAACTTTCTGCTTTGAATGGTATTGCAGGTTCATATTCCGAACATGTAGGTGTTTTACACGTTGTCGGTGTTCCATCCACATCATCACAAGCTAAACAACTATTATTACATCATACTTTAGGTAATGGTGATTTTACTGTGTTTCATAGAATGTCTGCAAATATTTCACAGACAACTAGTGTCATTACAGACGTCACGACAGCCGCATCTGAGATCGATAGATGTATTAGATCCACTTATATTTATCAAAGACCTGTCTATTTAGGAATTCCCGCAAATTTCTTCGAATTAAATTTACCTACTTCTTTGTTAGATACACCAATTGATTTATCTTTAAGACCTAACGATTTGGAAGCAGAAAATGAATGTGTTGGCCAAATTATAAGAATGATTCATAAAGCTAAGAGCCCAATAATTATATCCGATGCATGTGCCTCTAGACATAACGTGAAACGGGAAACTCAAGAATTGATAGATGTGACTCAATTCCCAGCATTCAATACTCCAATGGGGAAAGGTACTATCGATGAGAATCATCCAAGGTATGGTGGGATATATGTTGGTTCATTGTCCAAACAAGATATTAAACAAACTGTAGAGTCTGCAGACTTGATTCTTTCAATTGGTTCATTATTATCAGATTATAATACAGGGTCATTTAGTTATTCATATAAGACGAAAAATATGGTGGAATTCCATTCGGATCATATGAAGATTAAAAATGCGACATTTCCTGGTGTACAAATGAAATTTGTATTACAAAAATTAGTAGAGAAAATCCCTCATTCTAATATAAATTATAAACCTATTCCAATCCCAGAACCATTACCACCAAATAATGAAAATATACCGGATTCTACACCATTGAAGCAAGAATGGTTATGGAGAGAATTAAGTAAGTTTTTAATTGAAGGTGACATTGTCATAACAGAGACCGGTACATCATCATTTGGTATCAACTCTACAACATTTCCTGCAAACACATTAGGGATATCGCAAGTGCTATGGGGGTCTATAGGTTATGCGGGTGGTGCTGTATGTGGTGCTACGTTTGCCGCCGAGGAATTAGACCCAGAAAAGAGAGTTATCCTATTTATCGGTGATGGTTCTTTACAATTGACAGTACAGGAGATCTCTACTATGATTAGATGGAATTTACATCCATACTTGTTTATTTTGAATAATGACGGTTATACAATCGAAAGATTAATACATGGACCTGAAGCTGCATATAATGCAATTCAAAGCTGGGATCATTTACAATTATTACCAGTATTTGGTGCCACCGATTATGAAACGTATAGAGTCTCCACGGTTGGAGAATGGAGAAAATTAACTAATGACAAGTCATTTCAGAAAAACTCTACAATTAGAATGATAGAGATAATGTTACCTGTGATGGATGCACCTGTTGCATTGATTGCGCAAGGGAAGCTATCTGAACAATTGAATGCTGGAAATTAGAAGTAAAATATTGGACAAACAGACAATCCCCAAAACAAACAAACAAACAAACAAACAAACAAACATGCATTCGTTAGATAGATTGAACTATCCTTTTCATCATAGTCATCTTTACTTATAGACATATATACAGATTCATTAATTAATAAACTAATAAATACCAAACATCATTAATCTGATAAAAATAAATGGGGCGACGACAAAATAACAATAATAAAAAAGACAAGTTCAAAATATCTTCAGATTCTTGTCATATTATCAAAAAAACATAAGAAATATTTTATTCATAATTAGAATTATTATTTAAAAATATAAGTATATATATATCTTAAAGCATTTTATGGAAGTACTCTTGCCAAAATAATATTATTACTCATCAGTTATGGAATACCCTTACAAAAAAGGACATCACAGCTACTTTGTCCTCTTTAAAAACCGTTCAACAACATAATTTGATGGAATTCAGCAGTCTTGTCAGAACCTTTGTTGTACATTTTTATTTGTTTGAATTAACTTAAATAATATTTTGTGTAGTGATATTATCAAGATTGTAATCTCAAAAAAAGGAACAAGTCATGCTAGAAAACGAGATTAGTCTCGAGGAATGCTGTCATGAATATCATCACTATTATATACTAATCACTAACGTGAACGGCTGTTGATCAAAAATTTTGAAATTTTTTTCTTTCTTCATCTCCTCATTATCAGGTAATGGAAGCTATTACTTGATATTATTATTCTATTGGATTTGAATTATGTAACAAAATTTTATTTTTCTGATCGCTGCTCCTGTTGTTCTCTGGTTATTGCGTTAATCCCCCACATCATACCCCAAGAAAACACCGCAGCAACAATCTATGAGAAATATTATTCGGATTTTTTTGCCTTGTTGTCCTTGTCGTTTCTTTTTTGGACAGTATTATGCCGCAGCGGACGAAGAGGAAAATTTCTTTTTGATTTTGAGGGGGAAGAGCGGCGCGTTGTTTCTTTTTTGAAGTCCGAAAAGAGGTTTTCGGTTCGAAATTCTTTCAGTGCAATCTCCAACTCTAGTGCTATTTGGACTTTGAAGAACTGACGGCTGGTTAACTTTTCTATCTGAGAAGAACAATGGCATAACATGATGGGTGTTGCAAAGTATTATCGCTGCATATTATGAGTTTTAAGGTTCCGTGACTTACGCTATTTCTATATTTCCTGTTGTGATATAATAATAGATAATATATGTTTACCAATTATTCCAGAAGACAAAGAGGTTATTTTGTTCTTGAAATGGTGCGTTTATTGTTGTCTAATTTCCCTCTTCCTCTGACTCAGACGTAACCAATTTAACTTTCACATGGATCAAGCTAAGAAATGGATATCTAAAAAACTTTTCAAAAAATAAAAATAATACAATGTTAGAGAAGAAGGAATCTCAACAATATCCTTTAGAGTAGTTATCTTGCTGTAGATAATCTGAGATAGAGTTTTCCCCTCTATTAGTCTCTTCAAGCTTTGATTGTTTTAATTTGGACATTTTTATAATACGATAATCGATCGGTCTCTTTATATTATATATAAGTTACATCTTAAAGAACATTTAATATTTTATATATATTATATTAAGAGCTTCTTTTTATATCAATGAGTGAATGTGAATAAAGGATTTTCTTTACCTATATTGAAATTATGGGAGTTATATTACCCTTTATTTCTGACACTTGCTTATACATATTTTTATGAATAATTAATCAACTTTTGGAGCTTTTGAATTTTCTTGAAATCACAAGTTTGGAACTGAGAAATATCCCAAACTAATATAGTGCTGAAATTTCTTTTGCAAAAGAAATGTATCATATATCCAAGCACATTTTAGCACTCCGATTAATTTTTGTGATAGTGTACTGAAGCAGCCATAATAGATTAGATCTTGATTCGTTCATTATTATAGTGTCAGGTAGAGAGGAGTAGGTATAGACTGAATACTAATGTTTAAAATAAAACAAATATTATTTGTTATACTTTTCTTATATTTGTAAGTGGTTTCTTTTATTATATATAATTTATAGAACGAATAGAATCTAACTTAGAATGTAAGTTCACAATTCTTTCTTAATAAGATGTTACCTAATTATTACGTAATCTTTCATTTTTATTTGAACTTTTTAGATATCTTGATTCCACATAATTTCTGTCAGATAGATAACTTGGAAATTTAATATTATGCAATGTTATAGTAGAAATAAGACTTAGCACGAAAAAGTTTTTCGTTAGCTTAAACTCTCTAAAGGAGATAGTAACACAAGATTATAATTTAGGGTACACTTTACTGCTACATATATATATTTACATAGAGTGTACTAAAGAATATCATATTTTATCCCCTACATTGGGCTTGTTGGAACCATGCTGTACAATATGACTATGCAGAGGTAAGGAGCAATTAACATAAATAACTCTGTTTTACAATTATTACTTCTTAGAAATCACTAAGTTAACCTCCCCCATTACATCATGATATGAGGTTTCTTAATAGATATAAACTATGTAATTGGAGCTCTGACATGTTGTAATACAAACAATAATATGGGGATATATAATACACTACCAACTTGAAAATGAAAGTTCTTCAACCATCATTATTATGAAGTATTTGTCAAAAATAAAATGAGATTTGTTAAATATAGCGGCAGCACTAAAAAGGTTAACATTAGCTTAACCTATCTGAAGGTGAAGGTAGCTAATATAAGTAGAATTTAGAGTGTGCTGCACTGTCGTATATATAATAACACATGATATATACTGCATAATGTAGTATTCGTTCCCCCTACATTGGGTTTATTGGAGCTACATAGTCCAACGTTACTATGCACAAAAGATGAGCAGTTTAACAACAGCAACTCTGTTTAACAAAAAGATGAGCAGTTTAATAACAGCAACTCTGTTTAACACAAAATATAGATTTTGAGGGTTAATTATTAACTACTATGAAAATTAAGAGTATTAAGGATTACCCGGACATTAACTATCTAAAAACATTAAAAACTCTAGACTTTTTCATTAAATATAAGCGCAAGTGGTTTAGTGGTAAAATCCAACGTTGCCATCGTTGGGCCCCCGGTTCGATTCCGGGCTTGCGCATTTCTTTTCTATTTTTTTTTTTTTGCAACTTTATTTATAACTGTAGTCATGCTTGTAATGACAATTCAACCGACATTCAACCAACCTTTACCTTGGTATCATTTTGACAATTTCTTTTATTGTTTTAGGCTTTTATAAAATAAGAGAGTTTTATCACGTTAAATATTTTATAAATATTTAATGCGCTTAGCGATTTTCTAACTTTTAAGTACTGTCAAAACGACGATAACAAAAGAGATTAAATAAACCAAGAAACTATTTAGGAAATCGCTAAGTTATTCTACAGATCCAAATCGCATATTAGCAATGAGTAATCAAGCCCTATTCGAGAAGCTGTCACAAACGTCGGAATTACTGAGTGTAAAACTAGCACAACTTATTAGACTCTCATCTCTAGAGAATGTTGACGAGAACGATGACGATTCAAACAGCCCCAATGAGGGTTCTGAATTAGGAAATACTTTGACGGCGGAGACTGACATATCGGTTGCAACTTCCGGTGTTATGTTGGTAAATAGTCAAACAATGCAACTGGTCAAGGGCGTACAAGATTTGTTGTTGCTGACAAGAAATATCAGAGAAAAATGGATACTTAATCAAATCCCTGAAAAATCTGAGACCGAAGTCCCAGTTATTAATTATAATGAATTGGATAGTTTACTTGAGAAATGCATGGGAGAGATAATTGGGGAAACAGATTTATAGGTGTAATAAAGCCATATAAATAATTGTAATATATACTTAATAAACTAGGTTACTTGAACCGAAGTCATAACTAACAATATTTTTTTTTAAAATAGAATGTGTATCATTAAAACGTGGCCATCCCTTTATATGCTTACTTATTTAGATATTTACGTGCTAATGATCGTACTCTCGAATCAAATACTGGACTTGATATTGGATCGCCAGCTCTATAAAATGGATTCATCAGGGTCTTAATATATAGTTCATGAATTTCTTGGTAAAAAGATCTGCATGCACTATCATCTATAACAACACTAGCAGAAGTGTTGGAACCTCCACTGTTAGATGTTCCATGGATCATAACAAACTTCATACCACCATATGATATATAAGCTGTTATGGCCAAACCATAGAAATGATCGACCTTCCCTAAATAACAATTGTCTGTATTATTTACAGTTTTAGATCGTAGAAATCCTCCTGTACTTGATATACTAAAATTACTGCCATTGTCACTGTTATTGCCATTTGTATACTGGGAATTCGATGGTACCACTTGCCATTGCAAATCCTCGATAATATCCAGAGATGCATGCAATATGAATGGATTCATCTCCTTCAATTCTTGAGAAAATCCAAGGTTCTTTTGGTTTCCTTGTTGAATGGAGAATTCTGCTTCATATATGGGATTGTCCTTATGACCAATGATGGCAAAATATTGAGGCATTACAAATGGTCTTCTAGTGTTAGATTAATACGCAATTTGAAATGATTATCAGAATTAAACTATCCTATTTGTCGTTACTTTGGTGTTTATTAGGTTTTTAGTTATTGTTGTTTTATTGTTGTATGCGTTTATAGTATGTATGATTCATTTTCTTCGTATTGCGGTGGGGCTTTTCTAATGGTTTTTAGCTAATGAAAAATGTTGAACGCCATTGGACATAGAGATATTTTTATCAAGGGAGAGATGGCTTACAAAAGTTTCACAGACATAGGGAGTTATTGACGAGATTAAACATCTACAATATATAGGATTTGCGTGAAACCTGAGACTCATTAAGGTGGAATAAAACGATAATTTAGCTTAAAACGAATAATATAATACTATAGATATAGGAATTTAAAGGGGGAAAACCAACATTCATTATAACCAAACCTAACATACCGTTTTCTGGGAAATATATCAAATCCCCAAACAAAAATAGGCAATTATCAAATCAAAAAAATCCATCCGATCACAACTCATCTAACCAAAATAACAACACTATGATCGAATCATCTGACTCGGAAACGGGCAGTTTAGAAGGCAAAAGAATAACAGAACAATCAACAAATACAAATAGTCGTAGAGTGAAGTTAGTCACAAAATTATTAGTAGATATGAACTCAGGATTAATGGACGATTTGAATTATGATAGGGATGTAGATAAAAAATATGACGGTGAAACAAACAATGATAGAAGGAATAGTAGAGGAAATGACGCGGATATTTCCAACAATGATCATGATAATGATGAAAATGGTGAATATGGAAGTCTCATACCTATGGCAGAACAACAGGTAGTACCCAAAATATCAAAGGCCACAAGACTAAGAGCAGAAAGGGTACGAATATATCTTGATTATTACTATAATATTATGGAAGGGACACTTCGATCTGGAGAAGATGAGAATGGACATGAAAGAAAGAACATCCATAGGAACGTGGAAGGTGTTTATAATCCTCTTCAGATAATAAGAAATAGAAAACTTAAGAAGAAATATCGTGGGGAAACAGCAACTTCGGGATTTTTATTTTACAAAGCTCCTATCATTGCTGTCATTCAATTTTCTAATACTCCAAACAGAAAGAACTATAAATGGTTTGTTGATGTCAATGAAAAGTATACAGATTTAACTTTTAGATCTCAACATTGGGACGAATTAATAGATCCTACTGGGCATCGATGGTTCGGAACCCAAAAAACTCATAGATTTAGAACAGAGGCTCATAAAATAAAGAAAAGACGTGGTAGCTCTCATATTACAGGCCACTTACATCATCATCATCATAAAAAGAATAATAGTAAAGGAACATTATTAAGAGACAGTGATCAATCCTCAGATTCTATTTTAAATAAGGTCCCGAAATTAATAGTGACAACTGACCATTCTGACCCTAATTTAGAATCCAGGACATCTAGTAATAGTAATGGTATTAGTAGTCAATTTTCTGACCTAGATAAAGATAATTATAACGACAAATTGATACAGACGGTGTCAGATTCTGAAGTTGAGAATGGGAGTTTAAAGGAGAAAGAGAGTAATCATTTAAATAAATTTGAGAAAATCCTTAATAAGACTAAAAATCCCAAAAGATGGTCTAGATCTAAATCACCAAACAAGATACGAACTGAGGAAAATAACAACGGCCATGAAACTAAAAAGGATGTAACAAAGATAATACCACAGGAACTAGCGCCAGAACAAGAGCGTTCTAATAATGAGGGTGATCATCGGGGAAGTGTAAGTGGTCCTAGTAGTAAAGATAGATATGGCACATACCAGACTCCTGTTGATGGTACAGGCGTTAAAAAATTATCTTTATTAGATGACATTCCTATCCATACAGTGAAGACCCACTCGACTAATAAATTAAATATAGAGTCTCCAGAAGTGACGAAAACCAAAAGCGGTAGTTATAAATATGACAGCGAAATTAACAGTATTGAGCACAAGAGGGGGATAAAAGATGTTGAAATACATAATAGATTAACTACTGAAAATGCGGACGCGGTTATTAACAATAAGAATCTTAACATAGTAACCAATAGTGCGGATAATTCCAAGAATAGTTCAAGCAAAGAAGCGACTCCCTTATCCAAAGAAAGTAGTTCAAACAATTTCAATGAATTGCCTGTAGATATTCAATTACAGAAATATTGGCAAGATACGAGGTATGTCATTAGTACTATTGCCATTATGGAACACAGAAGACAATCACATGACTTAATCAGACAAAGGGCTATTCATCGCAGAAATTTGATAAAAGTAGATGAGAATACAGAAAAGAATATGGCAGACACTGAACAAATCATTAAGGAATATGATGAAGGATTGGATAGAGTATTAAAAATTGGTAATAGTTGGACTTCCAAATTATTAAATGATTATTCCATTAGGGTGGAAACATTGATCTCAGCAAGTGATAGAATTCTGAGTGATATTAATACTACATTGACACTAAAATTGAAATTATTTCAAGAAAATACCGATAGATTTGGTACTATACGTACCATGCAGTCACAGAAGATGACTAAATCTATTTATAAGATGTTAGAATTTTTTATTGTGTTAGTGTTATGGAGTATCTGGCTTGTTGTAAGTATATTAAGAGAAATTAAATTCTCAATACTTCTCGTCTTAAGATTTATTAAATGGATATTATGGTAAGATATGTAAACATGGATAGATACGTAGTGAATTATCGAAATATATAAAAAACACTGAGGTCCTACTTTTATTATTATTATATTTTATTGATCTAAATTTTGAATATATAGATTGGAAAGAATATAAGCTTTAAAACCCTATACTAACTCCTTTTTTATTATTGAGAAAACCAAACTAGAACAAAACGAATCTTAAATTATAAACATGAGCATAACTCGTCTTGGCTGAAAGTTAAAAAAGCAAAAAAATGCGATAACCACATCAGTATAATCCTTCATCAGCTTTTGGTGCGAGTAGTACTATCTGATACAAAATCTTCCTCAAGGAAAATACCTCTATCAGCAGCTTCATCTAAGATCTGGCTTCTTCTCTTCATTTCATTGGCGTAATAATTATTCTGGAATATCACAAGTTGTTTATCAGCTCTGAATACGGCTCCCATCGATATCCATGAACAATGATAAAATACACGTACAGGAGTTCTTACATTCCGGTAGACAGTCGAAACTCTTCGTAGAATTAAACCGGTAGTAATACTAATTAGAGCACCTTGAGCTGCACCAACAACACAAGCTACAGCGATCTAAAACTTATAATTCAGATAAACATATACGTCACAAAGTTATAAGGTATATATTCAATTGTCAATATATGTTAGTAAAAGATCAAACAAACATGTTTATTCTAAGGGTTCGAATTCGATATTATTTTTATCAACGTAGTAAAATACATACTTCTCTTGTTAATTGTTTAACTGTAGCAGGATCATAATGAATCGGCTGTACATGTTCACGCATTTTTATAATTATAATTATATATATATATTAGGTTTCTTATCTTTATATCGATCTCTATCGGTATGACAATGAGCAGACGTTCCATTGATTAATGTACGATTAAGTAAATTCATTTGTTATCCTTTATTTATAGTATATTATAATATCCTTATATATCGGTTACTTAATGAAACAGAAAACGCGGAGAGATTCGTTCCGTTTACAGTGAAATTTTGGAAAAGAGAGCAAATAGGCAACTACTAAAGAGGATATGAGTTGATTATAAACAAGATTCAACCGAAAGAGTTAGGCAAAGAGATTGTATTAGTTATAGATATATAAGTATATAAGTATTTATATATGGAAAATGAGTTGCTTGGATTCGATATATGCTTCATTAAAATGTGTTTTTGTGGTCCGTAGTGAGTATATTATTGAGCCCACTGTTATTGTTATTATTTTCATGTTGGGATGTGCTCTTATCGGAATGTGTATTCATTATATGTTTGAGCAATTGCAAGGGACGTGCTAACAGATTGTTGGCTGTTTCATTATATTGGTTCAACTTATCGTATAAGTTATTAATGATAGCATCCTTGCTGTTACCTCCCACCCACATTCCGTTCAAAGTATCATCTTCTTGAGCTAAGTGTTGGATTAAAGTGCACCATATATATGACAGTTGTTCTAAACATTTATCGTAGTAATAGTTGTTACTTGGTAATGTAAATCTTGGTAATTCACACACCATTTGAGTACAGGAGCCTAAGAATAATAGGGATTCTTGTAAATTTGATGAACGTGGTGGAATATTGTTAAGGATATAATCTGTAAGACAATTTAAAAACTCTAGCAGTAATGGCTTCAACCTAACAAAGGCATAATCATCTAGTCTGGGTATATTGTTACTCATATAATCCTTGTTATATGGGATAGTGGAATAAATATCTTGGAATTTTTCTCTTAGGGAAACCAACCTACGATCGTTCGAGAAAGAATATTGAGATAAAGAAGATTGTAAATGTTGGCTTACTTGAGGATGTACATGTAAAAGATCCATTATTACATTTTGTAGTTGTGATTTGTCCATTAGATCTAAACTTCGTTCCAAAGGTAATGGTTGTCCTTCTATCATAGCAATATAGTTAGGTGTATTTCCCAAGGTTAACATTGCAGCGGTAGATGTGGCAGCTGTTGCAGCAGCCATTGCAGATGCTGACACTGTCGAAGTATGAGCCATAGAGTTTGGTTTCTTCTTAGCCACCATATACTTCCGTAGTAACATGTTGTTACCACCAGTACTACTGGCGGTAATAGCAGATCTAGGGATACTAGAATCCATGTCGTTGTCATTATCATGCTGTCTCTTATGGCGAGTAGGAATAGTTGTTATATTGTCTTGTTTCCTCTCTGCCATCATCACCTGCTGTTGTGGTTCTTGTTTGTTTTGAAGACTGTAACCCCATGAAAAGCCTAACATCTGTGCCTCGCTGTTGTTTTTATATTTGTTATACATCACAGATACACTTATACGTATAGATTTGTGTGCCTATATATATGTATATGGTTCCCTCCTGTTCTGTCTTGTTCTTATCACACATGTGTAAGTTAGTGATTAGTTTATATATAATGCTTGCTTGCTTGCTGTGGTGAGAAAATGAAGGAATTGTAAAGAACCGAAAAGAAAAATTGTATGAAAAAAAAAAGAAAACCAAAGCAGTAAAGTGGTCATCGGTAAATTGTGCGAAGGTTTCTTAGTGAAAGAGTGAGAAGAAGAGCAAGGTGAAACAAAGGATATTTTACCAATATATAGATATCTAGAAATATAACTAGTTTATTTACTTTTTTGATAGATATTTCTGAACTTTCTCATCGATGATCTTTTCAATGAGGTTGTTTAACGTTGAATGAGAGTCATTAAATTGATTTTGTAATGCTACGGAGATTTGTTTTTCGATAAGTTTACCAGTAAGATCAACTTCAATGTTCACCAAACTACCGATTTTCTTCAACGGCATCACTACTACATCTTGAGTATGTGCGATCATGGCAATATAAAACGTACCATCAGCATCCACTTGTGTTACCGTCAGAGAGGTACCATCAATGCAAATGAACCCTTTCTCCACAATAAACTTCTCGTACTGCGAATCTCTTAATTTGAATCCAAACACTAAGGAGTTCCCTTCTGGTGTCACCGAGACAATGCTTGCCACTGTATCGACATGTCCTTGAACATAATGTCCACCGAATCTAACGTCTTGAGAAACTGCACGTTCCAAATTTATCCTTGTTCCAGCAACCCAATCGGCAACATCAGTGCGTACAATAGTCTCTGGAGAGATCCCTACTTTGAAAGTGTCCTTGTCAAATGCTGTTACTGTTAAACATATACCATTACATGCAATACTGTCTCCGATGTGACAGTCATTTAGGATGGCGGAGGCACCCTTGATGGTCACAGAGACACCTTGACCACCAGATGCACTGTTGTCCTGGAGGTTGTACTCCGCAACAGTTCCCATTAACTCTACTATACCCGTAAACATACTTGCCCTTATTCTTAAATGTGTATACTACGTTCTACCAGTTAACGTAAACCCAGAGACTTGGCCATCCAAACTGTTGGTCTGCAGATGCAGAGTATATTTTCATTTCCCTTTTTATAATCCCAAAATTTAGGAATTTCAGTCCTTTCGCTGCCGTGTTTCGCCTCCCGTCCCCATCCCGGTTTTTTTTGGCTTAGTAACAGACGGAAAGACGGAACAAAATGTAACGTAAGCGAAGGCGTCGTTGGCGGTTAAACTACAATTTAAAGGGCAAAGTTCTCTAATTCATTCATAGAACTTGATGGTGAAGAAGATGAGGATGAAGTTGCCACCCTTTGAACAACAACATATCATAGCAATCATGAGCATACTGCTACAATGGCTACAGTTGTAATGGAGGGGAGGGGTTTAATGTTGGATCTGATATCACTTTTCATTATCTTTTTTGATTAGAGAATGCCAACTGTATATTTATCAATTAATGAATCCTACAGAATGATGTGAATATTTAGTATAAGATACAGTAACAATTTGTTGTTGTAGGATATGAGATGACCTTTGACATTGGCAAATTTGTAATATTATGAATCGTTTAACGTAATCTGAGAGTTGAGACCTAAACCCTAATATAAAATTACTAGGGCTACATATTTGGTTTGTCCACGTGACTTACAAAAACACGTGACCCACCACTCCACGTGACTTTAACTCCCCAATTCTCTTTTTTCTAATTTCTTCATTAGGATTAGATCGCCGTTTTGACATCGCCACGGTCAAGAGTCATTCTACACACATATTACGAAGTCTACGGATAATTTATTACATCTAATAATCTAAGTCACCTAAGAAACGTCATACCTACCTAGTTTCTTCTTCTTCTTCTTCTTCTTTCAGGAAGTGTGGCATCTTTTAGTCTGATTAACAGGATATCCACCACATACGATTGAACAGATCATTACATTATCTATCTATATATATATTAGCAAGCTCGATGAAGTGAAAGGAAATTTATCTCTTTCTCCGAAACTATATTTTGTTCAGAATATTCAAGGTAAGCAAGAAAATAATAATAATAATAACAACACTATTTCCGAAGAGATGTCGTCTGTAGAAGCTACCACAAACCCTTTTGTTGGTGCCAATTTCGACACTAAGAGTCAATACCGTACTCCAGTCGATCTGATTAATGATACCATCGCTCAAAATGTCTCAGCTATATTTGGTTACAAGACTTATTCTCAAGCAGATCTATTGTACTCAAACTTACCATCATCTTCTCAGTTCTTTCAAGAATCTGATATTAGAGCTGGTGCAGGTCTAGCACCATTAGGTTATGCCGCTGCTCGTCAAGAGTCTGTTGCTAACAAACCAATTGCGATTGTGACTCCAGGTTATGGTCTACCATATTTTGCTTCATCTTTAGCCAATTCAAGTGCTAGCTTCTTATTTAACGTTGCCGCACTAGCTTACCAAGATAAAGAAGGTACCCTTGGTATCGACTACGTTACTCCATTATCTGTCGCTAAACAATTAGGTTACAACGTAGTTACACCCATCTCTACCAAAGAATTAGAACTGACTTCATTATTGTCAGTTTCTCTAGCTGCAGTCTCAAATGTCAGATCCACCATTCATCTTTTTGATGGATTGACTACTACTCGTACTTATGCTTCTTTAAAGCCAGTCATCGAGAACTCTGAATCAATTGTTGCAGGTCTAGTTAAAACTTTAGGTAATGAACCATCTTTCGATGCAGTTCTAAAGGCTTTTAATGAAGCTACTGGAAGTAACTTGGATAATTTCCATTACTCTGGTCCAACTAACCCAGAAACTTTGTTTGTCACTTATGGTATTACCGAATCCGAATTATTTGGCGCTGTGGGTCCAACTTTAGCAGTTAGAGTTCCATTACCATTTGATACTGCCAAGTTTGTTAATAGTATTCCAAAAAGTGTCAAGAAGATTGTAGTTGTTGGCCAATCACTAAATGACAACCATGCTGCTCCATCACCATTAAGACTAGACGTTTCTTCTGCTTTGTTTTACCATAATCGTAGAGAAATATCTGTCCAAGAACATATCTACAAGCCAGATTTTGTTTGGACTACTCGTGAAGTGACTAACCTAGTTACTGAATTTGGTGTTACTGCACCAACCCAGTCATATGACGGAAAGCGTGCTTTGTTCTATCTTCCTGATGACTCTAAGGTCAGCACTATCGCCGCATTATTAGCTAGATCATTAGCTGCTACTAATGATGACGTTACTTTCTCGACCAAATACAACAATTTGGTCCACAATGGTGCTCTTGAAGCCGATCTATCAATCGGAGCCACTGAATCAGGTGCAGCAACAGCTGACTTTGTCTTAGTCCAAGATATTAACCTGTTGAATCATTTGGACATTGTTAATGCTGTAAAATCAAATGGGGTAATAGTTTACTTAGCTACACGTGAAATTGACAACTACCCAGAACAATTTATTGCTGATTTAATTTCTAAAGAAATTAAACTTGTCACAATCGATCCAAATGAATATGAGGAAGATATTGATTCATTGGTAGTCGTTATTCAAGCTACTTTCTACGAGACAGCTCTACAAATCCCAAGAGGGGAAATACTTAAAAAGATAATCTCTAACTTATCTCAAGAACAAATCTATGATTTGATCCATGCCGAAGAGGGTTCTGAAGAAAATAAGGTAACTATTTATGCTTCTGGTCAATTACCAAAACCAGAATTCTCAGAGGAAGTTCTTGAACAATTACCAACTTTTTTCCAAGCCAATGCCTTTGTTGCTAATGATATTAAAGAACAACAAGAAGAAATCAATGAAGTACCATCTGTGACTTCTACAATTACCGAACTGACTAAGAGATTAGCCTTTAAGGAAGCTTACCATGTTGAAAAGAAATTAAGACCCGACCTACCTTTGATCAAGAACCATATTATTAAGGTTAAAGAAAACAGACGTCTAACACCTGATGATTATGACAGAAATATTTTCCATATTGAATTTGATATCTCAGGTACTGATCTTACCTATGACATTGGTGAAGCTCTAGGTATTCATGCCAGAAACAACGAAAAACTAGTACTGGAGTTCTTAGAAGGTTATGGCTTAGATCCTGAACAAATTGTTCAAATTCCAAATAAGGACCAACCTCAATATATCGAGTCTAGAACCGTTTTACAGGTCTTTGTCGAGAATCTTGATATCTTCGGTAAACCACCTAAGAAGTTTTACGAATCTCTGATCCCATTCGCGAAGGATGAAGATGAAAAGAGATTCTTAGAAGAATTGATTATTCCAGGTGGTGCATTAGAGTTGAAAAATTTCCAAGAAGTAGAATTCTACTCGTATGCGGACATATTCAACCGTTTCCAATCTGTTAGACCAGAACTTGGTGACTTAATTAGCATCGTTGCTCCACTAAAGAGAAGAGAATACTCTATTGCTTCTTCTCAAAAGATGCATCCTAACGAAATTCATTTGTTGATCGTTGTCGTTGATTGGGTTGATAGCCAAGGTAGAAAGAGATTTGGTCAAGCCTCCAAATATATTTCTGATCTACAAATAGGCCAAGAGTTGGTGGTCAGTGTTAAACCATCTGTCATGAAACTTCCAGCTGACCCTAAGGCCCCAGTTATCATGAGTGGTCTGGGTACTGGGTTGGCTCCATTTAAGGCAATTGTTGAAGAGAAGTTATGGCAAAAGCAACAAGGTTATGAAATTGGTGACATTTTCTTATACTTAGGTTCTAGACATTGTAGACAAGAATACTTATATGGTGAAGTCTGGGAAGCTTATAAGGACGCCGGTATTATTACCCATATCGGTGCAGCTTTCTCCAGAGATCAAAATAATAAGATTTACATCCAAGACCGTATTAGAGAAAACTTGGGTGATCTGAAGACTGCTATGATTGATCAAAAGGGTTCATTCTTCTTATGTGGTCCAACCTGGCCTGTTCCAGACATTACTTCAGCTTTAGAAGATATAATTGCTGCTGATGCCAAAGAAAGAAATGTTAAAGTTGATCTAAATGAAGCGATCGAAGAGCTAAAGGAAACTTCCAGATATATCTTAGAAGTCTATTAGTGAATTCATGTTCATAAAATTTATTTATACAAATTTTATCTTTCTTGTATATTTAATTAATATTATTTATTATATTTACTTTCTTGTTTTCTATCATATAGTATGACAAATTATTATAACCCAAAGTGGGCTACATTATACTGACAACAGACGTACCATCCTGGAATCTTGTTCTAAACACTCTATTAGCATTCGTGAACATACCCTCTTTCAAAGAAACAACAACAAATTGAGATCCCTTGAATCTTGTCTTTATTAAATGACCTATATTCTGAGTGTGACTCAAATCAAGAGCAGCATCAACCTCATCCAGAATATACATTGGAGCAGGTCTGAATTGCAACAGAGCCATAATAAGTGATAATGCAATTAATGACCTTTGACCACCAGATAATTCGACTAAACTCTCTTTCCATATGCTACCTAATTTTACCTTAACTTCGAGACCTTCAGTTACGTCCTTGCCCTCTTGCGAGACCAATTTTGCAAAAGAATTTGGAAGCAAATCAGCGAAAATGTTACCGAAATCCTTATTAACTATCTCCCACGTCTTCACTAATGTCTCCCTCTTAAACTCATTAAGTTTAGATATTGTTTCCTTGATCTTTAATTTATCTTTCTCAATAGTGTTAATCATTGTTTTCAAGGCAGTTTCTTTTTTCTCAACATTTTCTATCATACTCATGATATTTGGATTAACTTTGGGCCTTAGAACTTTATAATTCTCCTCTAGACGATTAGCTCTTTCTTTATACTGTGACAAATTAATACCCGCATGCTGGGAAACTATACCTTTGACCATGTCAAAATCTTTTAGCCAAACGAATTCCTCTGTTAATTCCTTAAGCCTTTTTTGCAAATGTTTTGAGTTGTTTCTATAATCGTTAATATTGTTTTTGATCTTTTGCGCATCTAGCCCATTCTGTGAAATTAGTTCTTTTTTATTTTTAATAAAGGTCTCCAACTCTTTGACTTCCTCATCAATTTCAAATAATCGGTTATTTTCTTCAGCCAATTCTCTCTGGATAACAGTTAAGTCTTCTGCTTGTGAAGCCAAATTAGCTTCAATTTCAGTTTTCTTTCGTCTAAGATTTTCTAAGGATACTTCAGTTTGTTCAATTAAAGATGCATTTGCCTTGGTATCACTATCTAGTTGTTCCGTATCTAATTGCAAATTCTGATAGATGTCGTATTTTTCTTCCAATATTGAGTTTAACTTAGTGATCTCATTAGATAGACTATTCACCTCTTTCTTTAATTCATCCAATTTTGCACCTTTATTGTTTGCGAATTCATCTGCATCTCTTTGAATTTTTTGTATCTCCATATTTAAAGTGTCAATGTCACCTTCAGTTCTTTCAATATCCGTATTACATGACTGAATATCTGCGTCTAATTCTTTCTTTCTTGCTACAAGTTGAGTAGCACTATTTGAAGAGAGACTCTTCCTAGCAAGGTCAAGTTTATGCTGAGCTATGTTTAGTTCATTTTGCAAAGTCTTAGTCTTCTGAGAAATTCTACTCTGTTCTTGAATCTGCTCCTTGATACCTAATATTTGATTCTCCAAAATTGCAAGCTTTGAATTTGTTTCATTGTACTTTTGGATGTCCAGTAATAATGAATTTGAAACGTTCCTGCTCCCACCAGATAAGGTACCTTCAGGGTCATAAACATCACCATCAAGAGTAATACTTCTCGTTCTCACGTTTGGGTTAAATGTAACTTTTTTGGCTGTCTCTGCGTCTTTACAAATCAAACTACCCCCAAAAATAAACTTCATTGCTTTAGACACTTCTTCTTCATACCCAATTAAATTTAATGCTAGATCTACAGAACCTGGTGCAATCGATTTTGCCGTCTTTAAAACCTTTTCGTTAACTACCCTTGTAGCGATCCTGTTTAGTGGAATAATTGTCACACGTTTACGAAGACGACCTCGTTGTAATAACTCAGATGCTGTCTTTTCATCTTCAACAACGACATTATATAGCCTACCACCAGCACACACTTGTAATGCTGCTGCACAATCCAAATTATCCTTTTTAACTGTAAAAAGTTGTGCCGCAACACCTTTAACTGCGCCTGTGTTAAACCCTTCAAAGGGTTTTGTGTATTGGAAGTCTAAATTATTCATCCTTCTTCTTAGATTCTCCATCGAACTTGAAACCCTATATATCTCATTTTGGAAGTTTGTCTCTTTCGCTTTTAATTCCTGCTGAAAGCTAGGATTGAAACCAAATTTTGCTAGATTGTTAGTTAGATCACTACATCCTGTTTCTAATTCTTTGACATGTAATTCTAATTTTGCGTGTTCACGTTTTGCTTCATCTAACCTTGGTGTATTTGTGGTTAATTCTCTATTCATAATTTCGATTCTCATATTTTTTTTCTTTATATCTACCTGGTACTCATTCAGTTTGTGTTTTGCCGCAACTAATTGTCCAGTGTAACCATTATCTGTCCCACCACTTGAAGAAATACCTGTAGATAATGTAGATAGCAACTCGCTCTTAGTCTTGTGATTAGATTTTACCGTCTCTAGTTTCTCATTCAACTCATTGTATTCTTTCTCTATCAATTTGTATGTATTTGATTTAGTTGTCAGATCCTTCGCAATTTTATCTGTGCTTGCCACAAGATGTTTTGCCTTCTTCTCTGTATCAGTCACATCATTATTACAAATAGACAAAGTTGTATTTAATCTCGATATTTGATCCAGTAAATCTCCTTCTTTCTTTTCAAGTCGTGATAATTTTCCATCCTTCTCTATATCTGATTTCTTTCTATTCTTTATTTCTTCTAAATCTTCATTTAATGATACGATCTCACCTTTAGTCTTTTCTAGCAAAGTAGCAATTTCAGTCATACGTTTTTCGCCATTTTCCATTGTATCTTTCGCAGTTTCATACCTCTGTTTTGTATTAGAATAATCGAAAGCACGAACTATTCTTGAAATTTTCTCGAGATCTGATTGAGTGGTTTGAAACTCTAAAAACATTCTTTTTTCTTGCTTTAACTTTTCTAACTTGGGTCCAATTTCTTCAACTAATAATGACCTATTTTCTTGCAACTTCTCCTCTTTCTTAGCCATAGTTCGCTCAGCCTTTTCTCTTCTATCTTCATACATTTTGGTACCTGCTGCTTCCTCAATCAATGATAATATTTCGGTTGGTTTCATATTCAAAACTTTAGTAATCTTACCTTGCATAATTAAGAAGTTTGGGTTATTAATATTAAGTTGAACAGACTGAAATAGTTGTAGAATTGTTTGTTGAGGAGCTCTATGACCATTAATTAGATATTTTGATGTACCGCCTAATACAATTTGCCTCGTTACAGATATTTTAGGTGAGTCCTTAAAGCCAATTGGTAAATTTGTTTTATCACTATTATCAAACACAATAGTCACACTAGCCTTTGTTACACCAGCTTGACCTCTCTTATAGATCAAATCTTGTAGGTTTGAGGCTCTAACAGTGCTCATCGACGAGATACCAAGGACAAAACATATTGCATCTAGAATATTTGATTTGCCAGAACCATTTAAACCTGTAATGGCGTTGAACTGGGGGTCCCAATCAGAAATGACGGTCCTTGTAGCATACGATTTGAAACCGTCAATAATTAATTCCTCGACTTTCATGGATAATTTATGGCCTATTGATGGATCAGGATCTTCTCCGAGAAAGAGTTTTAGGAATTCAACTTTTCTATATCCTAGTTAAGACAATTAACTAGTATCCGGCTATGTTATTAACAATATGGCAAACCAGATCACGTTAAAGTGTTAAACCATATATTAGTTTTTATTTGATCTTAGATATTTTAATGTAAACAAACATTTTTTTAGCGAGCAAAATTATTATTACCCGCATATCAAAAAACAACAAGAAAAATCACCGTATAAGTTACATTCATTCTTCATATAGAAACTGGTAAGGTTTAACACAGATCCCCAAACATTATAAATATTATATAGGTATTTTATCAGTAATTAACGTAATAAATTGAATTATTTATTAGAAATGACTAAGTGGTTTTAAATTTACAAAAAATGTGAATGACATAACATAAAAATATATTATATATTCTAATCTTGGGTCTTTTGAGAACCACGTAGTAGACCAGTTCTTCTAGCGGCAATCAAACCAGCCTTTTGACCAGCAACAGCACCTCTAGAAATAGTGGAAGCCTTACCAATATGTTGATGGTTACCACCACCGTGAGGGTGATCAACCGGGTTCATGGCAACACCACGAGTCTTTGGCCAAGAGTTTCTCTTTAATCTGTACTTGTGGAAAGCACGACCAGCCTTCAACAATGGCTTGTCAACTCTACCACCACCAGCAATAACACCGATGACACCTCTAGCGTCAGAAGAGATAACCTTCTTAGCACCAGATGGTAATCTGACTCTGGTCTTGTTTTCGTCTGGGTTGTGACCAATGACGATAACGTAGTTACCAGAAGCTCTGGCAATGGCACCTCTGTCACCTGGTCTTTCTTCGACGTTGGAAATAATGGTACCTTCTGGGACAGAACCAAGAGGTAGAACGTTACCAACACTTAGAGCAGCCTTCTTACCGGCGTAGATAAATTGACCGGTGTGGACACCTTCGTTAGCAATGAAGATTTCTTCACGTAACTTGTACTTGTATGGGTCACGGAAAACAACCTTAGCTAGAGGAGCACCTCTACCAGAATCGTGGATGATTTGCTTAACAACACCACGAATGTAACCGTGACGTTCAGCGTAATCCAAGGTTCTTAACTTGGCGGCACCTTGTCTCAATCTAGTGTGAGAGGTGAAAATGGAACCAGCACCCTTTCTTTGATTTCTAATAACTCTACCTGTGCAAAACAAATTTAAAAACATCCACGAAGTAAAAACAATTTCAAAAGTAAAATTGATTTCATTACATGTACGATGAAAATAAAAAAAATAATGTTAGTAAAAATGGTTCCATCAGTAACCGAAGTTTTTTCGAAACCTATAAAATATCATTGCAATCTTGATCAAGGGCTCTAAAACTATCCCGATAATGTTCAAAGAACTTTAGAGTTCTTTGAACAATTCAGAAAAAATGTCCGCTTGACTGTTACATTAAAATTAATGTAACACGAATTGCCACCTAGAGTCTTCAACCTTTAGTCGTTGTCAAACTTGTTACATCTGAGATCGACCATATTAATTTTCACAAAGAAGGAAATTTTTAAATATAAAAAAGTAATTCATATGGAAATAAAGGAAAAGCTTAGGGATAATTGACTACTAGTATCTACACGATCAAAACAATCCTATATTACTAGTGTCAAACAATATATTCTTCAATTCAAAGTTTATTTATTAACTTATCATGTAAATATTGATGCTATTTAATGCATCTGTATTATATCGTTGGAAAATATCAATTTCAATTGAGAATTATCACATTGATATTCTATGATTTCTAGAAATGCTATTAGAACATACCCATTCTGAATTGACTGTTTGGTCCTTTTTAAGTTTACCAAAAAAAACAATAAGCAAATATAAAATTTCAACTTGTTGTTATATATATCGAACGTTATCTAAGTTTTGGCAGCAGTAATTCCTAAACTATTGCTAATACCTGCGTTTTGCTGTTGAGGTTTGACTACTGTAAGGCTTGTTCTTACTAGGCCCACTTCTTGGAATTCATTGAAAAATTTCATATTGCGTTTGTCTCAACGCCCCAAAAAAACTAAAAAAAATGTTATTTTCAAGAATTTCAAAGAAAAAAAGGTAAAACAATTTTAGAATGGGAAGGATGTACGGATGTTAAAGCTAGGTTCAGTCACAAGAAAATTTCATATATATTTCTCTTTAATTTGAAATGATATAAATTAGATAAACACATAAATGTGAAAATAATTAAAGCCAGAACTTGCTATTTTTATTACTAGTTTTATTAATATTGAAATATTTTTTTTATAAATAATATTGAGGGGTCATCTATCAGAGCCATTGAATCTTGACCAAAATTTATTATGGACTTCCCATTTCTCCCTCATTTCAGGCAGTTGATACAGATGTTGATAGCCCTTCAACAGGAACAACAGGAACAATGCTTATTCTAGGTTCATAATCAACAATCACTTCATCCGAAATGACAGGAACACCTGCCTGTGCAATAGGTGTTTGCATGTTTGCCGACATTGAGTCAGTACTAGGGGGCATTTGTCTCTGTTGAATGTTTTCAATGGCGCTATCAAGCTCTTCTTGCTCAGCAATCCTTTTCACTTCTTCGATTTTTGTAAGATAAGCTGGTCTTACAATAACTTTATTGTCGAGTAACTTTTTCTTCGACATAATCTTAGCTACTTTCTTTAACGATTCACCAGTCTCTAAAGTAATCAAAGCTGATGTAAATGCTTGTCTTTTGGAACCAAAACACATTTTACTTCTGGTTGGCGACGACTTAAAAATCCAAATTTCCTTTGGACGGAATGCTTTGAAATGTTGTCTTAAGTGTAAATCTGTAGTACCTTCTGGTAATATTTTACAATACACTGTCTCAGTAGAGACAGCTTTTCTTTTTACATACAATTTATTAGGAGCCATAGCAGGTGCAACCATTTCTTCCTCAGTCAACTCAACAGGTTGAGAGTCATCATCATCATCAATAATAGAGACTGGTTGAACTAAATTAGACTCTGTTGAATCTAATTCTATCTCTCTCCCGATGGAAGGACCGTGTTTTAAATTCTTTTTACCTTTTTGTCTTGGCACATAAGGTTGGTGATATCTTACTTTTAAAGGTCTCCCTTTATAGATCTGGTTAAACAGATGATCAATCACATAAGTCGCTTTTTCTTTAGTCTCAAATTCAGCATAAGCTATACCTAATGGATATGGGCGATTCTTCCGAAATCCATATAATGATTGAACAGGAATAATTACCCATGTTACACCAAAATCTTTTAGATACGTATATAACTCCTTCTCACTTACAAGGTAACTTAAATTCCAAATCAAAACCCTTTCCGTTGGTTCTGCTCTGTAAACTGGAGAATCATCTGGCTGATGTCTAAAACGTAACATTTTAAGGGATAAATTAAATCGGTCAAAGGTAATATGATGTGTAGTGAAACTGCTACTCGACAACCGAAACACTCGAACTCCACCCCAACTTAAAAGGAATATATGATATACTTCATTTATTATATCCCTTTTCAGTTCTCTGCTTTTAATGTCATAACTATCATTTGTGGCGCGACGTCAAAAAGGGTAGCATAACCGCCGAAGTAAAATATAAGAAAAGGGTAAACAAACAGCTAAAAATATGAAAGAATAACAAATTGAGGTATATCTATCGTAAGATTGCCAAATTGGAGTTTAAAATTCTCTTACGTATTACTATATAGATAAATCGAAAGTTATAACATATTTTAAATAAAAATGAATCAATGTATTAATTATAATATTATATTTTATCTAATTATTTTCAAAGAGTTTTAGTTCTTAGCGGCACGCTTGGCAGCAAGAGCCTTAGCAGTACCATGTAGGGCGTGCTTGTGGTTTCTCTTGAACTTTGGATCGACACCCTTTAGAGATGGGTACTTGTAGGTCTTTGGCTTCTTGATACCGTTTCTGTGGGCTTTTTTGGTTTGGTTATGAGCCGTATGATTCTTAGATTTAGACATTGTCTGTAATGATAAAGTACTAAGTTTGATATTGTGTTAATGTTAAAAGTTGTATTATTATTAATAATAAAAATAAGAACATATCAATCAAAATAGTGTTAGGTTAGTAAAATTATAAATTTAGTATTGGATGGTCGTAGTATAGACGTTATATCATTGATATAACTCAGTCCGTATCAATTCATTCTTAAGATCATATCCAGTAAATAACATTAGTCGTGTAATTATAATTATAAATACGTTTCCAGTTTACTCCCCCAAAACATCAAGTAACATACGTGGAGAATGCTATTTTGTTATGACTTCATCAATTGCAATATGTAACCCAGCCCTAAATCTTTTGCGTATATCGTAATTAAGTTAAATCAGATGTTACCACTAGATATTACTTCATTTATTCGGATTAGCTGAAACTTCCAGTACGCTCGACATTTCTTAACCACGTTTTATACTTCAGTATATTATACATACGCTTTACCTTATATGTTCCAAAGATATTCCTATTTAATAAGAAAAAATTATAATAATACGAAGTATACAATAATAAGTACGTAACTGTATTGCTATTAATAAATGTGAGGCTTTACTTATTTCAATATCTGTTTACTATATTTTACATAGAGAGAAACCCAGACCAAACACCGCTTAGCTATACCTGAGGTGACTTGGACGGTAAACTTACAAGTGGAAATTACGGCAACTACTGGAAGATGAATGAATACATAACAAAATCAGAACGGATATCTGCACTTGGCTGTATTCATCCATAAATTATGTGATCCTCCCATCCAATACTATCATTATTATCATTATCATTATCATTATCATTGATCTGGCAATAATTCCAGATATTTCAGAAATTTTCAAATTTCAAAATTATTTTCAAATTTCAATTTTGAATTCTTAGGCAAGACAAGTCTTACCTCCATGTTTCAGTGAAAAAGACGTACATATGCTTATATTCAGCGAAGTTCATTTGTGGAAAATAAATTTAAATTTATTTTCAGATATTTTTCGGAAATGAGTATAAGTTTCCGTAGAGGTAAGGATTAATAATGGGGTGTACGGATGGACACTGCCATCGTCACATATGTAGAAGTAAGGGCCAATGAGAATACAATCAGTTAATAAATAATAATATGGATTAAATATAAAATGTATACAAGAATTATTGACAGATTTACATTTATCATTCAAACATGTGATATGATAAATGTATACTCGAATAATAAGGAGTGGTTGTGGCTGAGAATTTATAAATATAAATAATTTTTTAAGTTTTTATTAAAGGTGTAGGCGATAAGGTTCAAAGAATGTACAATGTTTGACATGATCGGTAAGGTTAATTGGCCGTTTTAGTAGTAATGCCTTAAGAATATTTAGAAAATGGGAAAATAGAATTGAATAAAAAAATAAATAAATCAAGTAATGGATATATTACACTGTTTAGTCATCCTTACACCACCATCTGTAGTTAAGTATTCATCTTACTTCAGTTTATTAAATAGTCTAGGAGCAGCACAACTGTCTAAGTAATGTTGTAGATGGAAAAATTCTTCGACACAATCTTCCTTATTTTCCAAATCATCGTAACCTGGTTGTTCCTTTTGTAATTGAACCCTTGCCGCACATTCATCGTAATGATGTTTTAGTGCTTTACCTTTTTCCGTCTGTAGACATTCTTCTTTTAGTTCGTCATATTGATCCTTAGTTTCTTCCTCGTCTTCATCTTCGTCATCATCATCATCATCTTCTTCTTCTTCACCATCATTAGTTTCCTAAATATAACAATATCACTATTAAGTAATATAGTACTGTTAGTAATGGTAAGCAAACGGTAACAAAAATAAATAGAAGTTAAATATATAACTTTTCAATCTTTCAACATACTTCGACTTCGTCTTCTGCTCTAGCGACGATTGGAACAAATTGATCCTTAATTTCTTCTATGTAGTCAACAATGGTACTCAACATATTAGTTCTTATTTAAATGTTTGTAATGTATATGCGTAATAATAATATTAGTGTATAAGGTTGAAAGTCCCTTTTGATATAGTATTTAATAATTGCGAACGCTTTAATATTTGTATCTTTGAATATTAATCCTATATATACATATATAAAAGTACCTTTATATGTAAAGTTGGTTTATATATTATTAAACCTACAAGAAACTTTTACAGTAAGTAATAGACACTTTCCATTAGTTGGGTTTATCGGATGGCGCGCATTTCTTCAAGACCAAGGGGGCGAACTGGGCTACGGAGTTTCCTGGGCAATTCGATAGGACATCACGCGATACGATGAGGGGCCGAATTCTTTGATATCATTGGTTGTTCTAACATAGTACACACATACATATATAAGTGAACTAGCACCCGAATCGATGCGATGTACTTAATAGCGTTATCTATAAATTTATTGGAATATTTATGTCGAGATTGATGTAACTGAGTAAGTATAGAGTGAACTGGGCTATACAACTCATCAATTATATAGCGTGTACCTAATTATATACTTGCGAGAGTGGTGAGAGTAATCAAGAACGTTGCTCTTACGGTTGTTCTGAAGTTCATCAATGGTTATGCTCTTGTTCAAGTTCATGTACCCTCTTCTGAAGAGAACGTATGTATACACAAGCCAGTTCAGCCGTTGTTGCTTTCGATGGTATACTTATCATTTCTTTTAGATCATCTGGTATTAGACCACATAAGTCATTAAGCGCTGAGTTCAATCTGTTACGACGCTCTTGTTCTGCTACTTTATGTACTTCCTTCTTCGTATCATCCTTCTTACCGGACTTAGATTCTGATGATCTAGAGTCTGTTCTTGTCAAACGAATAGTCGAACCGCTATCTCCATTGGTCTTTGATGGCTTTTTAGATTTTATAAGAGGTGATACCCCTACATTATTAATTCCATTTTTCCCATTCTTAGGTGATGTACCATTACTTGACAATGAATTTGATGACCTACTTCGATCAGAATTAGTCTTTTGTTTCCAAGATTCGGTAGTTTCGATACTTGTTTGTAATGGAATTTCAATCCTTTTCTGAATAATACTTCCATCTATATCAATATCATTAGAAGAAACTTGATCAGGATATGAGGCGGGTAAAATCTTACTAGCAACAGCAAATTGACTAGCAGTCAATGAGGATTCCTTAGATCCACTATCTGGTGTATCAATATTTGTCCCATTACTAGTGGATATTACTGTGGTACTACTTTCTGGTAACTTGAACACCATATCATCCCAAGAGGCGTTTGTGGGTGTCGTAGAGTTATTCCCCATGGGGGTACTACTTGCACTGTCATTATTATTACTGATGGTAGATCCATTCTTTGTCTTCAATTCTTGATAATTTCTTCTTGATCTATTGGCACTCAAGTACGGACTATTCTTTCGTACTTTAGAAGACGATCCATTAAAGGTTTGTTTAGTTGAATTACCACTTGAACTTGAGAAAGAGATGCGTTTGCTTCTAGAAGAACTAGATGTTCGTTTACTCCTCGTAGTTTTGGAACCGCTGCCACCATTAGTTATAGGCTCTTCTACAGCAGAGGCTGGTAATGTAAAATTTGTCGAAGAATATTGTTGATTATGATCGTTCACTGCAGGAGAACTTAATGGGGAGTAATGTGAAACATGAGGCGTTGTTGTTGTGGAGCCATTATTTAAGAGAGTGCCATTATTGTTTGTACCATTGTTTGTACCTATAGATTCTCGAAGATATGGAGTATTCATATTAGACACGTTGGATGAATTGGATCCGATCAATACTTGAGGATTCATGTAGGGAGTCACTTTTAAACCTATGGCAGACTGCCCTGGTGCCACTAAAGGTGATGCAGATGGAGAAAAGACCAAATCTGAATGAATATTAGAAAAATGTGAGTTTTTATTAAGAAGGGAAGCAGTAGCATCATTCTGTTTAATAGAATGATCCATTAAACCAAACCCACCATTCATTTCTGGATCAATAGATTTCCCTATATCTGGATGTTGCTGAGCATGATGTTCATGTTGACTCTCGATGGTTCCATGCATACTTTCAACACTGTTATTACTATGAGAACTAGAATGTTGTTCATGTGCATTCAATCGACTATTGTTACTGTTCTGATTATTGTTACCATTATTGAAGAACGATTCGCCAATATGATCTAAATCTAGTTGTATATCATCTGTCAGCCAGTTATGAGAATATAATTGAACGTTACTCATTGGCTCTTTTTCCGATTCCATGTATACCATATGGTTGCCACTGTGAGTATCGTTATCATGAAGATATTCATCGACTTGATCCAATATACTTTTTGAATGGTTCATGTTCATAGATTGCATATGCTGAATGAGTAACTGTAGAATGAGAAAAACTTTAAATATATCCTAAGCAAAAGATAGGAGTGCGATGGTTGTTGGATATTTGAGGAGCGATGACTAGTTTACTCAACAAATATGAACTGTCTTAAACTTTTGAAATAAGAAGGTGCAAATGGAGTGTAAAAAAGTTCAATATTTTATCTTTAATAAAAAAAAGTATAAGCTAAGTTAAAAAATTTCACCAACGTGAAATAAAAAGGAGCAATAATAATGTTAGCAATCCTGACACTTGACTAAAATAAGATGTAATAAAATAGAATAAAAAACCAAAAATTGCTGGTAGATGTGCTGTTCTATAATAATAATGATGAGAGACAAAGAGTTTCTATTAAGAAAGTAATAAAAAGTAATGATAAGTTATTGGAAGAAGAAGAAAAAGACACGAATTAGTGGAACCTCTGGAATGATAGTAATAATAATAATAATGAGTAGTATTCAACCAAAAAAGAACAACAGTAAAACCTTTCGGCAAATTAAAATTCCTATTTTTTGAAATACTATCTGTAACGATAATAATAGGATGATGATAGTACAATCAGAAGTACTAATTTAAAAAACTCACTTTGGAACTGTACTCCAAACTAAAAGTACCTGAATATTTGTATACGTGAGTTAAAGGCAGAAAATAACAGTATTGTTATTATTTCGGTGTAAATATTGTTTTATTATTTTGGGAGTTTGGTTTCTAGGAATGTATTTAAAATGAAAGGGGTGGGAAAAATCTAGTTTTCTTTTGTGCTTCTGTATAACTTCTTCTTAAACGTCTTACCTTTTATTAAAATCACACTTATTCTTAATAGTATAAAATATATGGAAATGATTGAATAATAAAACAACAAAAATAAAATAAACACTACAACACCAAACTTGGAGAGTTTCTTTATTTATTATGTTATGTTAATTTACTTTTCGTTCGGTAAATTTATGTCTCTTAGATAATACTACACACACACACATACATCAACACACAATACTTTTATTTATTCTTGTTGCATCAAAGGAGATAATAAACGAAATTTTGGGATACATACAATTTACTAGGGGAAGTCTTTAATTATTTAATTACTTAACACATGCAAATATATCTTAATCCTCCTGAGTGTCAAAGATCGTCCAATTTCTTGTTGTTCCTTTAATTAAATTTGATATCGGCATTATTTTCTCGTTTTTACTAAAAATTAAGCTTATTATGTTTATGTTTATCTAATCGTTTTGACTTCTTCCTCTTTTTGCTATCATCTATTCATCCATCATCATAAAGTGATGGATGGATGATAGTTATTATTACTGTTACCTTTACTATCGCCTCATTTTTTCTTTGTTTTTCCCAAATTTTTCTCAGTCTATCGAATTTGACCCACTTCTCCCCAGACAACGCCGCATACACCCACTCAGTTCTCAGGCATCTCGCGTAATTAGCACAGCGCGACAACAATAGCGATATTTCCTATTCGGGATGCACGCACAGAACTGGGCGTGCAATTGGGAGGGGCCCACGGGGAGCACGGCTGTAGCAGTTCTCATTTCCCCCCAAAAAGTTTCCTTTGCAGTCGTGCTGAGTGATGCGGCACGGCGCACCTCGTATATCGCGATGCTTGTGTATGTTATGTGGATTGTCACAATTATATCTTATTCAGGTAGTCGTTGGGCAGTAAATCCATGGTTCTGTCAAACGATAGGGAGGACTTTACAACAGAATAGTTCTCGAGTCACATAGTTGTAGGGCATTAGAAATATGCCTAGGGAAGTAACGGGAGCACTGCATGGACCGTCACTTTCGTATGATATCAAAATTTAAATAAGGTATTTAGTTGAAGATAGCGACGATCAACTACTTTAACTTATTAAAATGACATTATTTGTGAATATGTGTAACAAATGAATAAAGAGCCGATTAATGTGAATATATCTTGGTACAAAAGTAATTAACACGCTTCATGTTATTATATAATTATGTGACAATCACAAAGAAAAGTGAGAAACAGAGAATCTTAATAATGAAGGTGTCGCACGTTGGTGGGACACATTTAACCTAATGAGACTTTAATGTTAATTATATCGAATGAATTACTAATCCGGCTGACGTCTTCTCACGACTATCTAGCCTATTTCATTCTTTCAGTGAGATCTTTGGATTGGTCTACAGCTGGTTTAACTTTTCTCGAACAAGAGTGTAATGATGACCCTGAGTGAAGTACGCTTTTGACACTACTTTAGACTTCTAACCCTCACGGTATCTGTGGAGTTTCGAACTCCCCTCAGGTAATCACCGTTGGGCTCACATCGATATGGGGTTTCCTTGATCGTTTACCCGTCTCGGACAAATTTAATGTCATACTAGCGATTATTGACGGAGCATCTGAAATTGATGCGGACGGACACGGCGGACTTACTATTATAATAGGTTATAAAACTCCGCGGAGTTCCGTTCGAACGTTTTAACAAACCAAACCCATCTCTTTACTAGTCAACTCTGGCAACATATCACCCAAAGCCTACGTATTTAGTTGAAGTTTTCCTTCCACGCACAATCGTAGTACTGAACTAACAGGTGGAACGTATGAATAGCACCATTATGGGAATGATTCGTAGCGCTTAGGATAACTAGGTCTCAGCTTGGGTGGAAGTTCTGTCACGTTTGTTATGGTCAATTCTCTGTTTCAGTTGCAGAGGGTGAAGACTGTATTCTTGAGTTACCTGCGACTCCCACCCGAACGTATCAATCAGATTCACAGAAAGTATCTTAAACACGATGTTCATCGTCTACTACCCACTGTTAATGTACCCCCAATTCAACCTCAAGCGATTTACGACCACATTGTTAAAATACTCTCTATTTTGCGTATTTCTCTCAAGGAAAAAGCTATCGAGCTTAATTGGCGAAATTATGAAGTAGATGATTCATCATTTAATTAAATTCCACAATCTCATCATACGGCTTATTTAAATCGTTTTTTCTATAATTGTGTCTGTGACCGGCAGCTCATCGGTACTAGCCCTTTCGGAGTCGTACCTTGAGTTACAAGAATTGTATAGCTGAAACAACATATGCCTACTTTTAGAAACTTATTTGCTACGTCCGGGTTCATGACCTTTGAGATTCCTAAAAGTGGGGAAAATAGCAATAGATAGCAGTGAAAACTCAAGGTAATGTATTAAGAATGTATTCCCTCAGCTTTAATTCCAATTGAGTTGGGGTTTTCATCATAAGAAGACAATTAAATCATTAGATGTAAAATTGAGATACTAATGAAGTTCAGATTCCTTTACCCATAGGAACGTTGAAAAGTGGAATATGTCTTTAAGTTACAACATTTTCTTGGCTGCTTGGGTAATCTTTCTTTCTTTTAGTTATTCTCTCTAATATTGGCATCTAAAGAAAAGAGAATGCATAGTTTTATATGAAGTACCGGACGCATCTCTTACAAAAACTTATATATATCAAATAAGTAAGATTAAAACTACCAACCTTGACCTAAAAATCAATAAAAATGTTAATCTATCTAATTAAAGTTCTTCTTAATATATGCTGTAGTATATATTAAGAATAATGCCGGAGTTGTAACGTCTTGTTACATTTTTATAATACCATTGGATTAACGACGGCTTTTATGTGGCTTGTTAGCGTTCCATTTTCTCTTGTGGTTACCTACGGTACCACCAATCCTGCTGATGTCATCCTTAGATATAATTAGTCCATTACGAGTACTACGACCCACAGACTGGATTTTAAGACCTCTTTGTCTCTTTGTTTGTCTCTCTTTATCTTGACTCTTAATGCTTTGACCAATACGTCTTTCAATATCTTTCTTATAAGTAGCTTCAATTTTCCTGAATTGCCCCTTTTTCACTTTTGATAAGATGATACCACCGTCAGCTGCGTCTTGTTCGTATTGTTTGATACGCCCTACATGTTTCTTGATCATCCCACGTCTAATTTGCATTGGTACTTTCTCCAATTTGTTTATTTTGTTATTATGACCATTAGTTTCTGATAGTTGGCCTAATCTCATTTCTAATGTTCTCATACGTGACTTTCCGGATACCTGGTCATCTTGGTAAACAACATTTGTATCATTCATACTCTTTAATGTTAAATCCACACCACTTGTTACGTCATTGGTGCCATCACCTCCTTGTTGGTTGAACACACTCAAAAGATGTGATTCCTTAAGAAATCGTTGTAACTCAATATCGTTTTCTAGATTTTCAGCTTCATCTTCATCATCTGCCTTAGTTTTTGAACTTTTTTTATTTTGTTCTTCTAACAGCTGTTTACGTTGTTCAGCAACAGATAATTGACGTAACGTTTTTCCACTTCTAATCATTTTTTGTTCTTGTTTACTTGGCTCAATATATGTATCACTTGGTGCACTGAATTTTATCACACGTGGTCCCTTGGTTGTACTCTTTTCTTTATATACAGGTACTGGATGGTCAGTTTCTTCCTCTTCTGCATCATCTTCTTCTTCTTCGCTCTCTTCAGAAGAACTCGAATGTGTTTCATTGTCACTCTCATCGTGGTCAGATTCGCTCGAGTCAGAATTCTCAACACCTTCTTTCACCTTATCCTCAAACCCCATCGACTCTAATGATCCGAATTGAGCTTCGAATGCCTTTCTTTGTTTCTCTAATTGTTGCATGTAGTCATCGTCTTTTGTTTCACCCATCGTGAACGTATATGAATGTATTCAACTCTATGATAATGCTAAAGTTCAATATATATGTAAATATATATATCGTATGATCTCCAATTTAATCCTCCTACAAAAAGTTCAGTATATTATTATTTCTGTCTTGTATTGGTGAATGTATTAAACTGTTCAACTGTTCATGCCTTACTTTTATTCATAATTTGAGACTGAAAATTTTCATTTCTTAAGCGATGAGCATCGGCAAACTAAAAGAGGCTACACAGAGATGAATGGAAATTTTAAAAGATTTGCTTTATGACATTAGAAGAGAGTATCTTTTATATATATATGTATAAGGAAGTGAACCATTCTTATTATGAATTAACCTCATATTCTTTCTGGATCCCCAAGATGTAGCACCCAAATCTCATGTATATATATATATATTTATAATTATGCTTGTTGATAGATAAAATTGATTCATAATCAGTCTGGTAGTATTACCCCTACATTAAACTGTTTTTACCTATACTAACGTAACTAGTATAACTACTTTGAAAAGTCTCTGTTCTTATGAGATTACATATGTAGACTCAGTAAAAATTCAATGTATCCAAAATTACCATTGTGTTGATGTCTGAAATAGCATTCCAAGAAATATTATGGCTGCGACATGATTTACGAGCATAATCATATCGTGCATACATAAAACTTCAACTACATCTCAACATATGTAATAATATCAGAATATAATAATGATATTGTTCTGTTAACTGTTAGATAGTATATGTCCATGAGAAAGGCATCTTTTTCAGGATCTGCTTGTATTACTATTATATTTTCGATTCCTTTTTCTGCTTGTTTGTTTCGCTATACGAATTACAAAAGTAACTATAAAGTTAACAAAGTGGACAACGAAAAAACACCCCAAATTCAAGGTCATGTTTTTTTTTATCTATATGGCGATATTAGTTTACATATTCATTATTAAAGTATACATGGATCTCAATTAAGTCAGAAATGCCCCATAATAAACTACCAACTTTCCCAATCCCAGATGTCAGGTTTTCCAACGTATTTTATACTGCGTTGGCCAAAGAAACAAAAAGACAAAAGTTAAATGATCCTAACTTTAAAATAATTACAAAGGTGTTATTAAGAGACGTCATTCTAATGCCATTTATACAAAGTATAGTCTGGACAGGGTTTATTATATCTTTTAAACCAACTCTAAAACAGCTCGTTCAATCAACCAAATCGTTCAATACGTTTATCTACAGCTTGATAACAGGAAATGATCTTCACAAGCAGTAATGTAACTAAGGTGAGCGGGGTAACATAATCAACAATCTTTATGTTTGGATATATCGTATTTATGTGGGTAGGGTTATTGGTGAAGGGACACCAATTTCATACATGAAGTTATAGCTTGTAAATCTTTGCACGTCTACCAGAAGAACGAGAATATTGAAAGGTTTGACATTTTGATGCAGTATTTGAAGAGAACCATCTCCCTCAAAGTTTATATGTTTATTTTTTTTGTTGTTATTTTGTTTTTTCTTTTCTTTTCTTAGATCTATGGAGTACTTATTTAAAAATAAGGGTACAAAAAATTATGTCACAATTATATATAAAACCAGACTTTTATAAAAATTCTCGAATAATGAATATATAATACAAACCATTAATAATGATAGAGAGTTCGAGAATAAAATTAACACTTGATGATATTAATGAGAGCCTAGGTCCTGTATGTACGCAAGTTGATAATCCCCCAAAGATTAATACACTTTGTTACTTACGGAGTTCCACAAAAATGGATGCACCATTAACTCTACTTTTAATTGATGATCCATCCCCAATTGAGAATATAAATTCACCTTTAGTTTCTAATGCTGGACAACCTTTGTGCACTCCAAAGAGATCACTGAGAAATGATACTCTATCAGATTTAAACATTTCTGATGGAACTCGCTGATAGTATTGCACAATTTTCAAACCTAAACTTATTTTATTAGCTAATATTATATATATATAATTTTTATACTACACTCATAAATAACCTTCCAAAACAAATACCATAATGTTTCTTCATGAAATTACCCACAACAGATGTGTCTCTTTATCTGATTGCTCTCGATTCGTTTCGTTAATCTGCACCTTCTAGTTCTTCAGAATTTTCTTCAATAACATTTAAATCCATTAATTGTCTACTTCTTCGGTTAGAATTAGTATTGGAACCTGATGATAAGGAAGAATCAGAATCATTTTGGTCTTGCAGTATATCGCTGTTTTGAGTTATATTCGACGGTTCGCGACTTATAAGAGGCTCAGGTGACGTTGCCAATTGAATAATATTATTCTTGAGACTCCGAGTACTTCCATTATTGTGATTACTATTATTATCAAAAATTGAATCATCGATAATACTTTTGAAAAGAGGACCAAGGGTCTCTTTGTTTAATGAAACTCTTGTACTTGTTTTATCATCTAAAAGTTCAAGTTTCTTTAATCCTATTAGTTTGATAGTAAACACCAATAATTCTCTTTCAGAACTCATGTTTTCATCATTAATTGCTACTTCATTTAACGTAACATCTTCATCATGAGTCCTATCCAACTGAATACCTTGATCCCTGGCGTATATGCTTTCAAAGTATAAGAAAGTATCTAATAATGCATTGTAAACCTCTCCAGTCAGATAGGAATCGTGAATAGCATCGTGTAACATCTCTTTCCAGTTTGTTTCATCTTCTGGTAATTGGAGTTCAAAGCATTTGGTTGCAACTAATACGTCGATTAGAGATGATGCTAGAGATGATCTCAGGTTATGGACTATCAATTCATCAACACCATCCATGTTGTTAATTTGAACAAGAACAGATTCCATGTTTACAATTATACTTGACATATATGACAGGGCATTTTTAACGGAACTAACACTTGTTTTATTGGCACTTCTTTCGGAATCATCTGATTTCGGACCAGGCACAGCATTCGATTTTTCTAAAATATTGATCCATTTTTGTAATTCCCATGTAACAAGAATTACTGGTAATTTAAAATTAATTACATCGACGTTTTCAATACCGCCTACTTCTATCTCATATGCAAGTTTTGACATAAATTTGTCGATGAAAAGTTTCAATAAGTCCGAAGAAAATTCAATTGGATATTCTTTCCCTAATAAAATAAGTCTATTAACATATTGAGAATAAATGGAGTTTGTATACTCTCCAAAATCAGTATCACTCTGAGGATTATTCTTCTGGGTTATATATTTCTCCAATTGTAATTTAATCATCGATATTTCATTAATCCAAACTTCATCTATTTCTTTTAAATGGAATTCTTTAATATGATGAACTGTATTTGAAAAAGTTTCATATGAAGTATCTGTTGACACAGCGTGCATCAGAATTACACCGCTGAACCCTTTCAATATCATTAAGTTAATGCTCTTTATTTTCTTTTCACACCCAGAATGAACCCATTCATCGAAGTTAAACAGATTGAAAATGTTTAAAATCTGTAAAAGGATATTAGTTGAATTGGTGGATAAATTTTTTAGTAGGTTTTCCAAATGAGGTAGTACAGACATCGCGATTGAATATTTATTTTGACTTCTTCCGTTCATACCACCATCACAAAGCCCACTTAAAACTGTGACATAAAATGTAACATTCTCATTCTCGGTAGGGAATAATGGTGCTCTATCGATTCTAATTTGAGACGATTGTTCGTCGTTGTCAATATTCATCTCGTCGTTGTCGTCATCTTCGGAAACTTTAGCGATTTCTTGATAAATTTGAGTAAACTCATCGTCGTCTGAAAGAAGCCTACAAATGCTGTCAACTTGTGATCCAAAAAATGGATATAAAAACTCGGCAGCTTGAAACAATATCTGGGAACGAGAAACTAAAGATGGATCATAATTTTTGTTGTTATCCATGAAATATAAAAGTGAGCTATTAAGAATCCTTATGATGGTTCCTATTTTAATTATAACGGATGTCTTTATGGATGATATATCTTCATCCAAGGTGGTGCTACTCATGAACGTTTCATATTTCTGGTTACTAACTCGTGCTATGAATTTAGCAACTGTTGCCATCAATCTAGAATTTTTGCTACTTGATGATACTTTTGTATCTTCATTATTAAATATCAAGCTTGATATCATTAAAGTTTCAGAATCTTCTAAATAATCTAACGACGAAGCTTCGATTAGTACGTTGATTGCATTGATCGACACTTCGAGATCAATATCTATTGTAGCAATTTCCAAAATTCTACTTTTGAATCTTTCAAAAAACTGTCTAATAGCAGGATTGTCTACCATTGCAGAATGATGACTTGATTTAATAATATCTGGTAAGGACTTTAAGATCTGCAATCTAACAGTTATGGAGGAATCACTTAAGAGCCACCCAAAGTATTTCAAAAATGTGACTTTCATAAAATATTCAGGATTATTGTCAATCCAAATAGCCAAATGTGACATTGATTCTGACCGAATTGCTTCATCTACATCTTTAAATCTGTGAACGAAACACAATTTCACAATGTTATCAAGAATATTGTCAATGATGGCTTTGCTGCTTTGAATTTCCTCGACATTTTCTTCCAGTTTTTCAATTGTCTTTTTGTTGGGCCTTTTTTTCTTGTTTTCCATCTTTAATTGCTTTGTCAACTTAGCTAAATAATCTTTCTCTATGATAACAGCGTGGGCTGATAAATAATCTTGGAGTATGTATAGCGACAAAGTGGAGACATATCTGAAGCATCTTATTTTTGAAACTGAAAATGCTGATAACCATGTTAATATATCTAGTACTAATTGACCCATTTTCATTCCCCTAGAATTTTCAACGCTGTCTGCACTTTCTTGATCATCTTCTTCGTTGTAAAGAAGTTGTAGATCATCAGCTATTTCCAAGAACTTAAACATAAATTCTTCAAAATTTTGATATAAGGGTTTGAATTGAGCAATTTTTTTCTTCGATTTGCTTATTAGTAAATTGAACTCATGAATTTTTTGATTTTGAAATGATAATTGAAGTTCAGATAGTGTATCGCTTGCAGATTCGTTACTATGAATATCATGATTTTGCACATGGATCATTGCTCCACAACAATCTAGTAAGAGATTTATAAATTTTTGAATAACTTCATCTCTATTTGTTGAATATTGCTCCAATAATTCCCTAATTACTTCCTCAATAGAAATTTCATCAGATGAGGCCAAAATTGAAAATAATTCAGAATGTTCAAACTCCTTAACAATCTCTAGATAATGATCTTGTTCTTCCTTAGTTTCGTCGGAGGCCGCACTAGTGACTGTTCTTGAAGAATATGAAAGAGTTTTGCGCTTCTTATTGGCTTTTTCTTGTTGTCTTTTTATTGATATTGCCTTTCTTTTACCCTCTTCAGTTGGGAAATAGTCGTCATCTTTTGTATTATCATTATCATCTTCACTAGACTCTTCAGAATCGAACACTTCTTCATCATTCAAACCAGTATCTTCATCTTCGCGAATATAACGAATGTTATTGTTACCACTCTCATTACTTGATTCGTCATCAGATTCGTATGCTGATTTGGTTCTTGTTCTACTGTGCTTCGGTGGCATTTTTTTTTATCTTGTTTCCCTCGTTCAGTCCGAATTAGCGTGTTATATTCAATTGAATGCCAATGAACTATATTAATACAACTGATAAATCTTCTTGGTACATATTATTGTTTTTTTGAAGGTGTAGTTTGTTTATTTATTGTTTATATCTTTCTAATTAAAAACAAATAAATTTTTGGTGTAGCGACGCGTCTCGAATAATATTTTTTTGAACTTAGAATAGTATATCGAAGTGGTAAGAATCAACACATGACAATTATCTCTTTTTTAATGAGGTTATTCAATTATTTATATAATAATATATGTGTGGATATATATAAGAGTGGTTAGTGTAGGGGTACTACTAAAATTACAATCATAAAGACCAGGATTTGTAAGTTTGTGGTTCTTTAATCGATATAGCTTCAATTTCAGCTTCTGTTCTTTTCTTTAAGTCATCTTCAGTCTTCTTATCAGCAGAATCATTGTCATTTTCGACAAGTTTTATCCCAGAATCGACTTGATCGGATATTAATACGAACTTCTTGGATATATTTAGATTTGTTAACTCGCCATTCATTTCGGTAACTTGTTTACTTAACGATATTCTATCTGATATTAATTTTTCAGATTCTGTAATTAGTTTAGTCTTTTCTTTCTCCAACGTTTCTTCTAATTTAGTCAATTTATCAAATTTAGTATCTAATTTGTTTAGAGTTAATTTGACCAATTCTTGTACTACACTTTGTGTTTCTTTAATATATTTCTCTGCAGTCTTTGAAGCTGATTCAGGAATATCCTTTTCCAGAGTATCTTTATGTAAACCCTCCAATAATGCTTTGATAGTTAGATCCACAGCCTCTACCGTTGATATATGATCCTTTGTTAAACTTTCTGCTTTAGTGTCTGTTTCCTTTTTAGATTTATTCAGAGCATCATTGATATAGCTATCCTCGATTGGTAATGTTAAGAATTTTTCAACGACATCTTCAATTGATTTTTGTCCTCCAACGTGTTCTACAATCTTTTCCCATTGATCCTCATAAATTTCTATACCTTCCAACAATAACAATAGTTCTTGATCAGACCATTCTTTGCCTGGTTTCTTCTTATTGTTCTCTAATCTAATAAAATCGGATGCTTGGAAATTGGCACCAAAATGACCTTCTTGGAAACATCTTGAACATAGGTTTGCACCTTTGGCACGTAAATTGTGATAGCGAACCAATACTGCGTCGTTACCACATGTATGGCATACAAAAGTCTTTTGAATTTGTTTTGAAACCTTGTTTTTGGAGTGTAAAGCATTGAAATCATTTGATGAATCGTAAATATTAGTTCTTAATGATAAATTAACAGGGAATGGTTTAGGTCCTTTAGTTTCCGTGTTAGATTCATCGTCATCTACATCCATTTCATTAGAATCTCTCTTTACAGGTAAAGCCTCAGTGATAGCATCCGTTGGAACAAATGGTTTCAAACCTTGTGGTGTATCTAGTATAACTTGGAAGTGGCCTGTAAAACTTGGTCCTACTAAAGCTGGTTTTGATCTTGGATCAATTTGATAATTGATTATCCCCCATTTCTCTAAAAACCCATGAATCTTCATGATAGAAGCCACATCCATTGCTAGGTTTCTTCTTACAGCAGTAATTGTCAAATATTCAAATGGAGATAATCTATAAGTATTAATCATAAAATTTCTTGTTTCTCTATATGATTTTGCAGATTTATAACGAGATGAATCATCGAAGAAATCAGGTAGAGATCTCTTTTCAATTTCGTGAATGGATGAGATATCAAACCACGATGCAAATGATGGTAATACTATCGGATGAGTTTGTTTAGCTAGGAATCTGAACGCTTTGTCTTCCAATTTGTGTGCTTCATCTTCATAATTAATGGTCTTTATTTCTTCAGTAGGTGGCTCAGTAGTAGTAGGTTCAGTGGTAGCACTCTCACCCTCAGTCCCAGTGGTAGCTTCAGTATGTTCTGATGTTACGGTCTCATTAGTTTCAGTGACTTCTGCTGGGGTCTCCACCACTGAGTTGTTGTTGTTGGTATCTTCTTCAGTACTCATTGTCAGTAGTAATTCCTTGTCCTATAGTTATTCTACCTATTCCCTAATAATGTATGGTCAATTCTGATGTTCTGCAGTTTGTAACAGCAACCCCTTTATGTGAAATATCTTTCTCTCTTTAAGGTTGTCTCAGTTTTTTCTGCTTCTTCGAGTAAACTAAGTGGTAGAGGTCACCTACCGGTTAGAAAGCATGTTTTGTTTATTTCAAATCGTCTAATTTTTTTGCTTTTCTTTCTTTCGCTTTTTTTCGCTGTGAAACCACTTTTTATATAATGTTACCCGGAAGACATTTTTCAAATTTAAGTAGTGAACAAGACTACGCTTACTAAAAGTATATATAAAGCATTGGTAGTCTATCTTGGAGACTCAGCAGGTTGGTTATCGACACCTACTTATAGATGAACTGGTGTTCGAACATTTATATACTGTTCTTTAACAATTTCCCTTGCGGCGTTGCACGTCGAGAGAAATAAAATATATACCGAGACAGTCAATGGAGGAGCCAAAATATATAATCAAGAAGGTGAATGTTGTAGTATTCCGGTATATATTCGTAGGAGCAAGTGTTGCTCTTATTTTTTGGTTCGTAGATATTCTAAAAGAATGACCTTTCATTGGAAGGATAACGGAGACTTTTGGGAAAAGGAATAGTGGATATGTAAATATCTCACTAGAATTTATTTGATATATTTAAATGTTGCTCTATTCATTAATCCTCTTCTTGAATCTACATTAGGTAATATAGTATTCATAATACAAATATTGTATGTTATTATGACTCGGGTTTCAAAATAATGGTTTCTATTGAAAACACGTCAAGAACTGAAATTCTTATTTAAATTCCAATTACGCGTTGCGATGAGCTTACCGGATAATTATTAATACTGGAGATTTTAAGAATTATTGTACATTCATTCTCCCTGATTTCGTAGAAGTAGTTCATCATAATGCATTTTTGAACAGATAGTACTGTTCACCATAGGATTGGATAATTCTGTTTCTTTTGATTAGAAATTGTAAAACCCTTTGTGTTTTTTTGTTCTTTTTCCAGATGAGTAGTATTGGTAGTAGATTAACAAGGACCGCAAGAGCAAAAAATGTTCTAAACTACAAGGAAAAAGAGGAATATGATTTAAAACCAGATATTATTCCTTCTGATGATGATGATGATGAGAGATCTGGTACAACATTACTTGGGGACTCTGTAGCTCCTATTTGGTTACATGACGATGTCAAAGAAGGTTCTGACATTGAATTGGATTCTGAAAATGGTGAAGAAAATGATGATGATGAACAGATCAATACTTTGATTGATGGTAACCATGAAGGAGATGATAAAGAGGTCGAATCCTTGGAAGATCTTGATGAAGAGGATTCTCGTTTAGTTAGAGACAAATTGAAGAAATTGGATGAGTTTGTCAATCAAAGTAAAGTTTACTCTGGTATTATTGCAGATACTTTATTAAAGAGAAGTACTGAACTTATTGAGGAAAAAGAAGAAGAAAAAGAAGAAATGGTAAAGAAAATCGGGAAGAAAGAGGAAGTAAGTGACATGCCAGTTGCTAAGAAACAAAAACCAAATAAGAAAAAAAGATCTATCTTGGATTTTTTCAGGTCTGTTAAGAAAACAGATGATCAGCTAGAGGCTAAAGAAGAAACTGAAGAAAAGCTCAATTTAAATGGTTCAGACGCTTCTGTCAATGCAGAAATAAAAGAGGAACAACCTTCGTTATTAGAAAATTGCGTATTGAAACCTTATCAAATGGAAGGTTTGAATTGGCTGGTCACTTTATATGAAAATGGTCTGAATGGGATCCTAGCTGATGAAATGGGTCTAGGTAAGACGCTTCAAAGTATTGCTTTATTGGCATTTGTCTATGAAATGGACACAAAAGGTCCATTCTTAATTGCTGCTCCTCTGAGTACAGTTGATAACTGGATGAATGAATTTGAGAAATTTGCCCCATCTTTACCAGTTTTAAAATATTACCATCAAGGTGGATTTCAAGAACGTTCTAAGTTATTACATAATTTTTTTAAAAAGACAAAGGGAACCGGTATTGTGGTAACATCTTATGAAGTAATTATGAGGGACGCTGACTATATAATGTCACAAGAATGGAAATTTTTAATAGTAGATGAAGGTCATCGTTTGAAGAATATTAATTCAAAACTTATTAGAGAATTGAAAAGAATAAATACGAACAATAGATTACTATTAACTGGTACACCATTGCAAAATAATTTGGCAGAGCTTTGGTCGTTATTGAATTTTATTATGCCCGATATATTTTCAGATTTTGAAATGTTTAATAAGTGGTTCGATTTTAAAAACTTGGATTTACAAAGTAATTCTCAGAGTCTAAACAAAGTCATTAATGATGAATTGGAAAAGAATCTGATTACAAATTTGCATACAATCTTAAAACCATTTCTGTTAAGAAGATTAAAGAAGAACGTACTGATGGGTATCTTACCACCGAAAAGAGAATATATTGTCAACTGTCCAATGACGCAAATTCAAAAGAAATTTTATACAAAGGCATTGAATAGTAAATTAAAATTGACTGTTTTTAAAGAACTTGTCAAAGAATTTTTTACGATTAACCAGGACTATATTGGTCGTGTATCGAATAAATCCATCAGAGAATATATTGACTACAAATTGAACACCGAGAATGGTAATAAGATAGAAGATAATGAATATCCTAATGATATTATTAGAGGTATGGACAAACTTTATAAAGAACACCTGCATAGTGAGCTGATAAATAAAAGATTACAAAACATGATGATGCAATTGAGACAAATTGTAGATTCTACTTATCTCTTCTACTTTCCATATTTGCATCCGGAGGATTTAACATTGGATGATCTTTTGAAAACATCTGGTAAATTGCAGACTCTTCAAAAATTGGTAATACCTTTAATTAAAAGAGGGCATAAGATACTGATATTTTCTCAATTAGTCAAGATGCTAGACCTGTTGGAGGATTGGTGTGATTTGAATTCTTTAAAATGTCTCAGGATTGATGGTTCTGTTGATAACGAAACTAGAAAACAAGGTATTAAACAATTTAACACTGAAGGTGATGACCACCAGGTTTATTTGTTATCCACCAGGGCAGCCGGTCTAGGTATTAACCTTACTGCCGCAGATACCGTTGTTTTGTTTGATAGTGATTGGAATCCACAAGTTGATCTGCAAGCAATGGACCGTTGTCATAGAATAGGGCAGGATAAACCAGTCATTATATATCGATTTTGTTGTGATAATACCATTGAACATGTAATTCTTACAAGAGCATCCAACAAAAGAAAATTAGAAAGAATGGTTATTCAAATGGGTCGTTTCAATACATTAAAGAAATTGGCATTTAATGAGGGTTCATTCTTGAATCAACATACAGGTGCAAATAGATCTACGAATAAAGAGCTTGTCAAAGAACTATCGCTCTTATTGATGTCTGGAGAATCGAGTATTGGTTTTACAAAAAACAGTAAGGATGACGGCCAAATATTAAGTGCAGAAGAAATCAAAGAACTAACTGACAGGTCTGATTCGGCCTATAAAGAGAACAGGGTTGTTGATTTACCACATGCTAGGCTTTTTGAAACGGTTTCTGGGTTTTAAATATATCTTTAGTTTGCCAGTATCAGTTCGACTAATATTTCATTTAAACACATTCGTTAAAAAAGGATGTATGTAACAATATAGCATTATATAAACGTGAACATATAAAATAAGGATAAACATTGCAGTTTATATTTAATTTTTTCGTTAAATACGAGTTTTAAATTACCATGGGATACCAGTGTAAAATTCCTTTTGATTGTACATCCAAACCAAAGAAGTTGTGGAAACAACTAAAGGACCCATAAACCCAGAGTCGAGGTTGCAAGTTCTGTAGATTAGCAATTCGGAACCAAAATGAACTAAAGCAACGACATAAGAGATCATAACAATTTGGAAAATATGAGGCTCAGTTAAAAAGAAAGCACCATAAAATCTAATGACACAGGAAATAAATGTCCAAGTACCAAAGGTTCTAGCACTCAATTTGGTTGTCTCAGCTGGTTTTCTGGAGTAAACTCTACGAGTCAATTCTAAACCAGAAATATATGTTTGAACTGAATTAAAAACAGAAACAATGGAAATGAATAATAACCATTTTGGTAAGTAGCCAGGTGGCATGGTTTTTAGTGTGTTCTCGGTACACTCTACGACATCGTTGAAGGATAACATTTTAAATTGAATTGAATTGGATTGAATAGCCTAGTTTCCTATGATCTCACCTCAAATAACTTAATATAAAATGCATTAAATTGTTAAAAAAAATATAATGGAATAAAAAGAGGAATTGAAAAATGATTTGCTAATCACATTGTGCCTTTCTTATATACCAAAGATTTTAAGGGCCGACCCTAACTATTTTCTTCCCAGTTCACCATATCATATATCGGGTCAAAGAAGTTCGCACATCAATAATGGCATATGCTCGTATAATATATATCATCTTCGGAGAGTCGTTCTTAAGCGAGGTCACTCCGCGAGATTTCTCTGAAACTTTGATGAAATAAGCAAACTAAAGAAGGAGATGCTCAGTTTGTTTTGTAAAATTTATCATACGGAATCGTGAGCATAAATCTAAATCACCAATAACCAGAAGGGCAGCCAGTATGTACTTCCCCATTTTATGTATAGTTTCAGAGTCGTTAAGTACAGTTTTCTCATTACCAGGAACGTAACGAACCTCGGACCAACTAATCATATCTACTGCATCAAGCATCGAGTAAAGTGCATATTTTACATTTCGTGACCAATGTATATCGCTTTTTAGAGATCGGATCCGACTAATAAAGAAGGAAGGTATACATTCGGTACGCTTTTCAAATATTAAGAGATAAGCTGGTTTGTTAAACTTTGAAGAAGTACTTTTTTTAGTTTTCAGTATATTAATTGCTAGAATATGGCATATACTCTCTATTAGAAGTAAAAAATCATGAATGTCTCTGTGTATTTCTTTCCATTCTGTGATCACAATGGAGTTCTTGCTACACATACTCAGTTTAAGGTTTATGATCGTAGCAATGATGGGTATTTGAAAAGAGCAATATGTTTGAAGAGCAGATGGATGGTCTTCTAGTTTTGATTGGGATATTTTGGAGAAAAAATGAGCTCCTTCTTGCATTCTTAATTTTGATCCAAACGGTGGTTGGGAATCTGAGGGAAATATTAATCTTGTGATGATACCAAATATCCAATAAATAGTTGGTGATGTGCCTGATGCTACTTTGGCTGACATTTCCTGGTTAAAACAAAAGTATGATATTATAATCCATTTTAGGGAACGATATAATATATAGATATCTTTAAAGTTCATTAACTCTTGAGAGTACTTTTGATCATTGTAAAGACTTAAAATTTTGACACATATATCATATCGTGGCGTGATATCTCTTGTGTGTGCTGCTTTGCATAAACTACTTGCAATATTCTTAAGTTCGATGAAATCGTTGGTCGAAAAATTGATAACTTTTCCATTATTTAGCATTTGAAATTTGTATCCTAAAGAAATATTCTTCCAAAACGTTGTTCTTTTAACAAAAAGTGGTTGCAAGACTTTTGGAATTTTTATTGGACAATCTTCGAAATTTATTAAACCCACGGCAAAGTCATTGCTATTGACGACAGTTAGCTCATGCCATAGGATAGGGTTTCTTTGTTTAATTATGGCCAAACACTATTATCTAATTTGTTAGTTTCAGTATTTCTAAAAATTAAAATTAATTGTTATTCAAAGTCATACCAAAATCCAGTCCTCACTATTGAACGACATGTTACTGTGTGTTTTTGTATTATTGTTTTTATTTACTAGTTGATATGAATAGGGCTTTCCCATTTTTATATAATTATTCTATTTTAAAAAACCTTTCTAGCCGCCAAGGTATATTAACTATGGAAAAATACAATTATGGAGTAAGATGAACCAATAATCCGGATATATATATAAATAATTTTATTAAACAAGGAGATATTTTGAATATTCTAGAAAATGACAAAATAGATGCGTATGTATAAAATGACAGATTATTCCAAACTTATGAGAAACTTCAAAATGGATATATCTGAGGATATAGTTATAGAAAACCAGAGAGGAATAACTTTAATAGGCTACACGTTGTATTCACCGCATTTATTAATCCCTAGAATCGATCCTCCTCAATATCAAATACTTTATTTTAAAGTTAAAGAAGGGGATCCAAATGATGATGCAAAGGCTACATTTACATCATTATCGAATAAGATTCTTCATTCATTCGAACAACTGTATCCTATGGATTTTCAAGAAAATGAGGTCACTTCTAGGCAACATAGGTGGTACGTTCTTATGTCGGTTGAGAATACAGATGATGATGGTTGGGATTATAGTTGGTCATTCCGAAGTAAAAGATGGAAGTATAAAAATGGTTTAGTTAGAAGAAGAGTGTGGGTAAGGCTACCTGAGACGGAACAGTAATTGGATTTCCGAAAAAATTATTAAAGCCTCCAACTTATCAAGTTATTATACATACTTGTCATTTATATACAGAGTTATATATATAAAGAATAGTTTGCTGTCGTCATTGTTATTACTATTACTGTTATTACTATTACTGTTATTATTGTAACTTTTATATGAATATGATTATATACCTGAAGAACCAAATTTTGCAGCCCATTCCTCGTATTTTTCCAAACCTTCCTTAGAAACAGATGGTTTAATATACTCCAAACTGTTCTTAAAATCAATTAAGCCCATAGGTCTAATGTTTTCTCTATCCATGAAAAGAAGTTGATCACCAAGTTCCCTCAGAGGTCCCATGGCTGCATCTTTGGCCAATGAAGTTATATCACTACCTGAATATCCATCTGTTAGTTGCATTAATTCCTCAAATTCGCTATCCGTTAAAGTATGTTTTTGGTGAGATAAAAGTCTTTTAATTTGTACAAGACGTGTTTCATCTTCCGGTAGTGGAATATATTGCCTTCTAACAAATCTTCTTCTTGCCGCTTCATCAATGGACCATGGCAGATTTGTGGCAGCTAATACCAAGACTCTTGTATCATTGTCCTCGCTCATATTTCCAAGTATCTGTTCTTTATTATTCGAATTGGATCCATCACTTTTTTTCTCGTTACCAGCAGCTGCACTAGAGAGTGATGACCATTGAATTAAGAATTCATTCTTAATCCTTCTGCTACTTTCATTTTCACCATCATTGTTTCTGCTACCTAGTATAGAGTCAATTTCATCGACAAATATAATTGAAGGTGCAAGTTTCTTTGCTACAGAAAATAATGCTCGAACTAATTTTTCACTCTCACCAAGATATTTAGATGTTAAACTTGACGCACTAATGGAAAAGAAAGTTGATTTAGATTCATGTGCTACGGCTCTTGCAAGCATGGTCTTACCTGTACCTGGTGGACCAAATAGAAGCATCCCAGTAATTGGTTCCCTTAATCCTTTAAATAAATCTGGTCTCAAAAATGGGTAAACAACAGCTTCTTTCAAAGAATTTTTGGCAGTATTTAAACCTGCAATATCGTCCCATTGCACTTCATCACCTTGAACAACAATCTCTTGAAATATCTGTTTAGCAGCTGTTTTATCAACACCTGGGATTGAGTCAATAATTTGTTCCTCTAATGATTCCTTTAAGGATTTTTTGTCATCAGAATCTCCATGCAAACCGGAGTTTGTTCTTGATGTTTCTTCGCTGTTGGGAGTGGTCTTGTTACTAGTGTCATTACTCATACTCCTATCAGGGTCAGTATCAATTAAACTTTGGGACTCCAGTGTTAATGATTTTGATTTTTTAGTTGATTTTGAAGCTGGCTTTTTAGAAGGGGTATGTTTTATTGGTGAAGTCTTTTTGATAGTTCTTTGTTTGTTTGCCTTACTCTTGATTAAGGAATCTGTATGAGTCTTTGTTTTGGATTTCGAATTAGATACTTTGGGTGATAACTTTGTTGTTGATGATGACTTGCTGCTCGAAAGCTCTTTCATTCTTGTTGTATTATTCTTTGGTTTATGGTTCAACACCATCCTTGCTGCCTGTTGCGATGCTTCTAATTGTTCTGATTTTATTGCTCTCGTACCTGTATGTCTGTTTTCATTAGATGTTCTTGAACCTAACGAGAGTGTTGAGGGTGACATGAAATTTTTTTGCATGGAAGTTTTGGATGAGAGTGAATGGCGTGGTTTTGAGGTTGGTAAAGACGGTGTTGACTTTGTCTGTTTTAAAGGGGTTGATGGTTTAGAGGTCCTTTTTGAATTTGAGCTACGATTTGTTTTGGAAGCGTTTACTTCTTTTTCATTGCTCTTCTTTTTGATAAGATTCGATTGTTTGGATATAATTTTTTCGTCACTTATTAAAATGGGGGCCTCTGGAATTGGAGGTACATAATGAGGCATTGGTGGTAGTTTTGGTAAATTCGTTAATGGAACCTCGGTTATAATTTCATCTTTCCTTTCTTCGATTGAATACTTTGGTAAATCGTTATTATCGATTGTGTGTAAGACTCTATCTTGGATGTTGTTTGAGCCATTCAGTTCAGTCATAGATTCCTCGCCAGTGGATTCAAATTCTAAGTAATCATCATAATAGTCAGTTACATCAAAGTCAGCTTCTCCTTCGGAATCCCCATCAGTTTCATTATTTGTGACACTAAGTTGATCTGTACTTGTCGCCAAGATTGGTTCTGCTTCAAAAGAAATATCACTTTGAGAGGTAACATCCTTTATATTCTGTTCTATATTTTCAGCAGGTATCAATCTGGATTCATTTGACTTATTAGATATGAAAGATGATGTCACACTTTCTAAGTCAGATTCCGATCTCTCGTTCTTTACAGTGTCACTGGCATTTTTTGAATAGTGATCTAATGATTTGGACGTTGTAAAATTGATACGTCTCTCTTTCTCTTTAGTAGTCTCTATATTATTCCGAGTCTTGTTGATGGAATCATAAGACGATGCAGTTGCTGAGTTGTAATTAACAAAAGGGAAGCGTGGTTCTTTACTTCTAGAATGATGATCTCGGAGTGTCATTCTAGGGAAACCAGCAGACATAGTTCTTGCTGTCATAGGTCTTGATGATACAGATGATGATGATGTTGTTGTTCCATTTTTCTGTGAATTGTTATTACTATTCGTATTTTCTATATTTGATTCATTTATGTATTCTTGTATTCTCTCCATATTTCCCAATGCTTTATGATATAATTCTTTAATACCTGTTTCGATGCTTAATTCATCCTTCGTATATGACTCTCTATTTCGATTACTATGTTCTATCCTTGTCAGTTGGAATATTGTGTCTGTAGTGAGCATTTTCCAACCTTGTAATGCTCTCTTATATTGTTTCTGATTCTCGAGTTTTAAATAAAATATGGATTCGTTAGCAATCTTGCTGTACAGATCCGTTAGATCCGTTAATGGTTGTTGAGGTTTCTTCCTCAGTTTGGTAAACTTTGTGAGTATGCTATGACTACTATTTGAATATGAGTCCATTTTCTTCTTTTATTTTAAAGATAGTATGGCTAATGATGCAGATCGGATCCAAAAAGAGGAATTAGTTTAATTAAAATGCAAAAGACTGTTGATCCACCTCGTAGATGTGTTTTCAAAATTACAGTGTTATTGGTGTAGTGTATAGGACTCAAAAGATGATATCTGTTTCAGATATATCGTATAGCTAGTACCACTGATGGATACTGTTCTTGTTCTTGTTCTTGATCATCGATTTGAGATGTGAGGGTGTATGCAGGAAAACCATCCAATGGTTAATATTTTCATTTTATTTTTATTTTTTCTTTTCGTGCCAGAAAAGCTCCGTGAAAAGCAAGGAAAGTGAGAGAGAGAAAAATAGATTATAGTGGGGAAAGAGGCTGCACCACGCGATCAATGGAATGATGTGAAAGATGACGAAATGATTAGTTTACCTAAGCAAATTATTTTCAAATAAGATGACATGATTTTGATTTTTGATGACAAGCTCTACCTTCTCGATAGTAAGTCGATATGTAATATGCTGCTGCAAACAGCGTGTATTTATTAATATTAAGTACATAAGTAATACATAAGTCTCTTGATTCTTGTAATATAATATAGTATAATTTTTAAAGTTTATTGGTTTTACAATTGAGTTTGGAACTATGAGAAAATGGGTAGTTAAATGACGATTGCAACTATGTATGGTACAATAAGGGGGAGTGGAAGACAACATGTCATAAATGCGATATTATTGATCTCTTCTCTTTTCTCACTCTATAACACTCTATGTTTTTTATTTTGTTTCTCTTGTGCACCTAGAATCAACTCTTCAAACACTCTAGCTTCTTCTGCTTCTTCTGGAGACCTTCTAGCCTTTGAAAACTTATCTGCTATGAATAGCATAGCTTTAGCTTTAGCCAGACGTTCTTTCTTTGAAGCAGATTTATCGGTAAGGATCTTATTACAAACTTCTTTTAATTTTCTCTCTAATTCAAATTTAGACATAGCCCACATTACTCCAAGAGCTTTCCCTGCCATTGTGGATTCAAATTTCGCACGTTCATATTGATCTAATTCATCTGGATTTACTTTACTCATTTCTTCCATTGATTTTTGTGCTTCTAACCCTGTGGACAGCAGGTTATATGCAGATTTCACAGTTCTAGCATTATCTCTAGTACCTGTGAACACTTTAGAGAATCCGAAAGTTTTCTTTGATATAATGAAGTTATTAGCTTTGGTCTTATAGACTCTAGCAATTAAATATAATAATTCTAGACCAAAACTTTCTAATTTCAAATCCTCAATTTCTTGATCTAATTTTCTTGTGAAATCATCTAAATGATTACCATTGCTTGCTAAGATATATTGATCTATCTTTCCATTTAATTTTACTGCTAATTCATCAACTTGTTTCATCATATCTTCTCTTCTCTTTTGTTCCATCTCCAAAAGTTTTTGCCTTTGTTCTTTAGTCATTTTCTTCGATGAAGAATCTATTTTTGTTTCGCCATCATGTTTTGTCATACCAGTTTCATCAGTTGTTGTACCTTCTTCCTCATTCATCTTTTCAGTTGCTTCAGTTAACTCCTTAAATAACGAAAATTCACCAATCCAATCCTTAAATCCATCCCCTCCAAAGATTGCGCTGAAATATTCACTAGCATCTTCAAAACCTTGTTGTGGTACAGCATCGTCTTTACCGAATTCATCATAACGTTTCCTTAGATTATCATCACTTAACACTTGGTACGCTTCACCAACTTCTTGAAACTTACGTTGAGCATCTGGATCATCTGGGTGCTTATCTGGATGTGTCTGCATAGCCTTTCTACGATAAGCCTTCTTAATCTCAGTAGGGGTAGCTTCGGGTTCGATACCCAAGATATCGTAATATCCAGTATCCTTCACCATTTTTGATTTTGTTTTTGTTTTCGATTTGGACTGTATATGTTGTCAAAGACTAATTGAGGTTAGAAAATTGAACCACTTTATAATTGTTATATGAAATGCAAATATTGAAAGAATCAAGTCTCTCTCTCTTCTCTATGTTATGTTATATGTATATTTTTATCTATTGTGAAAAATGTATTGATCTCAAATCGAAAGAAAATAAAATAAAATATAAAGCTGAGAAGTAAAACGCTAATGTCAGAGATTAGAAATAACGATCTAAAATTTTCAAGATCCTATATATTAATAATAAGAAAGGTTGATATACTCTCTAAATCCACTAAAGAAAACCTTCCACGACGACTTATTTTAATTTTGCTTGCTTTAGTTTGGTATTTTCACTTGTTGTTGTTGTTGTTCATATTGTGTCGAACTTTCCCTCCCCCTCTGACCCTCCACAGTCTTCTCTCTCTCTCTTTCTCCTATTTCATTTAGTTTTTCTCGCTTTGTCGACCTCTCTTCTGGCCTCGCTGCGGGAGACACCCTGCGCGGATATAGGATAAGACTTCGCCTCTCTTTCTTTGAATAGAGAGTATATACTACATCAATCAAGTTAGCAAGCTATTATTATTAAATACATTAGTGATTAGTGGGTAACTTAGACTACTTGGGTGGTACTACTTCTATTGGAGCTGGCATTCCTGTTGTTGTATGTACAAAGAATGTGGCACATTCTCGAGAGGTTCAATAAAGTAATAATATCATAATAGAGTATCAATATGAAGTGTTTAATTCTGTATTGATAACAAATATATCCTCCTCATGGAGTTGTAACTCAAGTAAGTATCAATATACATGTGTATATATCATTTGGTGAAACGCAAAAATAGTAGGAGAGTCGTATGGCTTGTAAAATATTGATTTTGTAGATTGTCACTTTTATTGTTTTGTTGACATTAACTAACTTATAGATACAATTATTGTTAGAGAGTAGAAGTATAAAAAAATTAACTTTTGATAGTATTGCGATAAGTACAAATATTTTTTTGTCGGGTCTTAAAGCAAGGGATCTTACCCTATATCTAATAAAAGAGGTTACATATTGCTGAATCTTAATTTTCTATAGAGCAATAGAAATCACAAAGAATATATTGTACGTTATAAAAAAAACTTCAATAGCATGGTTAAAATTATTAAAAGCTAAACAAGCTAACAGCGCTTAACACATACACTCTAAATATCCATATCCATATCCATATCCATATATATATATATATAGTGATGAATATGTGACATTTTATTTAATATAAATATTCTCTTTTGAGTCATTTATCCCTCTCAGCACGTGATATACGATAATATTTTTTTTTACTCTCTCTGCAGTATTTTAGTGAGTGAGTAATATAATAATCTCTTGGAAGGAGCAAATCAACGACATTTTCAAGTTTGAAAATTCAAATTCATTACTAATGCGAAAATTATTGTCCCTTCTATCGCAATATACTACACATTATTGCTGCACCCTGATTTAATTAGAAAAGACATAATGATGAGTAAACATATATATAATATATATATATGGAGAGAGATATAGCTTAGACTCCTGTAAAAGTATTACTACTACTACTACTGTTGTCAAAACCAAGATATACGCACATACACAAATAGACAAACACATATTTTAAAGATGGCTACAGCTCCCACCAGATTACAAGTACTAGCTTTATACAAGCAATTCATTAAGAATTCAAAACAATTCAATAATTATAACTTCAGAGAATATTTCCTAAGGAGATCTAGAGACTCATTTAAACAAAATATGACTTTACAGAAGCCGGAAGAAGTCAGTAGGGCTTATTTGGGTGCTAAGGAAGAACTTGGTATATTGAAACGTCAAGCTGTTATTTCCAAAATGTATACATTTGACAAACTGGTAGTAGAACCATTAAATAACAAACACACCTATTAGCTTTCCAAACCCATTCCTAAAACATAGTCATACAAATGCAGTAGCATAATGATATGAAAAGAAAATGGAGAAGCTTCAACTTAAAACAAAGTATTCTATACTAATACTTCGTTTACTAAGGGTCCACTCCATTTGAAAAGATAGAAGAAAAAATAATAATAACTTTTTTAACCAGGTTTTTGTTTATATATATATCATCTCATCTTTCATTCAGCCATATATCTTCTATTTTAAAGTTTGTACATAATAAAAAATAATGAAAAACAACAATAGCAAAAATCATTAAATTCGCTATACATCAGACTTTGCTGACTGTTTTGCAAGATCGTTTAGTTAAATAATACTCATCGATGATCAACTTGGCGAGGCTACAACTTCTATACTTTTATGTAGATGCAATACAAATACATTATCATCGAAACGCTAACTTTTGACTCTAAATCTTTACTCGATTGAGTGACAAACAAGTAAACGGCGTACGGGAGCAAAAAAATAGCCCATAAACTTTCTTTTGTTCGCTGCGAGATATATCGGATATTTCTGTTCGCTTTGGTGAGATGCCGTAATTTCTTCTTGCTTAGATGAGTTAAACAGGAAAATTTTTCAGTTTCAGGTACCATTTTCTGATAAAGTAATTATTCAGTATCTATCTCATCACTTTATATATAGTATATATATATATATTGAGTGGCTAACTCATCGTTCAGTTCCTGTTTCTTTTTTAAATCACAGCATCTCTTACTGTTTTGAATATCAGTTTCTCATCAAGAAACATTCTGTTTGACCATGTCCGCATATAAGAGAAACAACGACTCTAGTGAGGTCTCTCACATCGAAGATGGCCCAGCTACAAAACTTTTAGCAATGGAAGAAGACAAGATGAAATCGTTATTCAACCAAAAGATCTGGGATCCCAAATTTCAAAATGATCTAGAAGAAACAATCTCTAAATCGGAACCTTATAATTGGGGGTCCATCACTGAGCTAGTAGATGATGATTTATTAAGATCTGTTCGTAAAGAAATCGAAAGTGAAATTCATTTCACTTTGAAAGAAACAGATATTTATAAAGTTAATCAAAGTGGTGATTTGGCTAACTTATCTGGATTGGATTGGGCGGATCTTTCAAGATTACCAAATATGTATAAGTTACGTCAAATCTTATATTCTGAACCATATAGAAAATTTATTGCAAAGATCACTAACAGTAAATATCTGTCAGGTTCTAAGATGGATATGAGTGTCAACACATACACAAAGGGTTGCCACTTATTAACACATGATGATGTCATTGGTTCTAGACGTGTTAGTTTCATCTTATATTTACCAGAACCAGATAGAAAATGGAAAGAACATTATGGTGGTGGTCTAAGATTATTCCCAAGTGTCGCAAACAACATTCCATACACTGATCCATGCGCTAAATTGGTTCCACAATTTAATCAAATTGCTTTCTTTAAAGTTAAACCTGGTTATTCTTTCCATGACGTCGAAGAAGTGAAAGTTGATAAACATAGACTATCGATCCAAGGTTGGTACCATATCCCTCAGGAAGGTGAAGAAGGTTACATTCCCGGTGAAGAAGAAGCTTGGGTTAATAATAACAATTCCACTCTGTCTCAACTAGAGTTTAATTTATTACAAGAATTTGAATATCCTAAGGATGAGAGAAAACTTGTTGTTAAAGAACCATCTCAAGAAGAACAGCTAACAAAATTAGCTGAAGACCTTACAAAATTATCTTCGGAAGAAATTAAAGATTTGAATAAATATATCGATGAAGAACATTTGACTAAAGAAGGTTTGCAAGTTCTACAAAAGAATTTCCTTGAAAATTCTTCATTATCAATTGAAAATTTCTTAAATAAAGAAACTTCTGAACTTTTATTAAAATTGATTAAATATAGAGAATTGAATGAGATATGTCCAATGACAGTTGAAGAAAATAAAAAACCATGGGAGACTGCTAAACCACCTCATAAATGGAGATTCTTATACCTTGATGAAAATGAATTTAATGAAGAGTCTCAAAATGAAAGGGCAGAATTAGATTCTAAGCTTTATGATTTATCTCAATTTTTACAATCTTTTGTTTTCAAGAAATTTATTGCAACTATTACTTGTCTAGTTCCATTAACACAATCTGTCATTGTCAGAAGATTTAGACCAGGGAACGATTTCACTTTGGCTGATAAACTACAACTAAATAAGAACTTTGATAACCTAATGGAGTGTATTCTAGAAGGTACACTTTCATTAAGTGCCTTTGATGATTGGGAGGGTGGCAACGTTGGTGGTTACCAAATCTACATGCTAAATGAAGAAGATAATGGCGATGATCAAGCTGTTGTTCACGATGATAACGGTGAATCAGTTTTGATAAACAAATCTGCATCTTGGAATTCCTTCAACTTGGTACTAAGAGATGAAAATGTTTTGGAGTTTATTAAATACGTAAGTTGGGGTGCTAAAGGTAGTAGATGGGATATTAAGATGTTATGGGATGTTAAGGATACAGGTGACGACGATGAGGAATAATTGTAATATTACAATATATAACAATAGTACAGTTGTTTACCTTTGTATTTAATAGAAAAATAAAATATGTACTAAAAGTAATAATAACGATAAAAAAAGAATAGTTCAATATTATATATATTTACAAAAAAAATTATGTATGGCTCATGACTACCTATTTATATGTAGTTGAGAATATGTTCTGGATTTTAAGAAACATTCAATAAGTCTTAAAATACTTACAGTAGACTTTTTGGAAGTTTATTTTTTCTCATTCTAGATTTTAAAATTCTGGATGCTAGTCATAGATGAGATAGTTTACCTAGTTGAAAAGTTCATTTTATAACTCGTTCCATCACCTTAATTATGTGTCTTGGATAATAGACCAATTGCCTGTGCTCTTCTAATAGCTTTTGCTAACCTTCTTTGATTTTTGGCTGACAACCCTGTGACATCACTATGTAAAATCTTACCAGTAGATGTCATATATTGTGAGAGAATTTCTGGTGAAGTATATAAATCTAATGGGTTAATATTATTACCAAACAGTTTAAACTTTGATTTGTGTTTACGATCCAAGTTAATTTTAGCCATTGAGAAATCAAATGGGTCATAAATTGTAGAATATTGAAAACTTTTTATCAATTTTGGTTCCAAAGTCTTAATATTTTGGCTGCTAGCACTTCCATGGGCTGATTCATCGTTTGTTTTTTGTTTATCTGAATCCTTTAAAGCTTCAAATATATTCACGTTTGTTGTACCAGTTGGAGGGAAATTAAAACCTTTTATATTATTTCTTAACGTAGTACTGAAGAGCCTAGTATTAATCTTTATAGAAACTCTATACTGTGATAACATCTTTAATCAAATGGAATTGTCCCTTAGAATTTCTGTTTTATATACTGTTAAATTCCGAACTTGTTTAGTATTCTACTTCCGTTTCAGTGGGTATGTATCAATATATATAAATATATATAAACAGTATAAGTCAGATTAGTCAGACTAATTGTATTATGACTTTGTTTTTAGTTGGAATTGCTTGAGGTTGATATTACTTTTCTAATAATCTATGTACTCAATTTGGAGAGTTTCGCTCTTACTTTGTTCTTTCGCCATTCCTTTTCTGCCGACCTTTGACAAGTTCCGCACACGTATAACGCGATAAAATATAGTGATATAATATTGAAATATAAATTAAACCAGAACTATGTCAGTATTGCAAATAATCATTAGAAATGATACAGCAAAATTTTACGTAATACTCATATGTCTATTTATTAATATTTTGTTACATAATACGTAAACCTTATTATATATTTATACGGCAAAGAAAGTTTATCCATTAATATTCTAAGTTTGTGCACCAGATCGGTGTATAAAAACACAACAATATTCCACTATATTGTAAGTTAAAGAAAATGTGTTAGAAAGGATTACTATTCATTCTTCTAATCTCTATAAATTCAATCTCTTAATTTGTTCTAGTCTTTCATCAACGGCGTGTTCGAAAGATGCTGTACTCTGAGAGTGTTCCAATTCAATTTGTTTCCTTTCGTCCAATAACTTAGCATGGATAGATTGTAAGGCCTTAATGGAATCTTCTTCATCAATGACACAAGAAATATTTATCTCGTTAGCACCTTGAGAAATCATCTCAATATTGATACCTTGTTCAGCCAATGTAGTGAACATAGTACCAGCGATACCAATAAATTGTTTCATTTGTTTACCAACCAATGAGACAATAGCCATCTTTTTTATAATATCAACGGTACCTAATGCCTTCAGTTGTTCTACCGCTTTTCTTAGGTCCTTCAGGGAATCGTTATCTGGGATTGGCAAAGCCATTGAGACATGGACTTCAGATGTGGAGATCAAATCGACCACCAACTTAAACTTATCCAATATAGTGAAGATTTGAGCCAAAAACCCATGTGATAATGTCTTCTTATTGGAATGTATATTCAACACTACAATGTCATTCTTTGTAGTGATCGCAGTGGCACCTCTTCTCTTCTTTTCAAAGAAAGAGGAAGACAAAGCTTCAGGTGGATGAGGTGGAGTCAATTCACCTCTCTTTGCAATATTATCTGGGTAGATAATAGTACCATCACCCTTTGGATTCTGAACATTTTTAATTCTAATTGGAATTTGAGCCTGAATGACTTGTTCCATTGTAAATGGATGAATAACCTCAGAACCATAATAAGTCAATTCTGATGCTTCTTCTGGAGTAACCGAGGCTAACAATCTGGCGTCTGGAACTTTTCTTGGATCTGCTGTAAAGATACCATCGACTTCCTTCCAAACTTGCAATTCATCGGCATTGATAGCGACAGCGACTAAAGCGGCACATAAATCGGTATAACCACGACCAACACCATTCAATAGACCCATCGGTACTAAACCGAAAAACCCTGTAATGACAGGGACAATCTTGTCATCAGGATGTGTAATATTATTAGTGACAATTGGTTGTAGTTTATCCTTCAAAGCTTGAACCAAAAATGTATAGAACGAGTTATCTAATATGGTGACATTATAATCAGATGGAATAATATGAGATAAATCAATATATTTAGCTTTAATACCACGGTCATTACATAATGCAGTCATGAACAAACAACTTAGTTTCTCACCGACAGACATTACTAAATCGATGGTTCTAGTAGATACTTCACCTAAAACTTTCGAAGCCTCTAAATATTTAGCTATTAGATCCAATTCGTTTTTTGTATCTTCGATCAAATTAGTTTGTAGAACAGGGTTTTGAATAAATCTTTCAGCATTATCAATGTGATCCTGAGATATAACTTCGATGACATCATGAAATTCAGATTCTTGTGAAGCCAAATCACAACATTTTAATAATCTTGAAGTAGTACCTTCAGCTTTAGTATATGATGAACGTGCAGAACATACAACAGCAACGTTATTGTTTAATACTTGAGAATAGAATTTGATAATTTCATCGACAATCTGAGTAGGAAACTTACCAACAGAAGTACCACCAAATTTCTGGATAACCCAATCGGTCTTTTGCAACATTTTTACCTGTTAAAAATAAAAATGTATATATGTGTATATCACCACTTCAACTATTATTTTTTAGTAATAACTTGATTAAATCCCAATATTACTAAAAACAAAACTATAACAACAAGAACATATAAACTTTTCTCTCTTCTAATGTAAACAATATCAGAGATCTTTCTATATATATATACATATATGTAATGTGCATTAGTAGTATTAGCTGGCAAACTTTCAATCAGAACTGGGAGGACTCATCAGGCTAACTCAATTCCACGCCATGAACTTCAATGCCACTAGCCAAGTTTACTGATGCAGTGTGACTAATTGAACAAATCTGCTCTGTCTGTCTCTCACTAACAAGTTCATTTTTCATCTCACCTCATCCATCGCCCTCTGTCTGCGTATTATGAGAGAAACAGCAAAAAGGAAACTGAAAAATTTAACCGCAAACGGCGCCATAGTAATAATGACAATTCTTGCAACGTTTTCTCTCACTGCGGAAGAATCTCGAGATTATTTTTTTTTTCATTTTCTCTCACTGAAAATTTCATATAATTAGTAGTAGCGAGAGAGAGAAACAAGGCAGGCGCCACAGTTTTTTGAAGCCGCTGCGGTCATGTGACTTTTCATCCTAAATTGTTGTTTAGTCACATTACAACCTCATCACGTCATCATTACCATGATTGGTCAGTTCATTATACATGTAACGATTTTCAATTAGAGATTCTGTTTTAAGAATAGACAAAAATTTGACACATTATATATACGTATATAAATATTATGATACTATGATATTAGATTAACCTGTAGTTGGTAAACCAACAGTGACTTTGAATGAATCGTATATCAACCATTGGAAACTTGTTAAAGTACCAATCATAAAGATTCTTACAGGTAGACCAACCCATAGACCCATGAATCCGATCTGTTGATATATTCTCTTAGAAGCTTGAGCCATAGTTTGTCCCATCTTCTTTTCATTATTAATCTTAGACACCATAACATCTGCAGGATGAGAAATGATTGCACATAAGATCCCTGCTAAGTACCCACCTGTGAAACTAACACCAATTTGTTGTAATATCGACATTTCAGATTTAGTTCTTGGTAGATAGGAATATATTCCTTCAACAATTCTTTCAAATGAAGTAAATTTCACCATTGTATATGGAATTTGTCTACACCATAATGGTACCAACCCTTTATATAATGAAGCAAACCCATCTGATTTGATTGTCTTTTGAAGACCATCCAATAAACCTCTGGAGAATGAAGGTATAGTTGTTTGTTGTTTCACTTTAATTGCTTCGAAGGGACATAACATTAAATCTGCTAAAAATTCTGCTGTAGCTGATGCCATTAAATAAATGCCCACTCTATGTTTATGGAATTTTTCAATATTATCACCACAAATTGCCTTTGCATAAGTATGTTTAAAAAATTCATAACCACCATATTTACCTGCACCTTGTAAAGAATAACCAACAAATGTTGCCCCAACACCTGTAAATAATTTTGAAATACCTTCCTTTGCATAAATTTGTTTAATACCTGCTAAATTACCTGAGTATAATTTTGGATTCACTTGTAATCTACATTTAATTAAATCTAATGGTGTTACTGATGAATGTGTCGGACCACATGCAACAATACCACCAAGTGTACATGCTGCGTAGAATTCAGGTGTATATAATTGAATACCAGTAGGTTTTTTAACCGGAGGAGTAGGAATAGTTGTTGTAGTAGACATACTTTAATGTACAAATATTATGCTATACTTTATTTAGGAAAATGTTAAAAAACAACTAATGCAAATAGAATGCAATTGATATAATTTCAATTGAAGAAAAACTTAAAAAAATTATTCCAATCATATACTTATATATATATCGAGAAAACTCCTTAGGACATGTTATAATAAACAAACTTATATAAACATATCGCATATAAAATGCGATAACTGCATCAATAAAAAGAACAATAAAACTATAGATATAATAATAATGTCAAAATTATCCAGTAAGTACTACGAATTATTACCCCTTACAAAAACAAATAAATGCATTAATGAATGCAGTATAACTCTAACTCTGACTGTTTCACTATTTAATAAATGCTATTTTCATTGTAAGTATCGGTTAGTAAAGGAATTAACGAACGGAACAGATAATTAAACAACCCTTTTCATTCCAACCTTTCCTTCTCTCACTTCCTGATTATCATCATCATCGTTATTATAATGATATTATACGATTATATAACGCAGATCACCTATTTTACATTTAAAAGGGAGATGAATAAATAGCGCAGAGATTGTTGTTCTGTTCCTTGTCTCTAACAGCGCACTCCCCCCCCTTGTTATCTTCTTTGAATCTTAGGCAAAGAATTCATGCAGTGCGACAAAGTTGTGCGACAGTCGCAAAACTCCGTGCTACGCAGATATTTAAATATAGGGGGGAGGGGGAGGAGGAACAAGATGATAGAGAACACACTCGTTTATAGTGATATTCAGTATATCGTAATGTGGCATATAAAATTATATAGTTATAACCTATTTGAGCGGCTATATATAAGTTTGATGAATTAAAATTAAGTCATATATTATAAAGTTTGTGTTTAATAGACTATATATGTAGTTTGAATCCTTCTTTTTATCGGATAATGAAGCTTCTATAATAATACGATAGCAAACGCAAAATAATCTATTCTACTCTGGTACTAGTCGTGGTATATAATCTCTTAACCTACTTACCACACGAATATGAACCATCATATATAACGATGAAAAAATTAGTAATATAGTACCAAATAATTGTAAATCTGAATGCATAATCTTATATATATCTAGTGTATTACAAATGTGTAAAAATAGAAATAGTTCAATTTTTAATCGATTTATTTATTAATTTGTTTTTTTATTAGAGGAATTAATACATTTGATTTTCTCGATGGTGACTTTAATTTCACCTTCAACACAAATGGTGTCAAAGCTCATTATTTTTCTTTTCTATCGCGTATAAAAAGAATAAGAAACGTCAGCAGTCATTTTTATTCGTTTTCTAGTAAGCTAATCAATAGATCAATAACCAAATGTCATTGTCTGATTCTTGTTTAATTATTTATCATTATATCATAAGTAAAAATAAAAAATAATTTATATATATATATATATATCTATATCTAAGTTGCAATTTCTTAATTGTTTCGATTTTTGTCATTCATTTCTAAATTATAAACCAAATGGATTATTGAAACCTTTCAATACAACATCGACTTTATAATTTTGTTCGTCATTATTATCCCAATATTCTTCTCTAGTTGTATCATTTCTTGTTGTATATTGTATGCAAAATTCTAATCTACCAATATTTTCTTCACTTCTTGAATTGTCATCAATTAAAAAATGGAAAATATCCATATCCGTACCCGGTAAAATTGAATCACTATTACTTAACCAAATAGCTTCAACTTCATTAGCCGTTTTCCAATTATCCCATGTATATTTAACAATAATCCTTTTATCATAATATATGTTTTTAACTAGAACTTTCCCAATAATATATCGTGATACAGTATTATTGGGTTCTGTTTGTGTAATACCATTTGATAAATTTTGTCGTGTTTGAATATGTAATGTCAATTCCTGTAAAAAACATTTTTTACCTCTTGATAAATTTATGAATATATTCAATTTTAATGATTTAGGATTCTTATTACTCAATATAGGGAAATTTTCATTGTATAACCCAACTACCTTTTGTGAACGACCTGATCTAACATTAGTTGTTTTTCTATTAAGAGCTTCAGATTTCGAGTTATTCAAGTTTTTGGCATGTGCTTCTTCTTTAGCCTTTTTATTTAATTCTTCAACTGAATTATTAAATTCTTGACTCACTGAAGATATTGTATATGGGCTTGTAATAGGTTTACTAATAATATTTCTTGTTGTAGATATCTTTGGATTGTTGTTTAATATATTTTCCTCCTCATTTTCATTTTCTTTTCCAATAACTTTTTGAAATCGTTTACTTTTACGTAATTTTTTAGGTTCACTTTTATTATTATTACTATTATTACTATTGTTGGTTAAATTATCTGCGCTAAAAAATCTATCCTTCAGACTCATATTTTTTAAACCTGATAATAGACCATTATCATCTTCAACAATAAATTCTGAATCCATTAGATTTACCGGTTTATGAACAAAGTTTAATATATTACTTTGTTCACCAGTAGTATTTACATTAATTGGACTTTCATCTTTACTAAAATATTTCACAGGTGTCTTATGATCAAAATGCACACTCTTACTTCTAGCTAATAGTAATGGGTTTTCACCAATGTCGTCATCATCATCATCAATATGACTGGAGACTAAGGGAGTTGCAGGTAGTGATTTTGATCTTTTCTTTAAGGAACTTTTCACTAATTCTCCTGATTTTTTATATACAGGTGTTGGGAACGGTATTATACTTTCATTTGAAGTATTATTAAAGATATAATTAAAAGATTGAATGTTTCTTTCTTCAACGACAGAATTTGGTGAGAATTCCGGCAATCCATTACTTGTAGTCAATTTTTTATTCATATCTGTATTTCTTTGTAATTCTTCTTCTGGGAATCGATCTTCATTCAAATGTGCCACACGTTGAGGTTTATGTAAGAATTTCAAAGAAGATAGATTTGAATCTCCATGCAATACATGATATTTCTTAGTATTATATGGCGAATTCTGATTCTTTTCGTATTTATCCAATTCTTCCTGGATACCCTTTGGCGTCATCACATGAGGCAATTGTTGTAATTTCTTGTGGAAGCTATCCCGACGATCATGAACCCTTTCACTTAATGGTTTCTGTCCTTGTTGTTCCTGATTTGGATCCAAGTTCAAATTCTTACAATCTGCTTTGATGTACATTGTTTTATAATTTGCAAAATGGGTAGGACAGATAGAGAGATGGGAAAAAGGGGAGAGATGCCCATCAACAATTGATAGTTATTATTAATATTATTTGTTAAAAAAACCGTGACAGATAATTCAGAAAGAAAGAGAAAGAGAGTGAGAAAGAGAGATGGATATGAGAGTTGTAAAAGTTCGATTGTATAACAAAATTTTTCTCTCTTTATTATTAAAGTATATAAAATTAAATTTATAATAATTCTAGTAAATAAACAAAATAATACTTTATCAAACTGTCAAAGTCCTTTGACAGGTAATGAATTGTATAACATAACATAATTTTATATCAAGACAGACAAACAAACGCACTTTACTTTGTGATATATATATATATATAATAATAATTAACTATTATATCAACCTGTCTATTATCCCCTTAAAAAAAATAATACAATTATTATTGCTAGTCTACTTCATTGAAAAAAATAATATATATAAAAAAGAAGGAGAACTGAACCGCGGAGTAAAGACAAAGAAAAATACAATGTAAAATGTGATTTATGTGTGGGGAGGGGGAATGAAGAAAAGATAATAATAGAAGATAAAAAGAGATAGAAGGAGACACAAGGGGGATTGAGAGAGAAGAGATGACAGTGCATAGAGTTATATAATGTAATATAATATAATGAAAATAGGAAAACAAAATATTTACAGGGATTAAGATCAATTTGAGGTAGAAATGAGAATGAAAATTAAACCGGTGGGAGTTAGTGATACTTCGCGTAAGGATTTATTAACAAACATCAAGACTTAGTTGAGAAATATATATATATATATATATATGTAGGCGTTACTTTGTGAGCAGTTTCTTCCTCGACATACAAAGTACGGGTTTCGGCGATAATATTTTATGCAAGGCGAGGGAACAACAATAAAGTAAAAAAAGAGAAGTGCAATACATATATATAATAATAATAATAATAATAATAATAAATAAATACAGATGTATTATCTCCCCTTGCATGTTATATATATATTACATCTATCCAATTATAAACGTTTAACAGACATATAACTCTCTCTCTATATATACTTAGTAGATTATTGAAATGGCAATAATAACACAAATATAATTCACAATTTGCTATGAGATCTATAATATACTATAAACATAGAATCTAATATCTTGTTACATTTACCGACATATTATGTACGTATCAATGCATAAAGTTAATAGAACAAACGGAGTTGCGAATATGCCCTCTCAGTTCCCATAATTTGCAAATAATAATAATATTAATCAGTACCCTTTTTCCTTATCGCATACGTAATACTGATGCAAAAAAAAAGATAAATTTGATTACTATCATTATCTCAATATCTCGTTATTGATAATTAAATTAGTTTAGTGACATAATTCTAATACGGTGTTTTTCTAATTTTTCTAATTTTTCTAATCATTTTATTTTATTTGCTCTGAATAAAATTCGCGGTGGGACAGAGACTCGTGTTGGTGACTCTGGATATATGAATTTATTATGCATTTATGCATTTATTCAAAAAAGCCAACAACAACAAGAGAGCGGTTCATTCTTTGTTGTATCAGATGGTGCAACACACAAACAAATTTATAACACTATGTTCCCATTAAGTGCCTATTCAACAGGTAGGAAGCCAGACAAATAACTAACTATCCGAGTAGGAAAGAAATGAGCGTGTAAATATTCTGTTTTGTTAAACGTGGCAAGAGAGCGACAGCATAAAATATTATTCACCGGCTTATAATATATTTATACAGTTACTATGTACTGAACTTTCTTTGGGATGCCTGTTTTTTTCCCGTTTTTTTTTCCACTTTCCTGTCCGAGAACAGAGGAGAGAGAAAAAGTATATGGCCCGGGCTGCGCGGTTAAAACTTCTCTTTATCATAGTATGAGCATCGTGTTCTCACTGTCTCGGTCTGCCCGTCTCTGCCCGTCTCTGCCCGTCGCTATTCGAAAGATTAAAGGGTCGTCGTCGCTTATTGAATTTTCTGGTAAAGAAAGTTCAGCGCATCTTTTTCTTTACTTTTTCCATACCAACGCCATAGGCATTTTTGAATAAATTATGCATTTTTTGTTTTTTGGTGGTTCTTAACATACAAACAGGAAAGAAACGCACAGAGAACACCATAGAGATAAACTCTTTCTCTCTTTCCTTTTGTTCTTATTTAATTTAGGGTACTGGCTCCACAGCTATAGTAGTAGGAACCCATCAACATATTTACATATTTACATATTTATAACTTTTGTAAAACATCGTTTATTTACTTGAGGTAGATGGATCGATCAATTGCTGATTTAATGTAAAGGGACATTTTTCAACATAATAAAATTGAAATTCTCTCTTCTCTCTGTCTTTCGACTGGTGATTATCATCATCATCATCATCTTCATCTTCATCAACAACAACAAGAATATGAACAACAGAAACTCTAAGTTTAGTGCAGTTTTCGCAATTGCGTCTTAGTCTTTTTTTTTTATTCATTTATTCAATTTCTATCTTTTTACACTGCTTCTTTTCAAATAATTTAGATCAAATAACTCTTTTGTTTTAAAAAGAAAAAAAATTCTTCTCTTTTTTTAATTAAAAGAATATTTCATATATAAGTACCTTCTACATCAATCGTTTATTTTATTTTTATTTTAATTATTTATTTATATTTCTTTCTTAATTACTTCTTAGTTTACTTTTATTTTTATCTTTTACTTTCATTTTAAAGAAACCACCCTAACAAATTCATTTATTACAACCAATCATGGCTGAAATTCAACTAGGTCGTTACTTATTCGAAAGATTAAAGCAAGTCAACTGTACTACCGTCTTCGGTTTACCAGGTGATTTCAACTTGGTCCTATTGGACAAGCTATACGAAGTCGAAGGTATGAGATGGTCCGGTGACACTAACGAATTGAACGCTGCTTACGCTGCTGACGGTTACGCTAGAGTTAAAGGTATGGCCGCTTTGATCACCACCTTCGGTGTCGGTGAAATGTCCGCTTTGAACGGTATTGCCGGTTCTTACTCCGAACACGTCGGTGTTCTACACATTGTCGGTTGTCCATCCACCCTACTACAAGCCAAGGGTCTATTGCTTCACCACACCCTAGCTGACGGTGACTTCGATGTTTTCCACAGAATCTCTGCTAACATCTCTTGTACCACCTCTATGATCACTGACATCGCTTCCGCTCCAAGTGAAATCGACAGATGTATCAGAGCTACCTACATTCAACAAAGACCAGTCTACTTGGGTTTCCCATCTGACTACTTTGAAAAGACTGTTCCAGCTTCTTTGCTACAAACCCCAATTGACCTATCTTTGAAGCCAAACGATGCTGCTTCCGAAGATGAAGTCATTGCTGAAATCCTATCCATGGTTAAGGCTGCCAAGAACCCAATCATCATTGCTGATGCTTGTTCTTCCAGACACAACGTCAAGGCTGAAACCAAGAAGCTTGTCGATGTCACTCAATTCCCAGCTTTCGCTACCCCTCTAGGTAAGGCCGTCATTGACGAAACCCACCCAAGATTCGGTGGTATCTACGTCGGTTCTCTATCCAGACCAGTCGTCAAGGAAGCCGTTGAATCCGCTGATTTGATTCTATCCGTCGGTGCTTTGCTATCCGATTACAACACTGCTTCTTTCACTTACGGTTACAACACCAAGAACATTGTTGAATTCCACTCTGACCACATGAAGATCAGAAACGCTACCTTCCCAGGTGTCCAAATGAAATTCGTTCTAAACAGATTGCTAAAGGTCATCGCTGAAGCCGCTAAGGGTTACAAGGTCGCTCCAGTTCCAGCTAAGGCTCCAGCCAACGCTGAAGTTGCTGCTTCCACTCCATTGAAGCAAGAATGGTTATGGAACGAAGTTTCCAACTTCTTCCAAGAAGGTGATGTTATCATCACTGAAACCGGTACCTCTTCCTTCGGTATCAACTCCTCTGTCTTCCCAGCTAACACCATCGGTATCTCCCAAGTCTTATGGGGTTCCATTGGTTACGCTGGTGGTGCTATTGCCGGTGCTGCTTTCGCCGCTGAAGAAATTGACCCAGCTAAGAGAGTCATTCTATTCATCGGTGACGGTTCTCTACAATTGACCGTCCAAGAAATCTCCACCATTGTTAGATGGGGTCTAAAGCCATACTTGTTCGTCTTGAACAACGATGGTTACACCATTGAAAGATTGATTCACGGTCCAAAGGCTGCTTACAACGAAATCCAAAACTGGGACAACTTACAAATTCTACCAGTCTTCGGTGCTAAGGACTACGAAACTCACAGAGTCGCTACTACCGGTGAATGGAAGAAGTTGGTCGCTGACAAGGCTTTCAACATTCCATCTAAGATTAGAATGATTGAAATCATGCTACCAGTCATGGACGGTCCACCAGCTTTGATTGCTCAAGGTAAGCTATCTGAAGAGATGAACGCTGCTATGTAAATTAATTAAAGAACAAAAATATTTTGTCTTTTACGTAATTATTTTATAAAACAACAACAACAATAAATACATCCGTTACAATTATTATGTTACATTAGTTTTATTTTTTATTTTAGTTATTGTTAATATGTTTGATCGTTTATTTCACATATATATCTATATATATGAACATTATATAATATTATAGTTAGTCTTTTTTATTATTATTTATCTATTACTTAGACACGACAATTAGAAATATCAAAGACAATAATATCTGTAGCACCATTCTTCTTCAATTCATCCATTATAGCACCTTTCTTGTTCTTTTCAATCATAGCGGCAACAGCAACCCATTCGCCATCATCACCAACATTTGTTAAAGTCGGAGCTTTTCTACCCGGTGTAATTGCTAGTAATGAAGGCAATGATACTTTAGCAGCATTGTATGTACAATAAACATATCTTTGTGCTGTCATGACACCTTCAATTCTAGATTTGATAGTTTCAATTAGTTCAGCATCACCTTTAGGGTATTTGGATTGAATCAAATGAGCACTAGTGTCTAAAACGGTAGCAATATCGATCAAACCAGCAGCACGCATGGTTTCACCACTTTCTACTAAATCGACAATGGCATCGGCAACACCAAGAGCACAGGATGCTTCGACGGAACCACCAACATATTTCACTTTTGTGGTCATTTGACTCTCTGGAACACCTTCTAATTTAGCAAAATATTTTTTGGTCAAATTGGTGAAAGTGGATACAATGGTCTTACCTACCAATTGTTCTGGTTTAGTATATTCACCATTATTTGGAACTTGCACTTGTAATTTACAAGAACCAAATTTTAGGTCGATTGGTAAATCGACGTCAATATTAGCTTCTCTAACTTGGTCAACACCAGTGATACCAAGGTCACACTTACCTTCCCCAACAAACATAGGGATATCAGCAGCAGGTAAGAATATTAATGCTACTGGTAAGTTTGTTGAAAGAGCAATGTCTAATCTTTGTGATCTGTGGAACTTAATGTCTGAACCATTCAGTATCTCTACACTCTTTTGATAAAGTCTACCTTTCTTTGGAATGGCAAATAATAGTCTGTCTGTTAGGTGGTTAACTAATTCCATTATAATGTTATGCTTGTATGTATGTGTTTTTGTTTGTTTATATGTATGAATATGTTAAATATATTCAAATATGTGAATGTTTATCTTGTATTCTTATTATTTTATAAATAAAAAACCTTCTGCTTATTTGTAAATTAAATCGGAAAGAAAAATTCCATAAACAAATTTAAATATCTATATACTTATATATGTATCTAAGGAGAACTAACTCTCTTCAGAGTATATTACCCAAAAGTTGAATAAAAGTTCGCTTACTCAATGAGTCAAGATTTCACTAACAGATGCAAAGTGAAAAATTTCGTATGATATTACCGCAGGACTCAAGGCGAGCACACCTATTAGTTAAGACAACAAGAACCGATTTCCTTATAGAACTGGATATTTTATAATACGTAGATAGTATACATCATATATTATCTATTACTACTATCAGATCAACTTCTCTCTCTTTCTCTCTCTCTCTCTCTCTCTGAGTGAACCTGGTCCTTGTGTGTTAGCGAAAGGACCTTCACTTTGATTCATTTATGATGAGTAACCTGTGTGGTGGTGGTGGGAAAATTGTACGCACGCAATTTTCTTGTATTTCACATAGTGGCAGTTCCAGATTAGCCGGTAATTTAATTTTTAATTGAAGGAGTCAAACGGTGCGGATTTTCAACAGCGCCGGGGTTCGTGCAGAGTGATGAGCAATACGTCAGTAAATATATCTTGACTTAGAAGGATATGCCTAATTAAAGATTATGGGAACAATGGCTACGAGAGGTAAGTTACCATTTCGGAAGGCACAGTTGACTTATTTTGCCAAATTGTCTTAGGAATGTGTCATAAATTATTATAAAGAAGGAGAAAAAAGATAAGGGAATAGGTATTACAGTATATATATATAAATATATATATAAATTAGACCGCAGAAACGACGGTATTATTATTAGTTTTTATTTATAAAAGTATGGTTTCCTAGCAAATATTGGTTTCTTCTTTAACGACCAAAATATTTTAATTCAAATGGCCGTATTATGTTGTAAACAATACATGCCCATGATGCACCTAATTCAAACCCTATATCACCACCATATTTACCAATTAATCTCGAGATCTCTCCGACCCAGTAAGTCTGACACATACCCAAAGCGACACCAAACGCACCGACGATTAGGGCTGCTGTACCTGCAATACCAATTGGTAATTTACTATTATCATTCCAATCTTCAACATTATAATTTTTGAAAGAATTCTTTCTATAGATGAAATGCTCCGAAAGCGCGATAGCTGTGTAGATGGCCAAATAATAACCAATAGAATCCATGAAATTTTGCATGAAACCTTCAAAGTAGTAACACGCTGGAATTGCAATACCAACAGTGGCTGCATTACCTGCAAGAGTCCACACCACTCTTGGAACTTTTGTGAATGGGCCCCACATGGCTTGTGCAGACAGGGCAATGGTATACATATTTGGAACGTTGTTAGCAACAGTAGACATGGCTAACAGAACACAACAGAATTGTCCAAATCCATGTAAGGAGTTAGGCACCAAAATAGCATAAGTTAAACCACCCATAGAGTTTTGTTGATAATATTGATTCCAAGTTGGATCATTTACAGCACCCATGGCAGAAGCAGCACCTAAAATCATACAGAAGAACAACGGGAAAGATAGACCTGCGACCAATGAGAAGAAAATCTTGTATTTGTTTGTATTCTTTGGCATATATACGGTATAATCGGATGCATAAGTGGTCCAGCCAGTAGCAAACCCATAAACAGTACAACCAAAAGAAAGAACATTACCTGCAGTAGTTGGACCTGAAGTCCATTCACCATTACTAAAATTATGAGATTTAGCTAAACGTGCAATGATAACCAAAAACACAGCAAAATTTGGGACCCATGACCATTTTTCATATGCATGAATAACACGATAACCGAAAAATGTCACTGCAACAGTACAACCAACGATAATTAGACAACCTGCCCATAATGGACATTCATGTCCAGAAGCATGATTAACCATGTTTAACAATTGAGCTGATACCACAGTGTTAACAATACCCCAACCGACACAAGCAACAACGTTAATCAAAGCAAATATTCTAGCTGTTAGATTACCTAGCAAGAATCTAGATAACACCATTTGTCTTAGACCTAATTCACAACCAAAGATAGAAAAATATGCGACAGGTAATAACCCTAGAATATTGAAAAAAATAATGACAAGGACAGAAGTACCAAAATTTAATTGATAAATCAGTGGTCCTAAACCACCTAGTGCATAAGCTGCAATAACCATATTTGCTGAAAACCACATCGATGCAGCACTGACAACAGATTCATCAGGGTTTCTTTCTTCTACACTAACAGGTTCAATACCTTTAGTTTCGGCATTTAAATATACTGCTAATCTGTTAAACCATGATAATTTAGTCTCAATGGCCGATTCAATAGCATAAAGGTCATTTGTGTCGTCATCATTGCTGACGGATTCATATATAGCATGTTTTTCAGTGTTTGAATTTGTGTTTGAAATAGAATTAACTTTTCCAACAAATTCATTTTTTTCATCTAGTACAACTGGATAGTTTTGTTGTTCTAAATCTGATGAAATATCAGTACTATCATTTCCTTCAGAATGGTTTCTTACCAATTTCTTAATTGAAAATCCCATATTTATATCTGATATATTTATATAATTGTGTATATCCAATATGCAATTTTATGATTATGTAATATATTTACTAACAAAGGGGAAAACAAGAAACAAGTTTAATTTTATTATCGTATTATCGTCTTTTAGAATATACCTTAACCATTCGTCTATTTATATATGTAAAAGTTTGAAAACATTCAATGATATCCCATTCACCTATTTTTATCTTAAGAAGGAGGTAATCTACAATGAGATATGGGTAAAAAGTGACAAAGTCATCCATCACATTGACAAATAAACAATAATATTTCATATATTACCAACTAATTAAAAAACTAATTAAAAAAAAAAACTATCAGAAACAGAAAGGTAAAAAACTAACGATAGGAGTAGATCATTCATTTGAAAATTTTTCTCTATCGCTATAATTCAATTGATATTCCCTATATCCATCATCGAGTCACATTTAATAAGAGACGAATGGCTGTGGATAGAGTTACATTAAAATAACGTCTATTCGCATTGCACTACATTACGGCGACGAGAAAAAGAACAAGAAGTAATGGGGAAGTATGATAACTGCAGAAATGCAGAATATCTAATCCATTGTCACCCACAGAAGAAGTTACAAAAGATAGATTGATAGTAAGACTTCAAATCAATTAAATTAAAATAAAATTAAAATTAAAAATTAAATGATTTTTTAATAAAAAATAATGTTGCGTTGTCTCTGTTTTCTATCAATTGTATGCAGGTTATTCCTCTTATCATTTTTTTTAACTCCGTTGGGAAATTGTTTTTTTCATCTTCTTTTTTCAAATTGATATACTGTGTATTTGCGCAGAACATTGAAATTGTGATAAACTAAAATTTTTCACCTCTTTTTCATTTCAGATAAAGAGAAGTCATCACATCATTTCATATCTTTTCTGAAATTCTTATTATTATCAGGCCAATCGGAAAGGTAAATTATATTCAGTGGAAATATTGACTGCCACTCTCATTCTACATATGGGAAAACTACATACACAATAAATTAAGTTTTCTATCAATTATCAGGATTTAATATGGATATGAAAACGAAGAGAGTTTTCGCAATATTGAAAATCTTTGATCGGTTACCGACCTATCACCTCCCTTCAACTTTATATCGTTTTAAATCTTCAAAACTATCACACTACAATACACAGAAGCCATATCACATTAAATTATGAAATACTTTGTTTCTTTTTTGAAAATATGTAGTCGTTATCATTATCGTATCATTGACATTCCTTCCCTTAAAATACCGAAATATTTTCATCTTCTTGCCTTGTTGTTAAATTTATTTTAATATATTCGATCGATGATATTATTTTCATTATAACATCTCTCTATACTTTCTTTATTTGTCGACAGATTAGGGTGACAACACATCTTATTATCTTCGAAAATTACAACCTTATTTCTTCTATTTCCTAACGACCAAAATACTTCAACTCTAATGGTCTTACCACAACATATACTATAGCACCCCAGGCGGCCCCTAATTCGAATCCAATATCACCACCATCTTTACCGATTCTCTTTGCTATTTCACCTACCCAATATGTCTGACACATCCCTAATGCAACACCAAAAGCAGCAACAATAAAAGCTGCCGTTCCTGCGATACCAATAGGCATCTTCTTATGATCTTGCCAATCCTCGATCTTATATGCTTGATAATTTCTCCTAAAGATTAAATGTTCACAAAGTCCTAACGCAATGTATATAGCACCATAATATGCAATTGTATTCATAAAATTTTCAAGAAACGACTTGAAAAAATAACATGCAAGGATTGAAATAGCCAATGCTGCAGCATTGCCTGCTATGGTCCAACATGGTCTTGGAATTTTTGCTAATGGAGACCAAAGTGCTTGTACAGAAAGTGAAACGGTATACATATTTGGTAAATTGTTTGCAATGGTAGATAACGCCAGAACAACACAACAAAATTGACCGAAACCATGAACTGAATCTGGTACTAATACAGCATACGTCAATCCACCAATTGAATTTTCTTCATACAATTTCTGCCATGTTGGATCATTGACACCACCCATACCACATGCAGCACCAAGCATCATAACAAAACATAATGGAATATAGATCCCCAAAGATAAGGCAATACTAATTTTCCAACTACTTGTATTCCTTGGCATAAATACTGTATAATCGGAAGCATATGTGGCCCATGCACCTGAATAACCAAATACTGCACAACCAAATGATAAAACATTTCCTGCAGTCGTAGGTCCTTTGGTCCATTCACCGTTATCCCATTTACCAGATAGTTTCAATCTAGCAATAATGACAAGAAATATGGCAAGATTAGGGATCCATGACCATTTTTCAAATTTATGGATAGCAGTATAGCCGAAAAATGAAATTATGACAGTACCACATATAATGACTAGACAACCTGCCCATAATGGCAATTCATGACCAGATCCGGAATTAACCATATTTAATAATTGAGCAGAACATATTGTGTTCAAGACACACCAACCAACGCAAGCAATGACGTTAATTAATGAGAAAAAACGACCTGTAATATTACCCATCCAATACCGAGACAGAATCATCTGTCTAATACCTAATTTAGCACCAAAGACAGAAAAATAACCCACAGGGATACATCCGATAATATTAAAAAAGATTACTGTCAAAGCGGATGTACCGAAGTTTAAACCATAAACCATAGGCCCTAAGGCACCAATCGCATATGCAGAAAGGACAAAATTAGCAGAAAACCAAACAATAGTAGGGTTCAATAATGATGGATCAGTTTTTTTGTCATCACCAATTGGTTCAATACCACTACTCTCAACATTCATATGTGTAAACCATTTTTCGTAAAAAGAAGACGTCTCAGAAAAATCATCTGAAGTTTCTCTGACAAAATTATTTTTATCATCTTGTTTCTCAGAGGTAGAATTCCGTGAAGACACTACAGAATCATGACCGTCTAGGATAAGACCCTTTTCGACATCAGTAGCAAAGTGTTCTTGATACGCGTTATCTTCTTTCATAGTAAACTAAAAGGAAATTTAATAGTAAAATAGAATTAAAATAAATGTAACTATTCAGAATAAACTAACACAAGTTCCAAAAAAAAAGTTAACTAATGTCAAAAAAATTCCTTATTTTATTTTATTTAATCGTAATATTAAAACAAAATAATTATTAAATTAAAAGCGTACCTAGATATAATAATTAATTAGCTGAAATTTCTATTGTTTCGGTTTGATTATGTTATTTATTTCCCTCAACTCTTGAAGAAAAACAAAATTAAAAAACGAAATTGGTTAATCAGTAAAAGGAAAAACTGAAAAATAAATTATGTAATAAAAGGATAGAAGAGAGAAAAAACATTAATAAAATAAAATGACAGATATCTGACATTTCTTGCCTATATATATATATTCTGAAATTATAAATTTATGTATGACCAGATATATCAAATAATTATTTTATTAGATATTTTGAATTGTAGTCAACCAGACCGAAAGGAGGCACTTGTTGGACGTGACATGTTCTCAGACATCAAAGCAGAATGAATTCTATAACGTACACTCTAAATTACAACAAGGCGGTCTCATTAATTGAAAACAATAGAACCTTTAGCCAAAGTAGGAATTTATATAAAATAATTATTTCAGCTCTTATAGATTATCTTGACTAAAAACAGGAAGACAAGAGAAAAGTTGGAACACTAGGTGATGTCGACGAGTTTGCTCCGACTAACTCTTCGGTGAATACACTACACGCTCGGTCCCGAACAGAAACGAGAGAGAGAGAAAAAAAATAGCAATCATAATCGACTTCTGACAGAACAAGACCAGGAGAAAAAAAACAACAAAAAACAAGGAAATATATAACACTAAGACATCGAGAGGAGTAATTACATCTGCTGATTGGAATACTGTGTATATTCATAATAAAACTTAGTCTTACTATTTTTTATCTGATATTTTGTTGATGACTGTCGTCACTACCTAGGAAGAAGGGGGAGAGAATATTACACATGTCTCAGAATAACAGAAGAAAAAGTGGATGCCAAATGCCAATATATAAAAGATGTGGATACAGCCACAAATTAAATAGAGTCCAGTTACAGCAAATTAATCCTATAAAATATTTGTTACTATATATCTGTATTTACTCCTACTGATACGAGTTCCAGGAAGAATACACAGTTTAATGGAATCAGAAATGAAACCATATGCAATAATGTTCCTGGACACTAGTTTCTAGTTATTAACTATATGGTAAATAATTAGCATCTCTTGATATACAGTTATGTATTTCATAAACACTCTTTAAGTCAAATGTAAACGTATATATATAAGTGGCCATATAACACAGTTTATGAGTTATTTATTTTACAAAAAGTGAAATAGTTGTAACATATACAACATGTAATATCCTCTAGTAACAATTATGACAATATCGTCTCTGGATTGACCTTATTCTTACATTACCTATTGCTCTCGATTGCTTCTTTTAGCTATCCACTTATCTTTTTTTGTCGTTTCGGTGTGGAGGCGCACTCTTTAAAAACATATATATATATATTTATTTAAAAAAATACAATGTTTTTGCTGTCGCGACACAATTTCCTAAAAGGGATATCAACCCATACATATTTTGTTGAAAAACTGGAAGCTATAAGAAAAGAACCACACAGAAATTGTGGAAGAACATAAATATCCCACAGGATATTTCAGAATATCAGGCCTAAGGTTACCGTTTGGGAAATAAGAATTGAAAATTAATGTTATATTCTAGAATTTTAATCAAAACTACGTTTTTAGTCGTCTGCATGATAAATAAGGAAGTGGTAGGGTCGTTAAGTTGATTATAGATAATGTTGGCGACTGTGGGTTCCTAATAAACTTCCTCTCGAAGACAATTGCATGTCCCACTAGAGTATATCCGTCGCAATAACTAATACATTATTACCAAGAATACTCTTGCTATAAACCATAAATGGTATTAATATTGGATATATATTAAACTTGAAATATTTTTTATTTCAAGAGTATGCTTGGTAATGTATTTTTATAAATAGGTAATTTTGAAAAAAATTCCATCAAATAATAAACTAACAAAAAAGTTCAACTTAGAAAGTTAGATAATATTCATAGCATTATAACGAAACAATTTATTTTGTAAAAACTATTCCATTTTATCTAAGAATTTAGATAGAAAATTTATAAGCTTACATCGAGATATAAATACCCATATATATTATAATATTAACTCAAAAAGTGAAATATCCAATAAATCACTGAAATTTGGTATAATTTCGATAAAATTTGAATTGGACTATATCATGTTACAAGTTAAAAGTGTATATATGTGATATATATGTGCTAAATATTTAGAAAATTAAGAAATGGGAATTTGGTAAATAAAAAAATATGTTCCGAATCATGTAGTTTAACGATTATATTAAAATTATGGAAGTATGAATTTTTTGTTTAATACAAAATCTATTTCTTACTCTTCTTTTCAGCCTTTTGAGCAGCGGCAGTTTGTTCCTTGACAACCTTCTTGACGATCTTTTGTTCTTCAATCAAGAAAGCTCTGACAATTCTTTCCTTGACACAGTTGGCACATCTGGAACCACCGTAAACTCTGGAAACAGTCTTGTGAGTCTTGGAGACAGAAGCGTATTGTCTTGGTCTTAGAGTAGAAACACCTGGTAGAGCAATACCACAGTCACCACACTTTGGTCTGGAAGCTAGCTTCTTAACGTGTTGAGCACGTAGAATACCACCTGGGGTCTTAACAACCTTGATTTTGTTAGAACGGGTGTTGTCTGTTTAAAAAATAAATATATTTTCATAATGTATTTTTTTCAATATGTGTTATATTGGAAATAATAAAGATGAATTTAAAATTGTTAGTAAAACATTGTTTTTTAGTATTATTATAAATAAATCATATAATGTGATCTTCTAGGAATAACAGACGAGTAAAGGTTTTTTTTAATACATTTAAAGTAAAAGTCAGATCCATACATCTCATTGTGGATATTCCATATAAGTGTATGGTTTATTAATACATGGTAACACGAACATACATGGGAATCACATAAAAATCGTATTTTTAAGTAATGATCATAAAATGACATGTAGATACAACTAACATATCCTAGTACTTGTTCTATCCTTCTTAATTCATCAATATTTTTATATTTATGTTTCATATCCTCATAAATGGTTCAATCTTTCTTTTTCAATTGTTAATTAAAAGTATCATTGTTCATTCTCATTGATTTCAAAATACAAATACATCTTCTGAAACGTATATTCGACCTACTCTGATATCCAAAAACAACAACCTTTGTCTAATTCCATATACGCAATCCTATTAAATCACATTATTTTCCTAATTATTATCTCTATTATCTTTGAACATACATGGATTATTTCTTCTGTAAGTAACACGTTGGGCCATCTTTGGTTTATTTATCTATTTGGTTTGTTATAACAAAATGTAATTCTGAACTTTTAACTAGTCTAAAAAGCTCTAAATTTTTATCAACAAGGTCTTCTTTTTACTAGTGTATACATTGAAAATTTGAATAATATTTTGGTAGTAGCGTTCACCACTGCTCTTTGGAAAGGACGATGAGATTGTGAAAGTACTACATTTCCTCACTACGTAGCAGGAAGGTATCGGGTAAGCAACATTATGTAAACTGGGCTATCATCAATCTCCTTAGTTTACACAATAAAGAGGGAGAACAGTCCAAAATTGTTTCAGCACTCAGCACTATCATCGGGACACCGAGAATTATTCACTTTTGCCCGCGTCCCTTCAAAATCTGAACATTTTTTAAATATCTGAAAATTTCAAAAAACTTTCAAGAACGTTTTTAAACATATTTAACATCCGTACATCTGCACCCATACACCATTATATCGTCCAAACAAAACTAAAAAAAGTTAGTACATTAGACATATTAACATTTGACTCATTTCGATAAAAGGTGAACTTGGTACTATCTATATATATGTTATGATTAGGAGTGACATAATGATAGCAAAAATTTAATCATGTGAATGTTTATATGGAATTATTACTACGCATACACATATATCTAGTATCTAAATTATCTATTTTTATATATTTATTCGTTCTCGACGGCAATGACTTCAACCTCGACTGTCTCACCTAATGGCAGAGCAGCCACAGCCACACAGGATCTAGCTGGCTTGTGAGTGTTAAAGTAAGTACCATAGACTTTGTTGAATTCAGCAAAATCATTGATATCGGTCAAGAAGATGTTGACCTTTACAACTCTATCCAGAGAGGAGTTACAATCAGATAAAACAGACTTAATGTTTTCCATAATTTGAGTTGCTCTTTGAGCAATTGGTCCACCAACAGGCTTGTTTTCTGGAGTTAAAGCAATTTGACCAGACAAGTAGATAAAATCGCCAGCTTTCATAGCATGGGAGTATGGAGCTGCTGGAGCTGGGGATTTGGAAGAGTTGATAGCAGTAAGTTTGACAGCCATGTTTGATTGATTGATTGATTGATTGATTGAGATAATCGAGTTATATTTATATGGAGTTATCAAGGATGCACTTTACTGTAAAACAAAACAAAAAAAGGTCAATTGATAATATCGAGCTAACCTTCTTATGTAGCCACATATATATATATAACATAAGTCCAAGTATGAATCTTCGTACATTTGATTACGTAACTGAGACCAGAGTGATGTGATAAGAGAATATTTCCCTTTTCCGACGTCTTCCTTCCCTCATCTCTCTGTCTCTCTTTTGGTACATCCATAATTTGCTCGTGCAGTTGAAAATTTCATACACACATATATTATGCATGTATAGACTGGAAAAACAAAAGAACATAGTAATGTGATGCGAGAAGATATGCACATCCCTGGAAATAACATACGAATCAGTTAAAAGATAAATAGGGTAACCAACAACTAAACCTATTGAAATATATATATCTACTAAAATATATTCAAATTGGTATCTTACGAAATACAAACAATAAATATATAAGTGGATTTATCTGTGTCATATTTTACGTAGTGAACGTTATTATCCTTTAGAAGAACCAACAAAAAGAAATACTTTCTTCCCCCTTAAAAAACTAAAGACTCATTGCAATTTTTTCCCTCTTAACATTATGAGTAGAGCCAGTAAGATAACGTTTGCATTATCTTCTATATTTTGTGTTGTTACTGTAATTGGTGTCCATATTGTTCAAGATATGGAGAGAGATACATTACATCAAGGTCCTATTAAGGATGCAAAGAGAGTGGCTGAGAAAAGAGCTGCAAAGGAACAGGACCAAAAGAAAGGAACGCCGACTGACGGGTTAACTGATATTGCTAAACAGAAGAAACGAGATTTTAATAAGAGTGATCATGAATTACAACAAGCATTGAAAGAAAAATATACGGCTATTCAACCTTTAACTGGGGAAATCATAACACAGGATGGTGAAGTAGTTAAAAGTAAGAAATAAATTATATAGATTGCCCTGTTGATAAAAGAACAAGAATATAAATGTTCGAACTTTTGTATGTAAATAATAATGAAAAAAGATCGAAAACAACAACAATAACAGCAACAGCACAACACATGTTTCTTGTGAAAACACTTATGTAATTATATATGTTACGTCACAATCGACTATTATTGTATCTTTTCAAGTGATAAAGAAGAAGAAACACAATTAGGAGTGCATATGGTAGCTACGATTCAATATAAAACAAGAAAACAGCAGATCGTATATTATTAATACTACTAATCTTGACCCATCATCTCCCCTAAATGTAAGCAAACAATTAACTCCCCCTTTTCTCGAGAGCTGAATAAACTAAATGTCATGTCATTTTATCAATCAAACTATTCTTCTTCTACTACAATCTTACTTAAGATAATCATCTATTGCGTTGTTCTCATTTCATTCATTTTACTCAATCAATATCTCAGCTAGTGTAAAGAGAGGGTCTCAAATTCCTTAGCAGTATAAATAAAGTACGTAATATAATGAATGCGAGAAAAGAGAGAAGACAAATGCAAAAAAAATGAGAGACAGAGAGACAGAAGACGAAAAACAACAAAGCAAAGCAAAACAGGAAAGAAAAAAAAGGAGAATGGAACTATAATAACAACACCCACCCCTACAAAAGCAAATAATACATATTAAAGAGAGAGCATAAACAACAAATAGATACATATCTACACAAAATAACATTAGCGTTAATCAAGGAATATCGATATAAATTAACCAGACATAAAGAAAAAGATATGAGTAGTATAGTATCATCCTCGACAAGTATGAGAAGTACCCCTACACAGTTCGCATATGATGCGGACCCAACAGATTGTACAAATGATAATAGTAACATTAATAATAAGGAAGTTAAAAGAGAAAATAGTAATCGTGATCGACAGCAGATATCTACTGCTACAGTAGAAGCTATAAATGGAACCACCTCTGTAGTAACAACTAAGGTTTCAACTGATGATACATTAAGTAGCTCACCAGGGTCATTCACATCTACTAACAATAACAATAATACAACCGCTTCTAACTCGATATCAGGCTCGAGAGATAATGATAAGAGGTCTGTAGTGATACAAACCCCTAAGAAAGAGAAAGAGTATCAAACAGTATCACCGACACAAGTCAAATGGGAAGATCAAGAACCAAAACAAGATGAAGAGAAGGATGACGAAGAAACGGACAATGAAACACAACAATCAGACACTGTGGAACCAGATTTTGATTATAAATTTGATTCCGATAAAATTGTAACATTATCTACAGACAAATTAATTCAAATGTTAACTGCATTATTAGAAAAAATTATAAATTCAAATGACAGATTAAATCATAATGGTTCGCCGACAGATTTATTATATGACGCAAACAGTAATAATATTAATAATAATAGTAATAATAGTAATGGTGGTACTAATATCATCGATTCCGGAAGAAATCCGGATACTGTATCATTAGTTAATTCAATAATTAGTTTTAAAGGTAAACATGTACCACAGATTGGTCTTGAACAATATTTCCATAGAATTCAAAAATATTGTCCGACTACAAACGATGTATTTTTATCATTATTAATATATTTCGACAGGATTTCTAAAAAATGTAATAGTAAACTACAAGAAGCAATGATGTTAAAGGAACACGAAAAAAATATCGATGAACAAGAACAAGATTTTGAGAATGACAGTCTCGTGGAAACAGAAGATAAAGAATTACTAAGGAATGACGAAAGATGTACAGAGGGAGGTGAACCAACAAAAAAACAAGAACAGCAACAACAGACATTTGTTATGGATTCATATAATATCCATCGATTGATAATTGCAGGTATTACAGTCAGTACCAAATTCTTCAGTGATTTTTTTTATAGTAATTCAAGATACGCTAGAGTAGGTGGTATATCGTTGAAAGAGATGAATCATTTAGAATTACAATTCCTTGTATTATGTGATTTTGAAATGTTAATATCTGTAGAAGAAATGGAAAGATATGCTAATTTACTCTATAGATTCTGGGATAGTGATAATCACAATGTACCGGTTGATGTTGAATGAGAAACATGCACGTATATATATGTGGATGTATCGTTACATACACCTTTACAAATATAATATATGTATGTATGTCATTAAGATCTTTGATATTTTTTCATCAGCACAAAAAATTAATGATTCATTAATTATTAATACACGGAATAAAAAAAACGTATGGGAAGATCTCAACTATTATTATTTTTATAAACAGTTTGTATCATTTATTGCAAATTCATATATATACTATATTCAAGGTATTCACCGTTTTCATGTTCGTCTTTCTGAATTTGCAATAAATGGAATACTAGCTCCATCTTAAAAGAAGCAAGAACAATATAAAATATCTAATTGAGTTTATTCTAGTTTAAAATTATATTAACTTCATTTATCCATTATATCATTATATGTTGGAGACTTGAAAAATTGTAATATAATCAGATTCACGACCGTTATACCAAACCCTAATCACTATCGATATCCTACTCATCTCATCGTTCCATTACGTTCACCCCGCCGTTCGACTATTTATCAATATGGCACATCGTTCCCCATATATTAGAAATCCAAACTTATATTCAAATGGAATGCATCTTCCATTGTATTGACTTCTCTCATTCCTTGGACATTTTCCCTCCAGAGACAAAGCGCGCGGTGAGTTCGAATTATATTCTTTAATTAATTAATTTTAATTAAAAAACTAAGTTAATTTAATTAGAACATATACTTCGAACTCATGTTATATTCGCGGTAACTTCATCAATATTTAACGGATCTGGGCAACAATGGTGTCTATATGAAGATGTGTCAAACTACGTTTTATTTGACACAATTATAATAGTAAAAAAAACTGAAACGTTCCATCTTCTTAGCTAATATCAGCATTTATAATTATATAAAATTCATATGGAGTCATAATTAAAGAATCCCCCACTTTGTATGCCCCTCTCAGAAAGCTGGGCACCAAAATGATAGTTCGAGTCATTTTTTTGTTTTTTTGTCTCTTTTGTCTTTTCCAGAAACGAAGAGATGTACGCACCAAAAATGCTTTTTCAGTTTTTTCGCTCAAACCTGATGGGAGATCTACAAAGAAGTATGTTACTCTTAGAAATACAAATCGTTTTGTTGAGGGGCATCGAGATAATGGAATTGATGACATAAACTAGAATAGAAAGAAGATAACCATGAAGTGAATGGAAAACAGAAATATCTCGTTGGTGACTTCTACTTGAAAAGTTTTCGTGATTGTTTTTTATTTTATTTTGATATATAAAGAGATTGAAATATTGAATTTGTAAAGATATTATTCGAGTATTATCTTCAATTTTCTTTTTGTTTTATTTACAAGCAATAACAAATAAAGAAATAAAGAAATAATAATTAATAAAGCTTCTCTTATATATTCTTTTCTGTTCTTATTATTATGTCTTGTCTTTTATAATATTTCGGTTTTTAGTCGTTGGACGTGTGTGTGTTAGTCGGCTGTTCAGCACTTTTTAATAATATAATTATTATCACTATTAATTCTACTATTTTTGTTTAATTTCAGAATAAAATGACTTCTGGCACTACAAATACAGATTTCGATATCGAATCCTTACAAAAACAAGGTGGTATAGTGTCCGACAAGAAACTTTATAGTAGTCAATCACAAGATTATTTTGTCGATGACACATCTAGTCATGGTTCTAGCGACGATATCATTATTGAAACTAAATTAGGTTTTATCAATAGGTTTGCTGCAAAGTTAAATACAGAGACTAAAGGTATCGAACCTGTCACAGAAGAAGAACAAAATGATTCCTCATTAATAAATGCTGCCTCTATGTGGTTTTCTGCTAATATGGTGCTTGCCGCTTATTCTATCGGTGGGTTAGGTCCAATGATCTATCAATTAAATTTTGGTACTTCTGTCCTTGTCATTATTTTCTTTAACATTTTAGGATTAGTACCAGTGGCTTTCTTTTCATTGTTTGGTTCAGAATTTGGTTTGAGACAGATGGTCCTATCTAGATATTTGATCGGTAACGTTACAGCAAGAATATTTGCTTTAATTAACGTCATTGCATGTGTTGGTTGGGGTATTGTCAACACTGTCGCGTCTTCTCAATTATTTAATTTATTAGGAGAAAATAGTGGTCACAGATGTCCACTATGGGCCGGTTGTATCATCATTATTGGTGCCACGGTTATGGTTACTTTCTTTGGTTATAGAATTATTCATGTTTATGAAAAATATTCTTGGATTCCAAATTTTGCTGTCTTTCTAGTTATTATCGCTAGATTGAAAATGTCAGGTAATTTCAGTCAAGGTGAATGGACTTCAGGCCCAACTACTGCAGGTAATGTTCTTTCCTTTGGTTCCGCTGTGTTCGGTTTCGCAGCTGGGTGGACCACTTATGCATCCGATTATACCGTATATATGCCAAAGAATACAAACAAATACAAGATTTTCTTCTCATTGGTCGCAGGTCTATCTTTCCCGTTGTTCTTCTGTATGATTTTAGGTGCTGCTTCTGCCATGGGCGCTGTAAATGATCCGACTTGGAATCAATATTACCAAACTAATTCCATGGGTGGTTTAACTTATGCTATTTTGGTACCTAACTCCTTACATGGATTCGGTGAATTCTGTTGCGTTATTCTAGCCTTGTCTACTGTTGCTAACAATGTTCCAAATATGTATACTATTGCATTATCTGCACAATCTATGTGGGAACCATTTTCCAAGATTCCAAGAATCTTGTGGACTTTGGCTGGTAACGGTGCTGCTTTAGGTATCTCCATTGCTGCTGTCTACTATTTTGATGCCTTTATGGAATATTTTATGGATTCCATTGGTTATTACTTGGCTATATATATATCGATCGCCCTTTCAGAACATTTCATCTACAGAAAGAATTCCTTCAAAAATTATAATGTTGAAGATTGGAACGATAATAGTAAGTTACCAATTGGTATTGCAGGTACAGCAGCTTTAATTGTTGGTGCGTTTGGTGTCGCCCTGGGAATGTGTCAATCCTATTGGGTAGGTGAAATTTCTCGTCTAATTGGTGATTATGGTGGTGATATCGGATTTGAGCTAGGTGCATCATGGGCATTCATCATTTACAATATAATACGTCCTTTAGAATTGAAATATTTTGGTCGTTAAGTATATTGATAAATCAAACACAGTAGTATCATCATCAGCATATATTCATAAACACAACAAAAAAAAACTTCATTAGCATTTACATTCATCGTTTCATTTTATAAAATCCTTTTATATATTTTAATATCATTTATTAAATCGATTAGAGAAAGACACTAGAGTTTAATACAACCAACCACTTGTAAGAAAATATATGATTTGTCTTTTCATTGTTCCCACTTTTTAAATAACAACGCTGTATTGACACCGCCAAATCCAAAACTGTTTGAGATTGCATACCTCATATTCTCAACTTTTATTGGATTACCCTTAACTAATTTAATTCTAGAAGAAATTGACTCTGATGGAAGTTCCAGTTCTTCTTTAAGGTTTAATGTATGAGGTATTATACCCGTTTGCAAGGATAAAACTGTAAAGATAGACTCTACTAACCCTGATGCTCCGAGAAGATGGCCCATAGAGCCTTTGTTACTAGATATATACAATGGACTATGGTGTGTGGTAGTTGTATCAGATAAAGTTTTGGAAATAGCCATCAATTCAGCAAGATCGCCCACCGGAGTAGATGTAGCATGTGCGTTAACATAGTTTACTTCATCGACGGTGACATTGGCATTTCTTAAAGCCATCTCGATGGAGAATTGTGCACCTTTGCCGTTTTCCATCGGTGATGTGATATGGTAGGCATCGCTAGACAAGCCGCACCCAACTAATTCTGCTAAAATCTTGACATTAGATTGTCCACTGTGTATCCTTTTTTTAGCATGTTCCAATTCTTCAAGAATCATTACACCTGTCCCTTCACTGATGACAAAACCATCACGTCCTTTGTCGAACGGTCTTGAATTTGAAGTTGTTGAGAGACTCTTAAGTCTGTGGAACCCTGCCACAGTTAATGGATGTAACGAATCCTCTGTTGCGCCCACTATCGCCACATCTGAATAATTATTTTTTATGTTATGATAGCCATCCATAATAGAGTTATTACCAGTTGCACATGCAGTGGAGATTGTTTGAGATGGACCCTTCGAATTGAATTTGATCGAGACAGCACCAGCAATCATATTTCCCAATACTTTCGGTATGAACATTGGCGAGGGTTTTTTATTTTTTAAAGCCATCGATATTGATTCTTCATATATATCATGGATTGCTGGTAATCCAGTACCAACCGAAGTGGAGACTCTATGAGGATTAATTGTCTCCGGAAATTGCCTGTTTGTGTCCAATAATCGAGCTTGGTTCAATGCGTGAAACGTTGCCGCAATAGTAGTTTTCATCATGGACGACATACGCCTATGATCCTGGCTAGTAAACAGAGTATTAACTGAATTCCAATTGTATGGTTTACATTTACCGACTCTTAACCCAGTGGGCAAGTGTTTAATGTGAGGTTCGAATAAAGTTTTATAATTAGGTAAGTGGGATATCTCTGTAAGACATTGTTTAGAGTTTAATAGGTTTGACCATGATTCCTTGACAGAGTTACCCAGTGGAGTAATGCAATCGACTCCTGTGATAACTACTCGTCTTGACATTAATTTACAGCTTAGGCTTTCCGTTATAAGGGTATTTATTTTTTGCTTTCTTTCTTTCTTCGTGGGAAAGATAAACATCCGATTGTAGATAAGTAAATTTGGTCGTTCTATGTTACTAATTTTAAAGGCTGTAAAAAAAAATAAAAAGTTCATTAATATAATTTTAAATTGTAAATAAATAAATATATATATATTTATATAAGTAAAATCAATGTCATTAAGATGAAAGTAGTAATGTCTAAAAATAAAAACCCATGTGTCTTATTTTGTTGCATTACTTTCATTTATATGTCAGTCTGCATTAAGATTATTACCAATTCAAAAGATCATCCTTAGCATATATATAATCTTTGAAAATCAATTCCACTTCATCAGTATTTGAATCATATCCGCCAACAATAATTGATTCAAAGTTTTTAACGATAATATCACATCCCTTTTCTTTCAAAGTATCAGCGTCGAATGTAGTCGCAATACCCACAATTTTACAACCAGCTGCTTTCCCAGCTGCAATCCCTGCAGGAGCATCTTCGAATACAAATACTTTGGATGTACTTGGATCTTCTTTATTTACTGGGAAACCTAAACCGTTTCTACCTTTTAAATAACATTCAGGAGCAGGTTTACCTTGTTTAACACTTGAAGCAGTAATAAAATTTTCTGGTCTTTTAATTCCTAAGAATTTAAACCATTGAGATGCCATTTCAAAAGTACCGGATGTAGCTACAGCCCATTTTTCCTTTGGTAATTTATTCATATCATTACAAAATTGAACGGAACCAGGTACTTGAACAGCAAATTTCCCATATTTTTCAGGGATTGCACCTTCCAATTTAGCGACATATTCATGAGTAGCATAATCTGGTGCAAATTTTGCAATTGCATCATATGTACGCCAACCATGAGAAATTTTAATGACATGTTCTGAATCAAAATAAGGTTTATCCTTACCGAAATCTCTCCACATTTCAGCAATTGCAGGTTGGGAGATAATAATTGTACCATCTACATCTAATAGACAGGCATTGACTTTGACAGATAGGGGTTTTTGTGTTAGAGGCATTTTTTTTTTCTTTTAATTAATTTGTTATTAAGATATGTTTCGATTAACTATCGATAGTTCAAGCAGAATATTGTTATGATGAACTTACTGAATTATAAAATGAGAATTAGTACAAATTCCCGAACCCTTAACCTCACTAATTTTTCTTATTTATATATATATTACAAAAAACAAAAAATTCGATGTATAGAAAGATTATTATTGTGAGAACTCACATGAGAAAGGGGATTTCATCACCAAATTATTCTATCTTGTGCACCCTCTCTCTTTGCGACGTTTGTGATACATAATGATACAAGTGTAAGGCGTAGTAAATAATATAATTTTACAAGGGATGACGATCTCAATATAATAATAGTTGATGATGAAAAATTCGACTTGAAAAGTAAAAAGAGAGCAAAGAGATCAAGGATTATCCTCCAATGTTACAGTTAGTTGGTCTATTTCTCTGATGATATTTTTAAGGAAAAAAAACCGCAAAAAAGTGAGAAACTCCGAAGGGGATTGAGGATTTGTTAACTGTGATTATAACTTACTCACTGCGACAGTCGTAAAATGTCGTAGATTACTCTTAGTTCCTCTATAAATTGCTATTCTTTTCTCAATTGAGATGCACTGTGCTACACAAGGCATTCTCTCTTTATTGTTTTGTACGAGTATATGTTGTTCATATTAGTTTTTGTTAGGTTATATACCTTGAATGTTTCTTGAATATTTATAGTCAGTAAAAGAAATAAAATAATATAGAGTATCTCGGTGTTTATACTACTTGTTCGCTCAAAACATTATATATATCGCAATGCTGTATGCTAACAATCTTATTGAACTACATCACATGAATTACAACAATATTCTCCCGGCGTAATAACAAGAACACACAGGGATATTGTTAATTAGCTACTTGGCGACAATATCTTTCTCTCCTCTTCATTCATAAGAGTAAGCACAAACAAAAAGAGGGTTATATTGTCATAGTAGTAGAATTAATACTCTTGTCCCCCCNTGTCCCCCCCCCCCCCCACTAATAATATAGTTTGTTTATGCAATGAAGGTCTCAATTACAATGATCTTTCCAAAATAATAACCACTAACTAACAGTTTTAAACTGCAATGGAAATTTTCCCACAACGGAAGCGGCGAGGAACGGCCAAAGAACGAAAAAAAAATTGAATTCGCGATTTCCTGAGTGAACACCTTTGAGTGAATTTTCTTAGGGGCAAAGGTACATAGTAATAATAATAACACTACAACTCAACGTCGTCGACAAACAACAACAACAAGAACACCAATTTCATTATATAAGATAGAAGTTCTCCCTTAAAAGAAACTGTTATTATATAGTTACATTTAACACTTACTTTGGTCCAATAATTGAATCGCCAATACAATCATATTACAATGAGTCTGTACTCTAAATCTACCGTTGCACAATTGAAGGAACTTCTAACGCAGAGAAGCTTGCCCTTAGATGGTTTGAAGCAAGATTTAATTTCTAGATTAGAAGAAAATGATAAGACTAATATCGATGCCACCGCTGAACCAGTGGCAGCTACCCCAGTAGTTGAGACTGTCGCCGCTGCTGCTGTTACTGCCCCTGTTATTGATGTTGCTGCTGTTGCTGCTGTCCCTGTCTCAGATCTTATCGAATCCACTACTGAGACAGTTACTACTAACACTACCACTGATAATGCTGATGAACCTGTAGTAGAAACCGTCACTAAAGAAACTGTCGTTGAGGCTGTTACTCCATCACCACAACCTGAACTAACTAAAGAAGAAATTACTAAGTTAGCATTAGAACATTTAGGTAAAAAAGTTCATAGAGCTAAAAAATTCGGATTAGAACAAACTGAAATTGATACTCTTGAAAAATCAATTGCACGTATTGAAAAATTCGGTGTTGATATGCAATCTCCTTTGGCTATAGAACTAGGTTTAGTTAAAAAACCTGTAAATAATCAAAATCGTCAACATAATAAGAACAATACAAAGAAAAATAAGCATAACAACAACAGAGGCAGAGTTACCAAAGGTAACAACAACAACAGAAATAGGCCAAGATACTGAACGAAGCAAAAGAAAATAAGAATAATAACTTATATATTAACATTTGTAACTGTAGTATAGTATAAGATTTATACATAAGAAACAACAACTAAACCTTCAAAGAAAAGACTATCCTTCTCTTCTTTATTTTATATAAGAATGATAATCTAACACATTTAAATATTTTATTTTTCTTGATTTCGTTAATAAGTTTTAATGCAAAGATGATATCAATTCACAAAGTCTATAAAATGAATATAAAAGATATATATATGTGTATAGATTTCTGGTAGCAAAATGAGAAAGAAGAAAAAAAGATTAGTTTTCTTTCACGTTTATTAATTAGAATTGATGGATAGGTTGTGGTAAATTACCATTTTCGAAAGAACTTTTCATTGATAAATTAGTCTTTGGTAAGATATTTAATGGTTTTATTGAATTAATCTTTGGAGCATCATTCTTAGTAGAAATTCTCTTAATGATATCATCGAATAAAGCCACGCTTGGTAATTTTTCCATCGTCGTACCATTCGTTATGGTTGGTTGTGGTGATGTTGATAATAATGATGATATTGGTGCAGGTGCTTGAGCAGGTGCTGGAGTTTCATTAACTTGAAGAGAGACAGAGCTTAACATATTAAGACCATTTAGATTGTTGTTGTTGTTGTTATTTTGTATATCCTGGTATTCCAATTTAATTAAAATTTGAATAATATCATTTAATGGTGATAAAACAGAATCAAATCCAAAATCTTTTACTAAAGAACCAATTATCAAATTAAATATTTTGATTTTATTTGATACAGGTTGGATTGATGATTGTAATAAAATTGGATCGATAGATTGTAAAATATCAATAACAATGTCATTAAATAAATTTTCTGTAATCTTATCAATATAATCTTGTGATGAAGATTTAACTCTTAACATACCCAATAAAGAATCCTTTAAAGTCATTACAAAGTATCTTTCAATGACAAGAGATATGGAGGCTCTTATAGATGTTTGACCTAATGTTTCTAAATTAGCAAATTGTTGTGCGTTTTGTGAATCATAGGATTCAATCGTTGATAGTAATGATGTCGATTGTTGAATATTGGATAATAAGTTTTGTTTTAAATTGAATGGAATTCTTGATTGATCAAATCCATTTTTTATATGTTCTGATAAGTTAATCTTAATGAGTGCTCTTAGCATAGATTTGATAGGTTCATGAATATTATTATTATTATTATTATTTGTTAAAGAAGATGAAGAATTTGAAATAGTTGGTAAAGGTAATGTAACCATACTATTTGAAGTTGAACCTAAACGATGATTCAAAGGTTGTTTTGGTAAGATGAATGTATTATTAGTACCAACAGATGAATTTGTCTTTGCAATCAATTGAGATGGAGAAAATACAGGAGAAAATGTAGTAGATGCAGAATGTATCATATTTTCATTAGAATCATCATTATCTGAAGAAGATGCTGAAGAAGAAGAGAGTGAATTATTATTGTTATTCCCAATCAATAAAGTAGCAATTTTATTTGGAGTAGGTTTACTATAATCCATAGAAGAGATCGAAGAAGATGTAGATGTAGAGGATTGGATAGTATTATTGAATCTGATAGTACTACTAGATGTCGTAATAGATTTATTAGTATCAGTTGAACTATTAATTCTACTTAAAGTTTTCTTCTTAGAACGTTTTCTATTTCTTCTAACGGATTGGACAGCAGCAGTTACTAATTTTTCAAAATCTGAAGTTGAACCCCAAGGATAATTAAATTCACTTCTTAAAATATTAGCAATCTGTTTAATATTATCATCTTGTTCAGATGCTTTTCTTTCACTTAGACCAAAATGATCAATTAAAGCTAATCTTCTACTTGAAAATTTTTTCCATTTTTTTGAATCTGTAAAATTTAAAGCATTTCTTATTTTGTGAGTTGTACCATGTCCTGAATTTTTTGAAATTTTAAATTTATTATCGTCATCCATTATTAACTAAATAAATTTAATATTGTTGTGTATGTGTATATGTATAAGTGAAGAGTAATAATAATAATATGAAAGAAAGAAATAAAAAGATGAAATATAGAAATATTTATATTTATATATATATATATATATATAATTAAATGAGAAAATGTGTCTCTTTATATATAGATGGATGATTCAAGAGAGAGAAGTATTTATTAATAATAAGTTAATAAAATGATTTAAAAATTTAATTTCTTCACATTCCTTCTCTCATCATCGATCAACTAATCGTTTTGTTTAATAACAATGAAAAGTAAGTAAAAAATATAAATATATAATCATGTATAATACGTTATTATTGAGTAAAAGAATGGGAGTTACAAAGAAGTAGAGAGAGAGGGATAGAGGGAGGGGGCATATAAAATACAGTCTTACCACTAACCATAATAATAAGAAATAGGTGACTAAAGGTAATGAATGAATGAATATGTAATGCGCAGACAAAGACAGAGGGCAACAACGAGAAAAAGAAACAAGTATATAATGACGAGTGGCAAAACCCGAAATAACAATAAAAAACTGACAAAATTCTTATGAGAGGAAGAAGAGAATGGGAGGGGGCGGTCATAATAATAGAGAGAGAAAGAGCATTAAGCTGAATATTTTTACATATTATTATTGCTCGAATGGATATAGTCACAAAGAAATAAAGTCATCTAATAAAATAGTAATAAAAAAATGGGCCATCTCTGTTTCTTGCTACATGAGTTTCTTAGTAAATGAAGCGAAGGTGGCTTTTTATTAGCCAATCACTATATAACAAAATATATATTATGTACCGTGAATTTGTTCTTTCAACTTCCGAAAACATAATAGTATTAACAACTGAAAATTAGTAATGAATGAGTCGCTTTAATTATTTGTCATAATATAATATAATGAATGGTTGCCGTTGTTGTACGTGAGTTTCTGTATTTTTTTTTGATTTCAACAATTTTTTTTCTGTGTTTTTCTGGAATATAAAATATTGCGCATATAAATACGTATTTACTACTATATCCGTGGTTATTATATGCCGACGGAGACCGGAAGGATTAAAATAAGTATTTATTTCGGTTATGTAACAACGAAGCGGGGCAAAAAATTGTTTTTTTAGACACATAATAAATATTTATTAACCAAACCAAGTCTTTCGTACGTACATCTTTTATTATCGCTAGAGAGAGAGACTAAACTAATCCTGATTATGACGATATTCTTTCGTAATAATGCGTGTGCTTATTTCATTTTATTTTTGTCCCTATTTATCTCTATGGATATTTGAATGGATTTTTTTTTAAATATATGGACAGATTATATGAAAGCAAGAAAAGAAGAGTCTTCCGAACTGATCCGATTAATTTATTTTTTAAAAAAGAGAGGAACCCGGATATAATAAGAACTTAAGAAATGGCATCAATATTATTATATTCATATCTATGTTTATTTCTTGTATAAACCGTTACGTGTTGAGTAATTTTATTTTTCTGTCTCTCTCCCTCTAAGAAAAAAAAAAGGATTCACATCACATGTCTCTTGTCTCCCATAGCAAAGAGATTATATTGTTGAGAATTATTGGATCAGACAGACTCAACTATAAGAACAACTATTGTTATAATAGTATAATGGTGTAGGATGCATATAGAAACTGCACCCATACACTACGGAGAAAAATGGAGAAACAAAAAGAGCTGATTCTTTTTGTTTCTCAGAGATACTGCCGTGGCGATACGATTCCGCTTCTTTTCTTTGTACTAAATTTCTTTTTTCAACAGTATTAACTAGATATATAATTTTTTTGATTTGGTTGAAATGAGTCTTTCGGCCACGCAAGATTCTGGGAAAAGACTCAATTTTATTCTTGTTGTCGCATTCATTTTCTTGATTCTCCAATCTTAAGAATTATTAACTGTGTTTGCTACTTACCATCCTGGAAATTATTTTCTTTTTTTTATTCATTGTAAATGATTATACAATAATAAAGAATTTTACTACTAATCTCTCTGACGAATAAATAATAATCATATGGTAATTGTATTATTGTATTATTGTATTATTGTATTATTGTATTATTGTATTATTGTATTATTGTATTCAACTTAGAAATTAAAAATTCTTTACGAGCATTCATCCCATCATGAGCACCAAATGAATCAAATCGCAGAAAGAAAGAAAGAAAAAAGGTCACTCGTAGTAAAAATGAAATGAAATTAAATAAAATAAAAAAGCAACTTACAATTGACACATAAACGTTCATACAATGTTTTATGGTCGTTCCAAAAAAATATTATGATAATAATATTTGTACCATTTTTTTCTTTCTCTCAGTTGATTCTCTTAAATTACCATACATGACTTACTGCCTGCTATTCACGAACTGTGTCTCTCATATCTTGGGGTGAGATTTACCTTATTAAGAACATAAAGTACGATATTAGGACATAAAGATGGCGGTACTACGAGGCAAACACTATCTTTTAAATCATCATCCCTCATATAATTTTTATTTTACGTGTGTCTCCCCCTTCTTCTCTTTCTTCGTTCAATTTATGATCCCAAGGATATAGTGCGGCGTTTGCCCTTCCTCCTTGTTCTTTCCTGATCTTACATTTGTCTCATCATCATTTTTGTTTGTTTGTTTGTGTTCAAGGGATGGTTACTGCAAGACTTTCTGTGTGTGTCTCCTTCTATAACAAATCGAATTATATGTATGTTACACCCATCCATATTAGCCACACGCACAGACATATTTTAGAAGGAAACAAAAAGGAAACCGTTGTATTTTTTACTCTTGGATTGCCCCGCACCTTGCAAAAAAAGAAGGTGCTTATTTGTTTCTTAGGCGGATCGTTCATTTTATTTTTGTTTTTCTTGAAATTTGTTCGGCCGAAGTTTCTCTTTTTCACTATCTTTCTTCTCCCCATATTTCAAACAATATATATATCGTGACTTCATTCCGTTCCGCGGGTTGTTGGTTGGCCGCCCCGATTATCCTTTTTAATCTGGGCTTAGTCGGAATACCATATCAGCCGTGGCAAAAAGGGAAACCTGAAAGACGCCCCCTCCTCCCCCCAGATGAGCTGAGCTGAGGGGACGGATCCAAGAAGGAGGAAAGGCGGTATCCTGATTTGATCTGATTTGATTTTCTTGTATATACAAAGGACTAGATATCAAACATTTACATTTTGGTTTTGTTTTGTTTTCATAGTAAGCTTTTACAGATCTGAAGTTTCTAGCTATATCTATACACTTCTATGATTCTTGAATTATTATCATATAATTAAATAAAGAAATATAATATTTATGTATTAAAAAAAGAAATATATATTGTTATGTATATGAGATAAAATAATATAATATAGCGCTTATTATTTGATTGATTGATTGATTAAATCTTAAGGAAGGCGAAGAAAAAGATATATCTATTATAATTTACTCTTTTCCTTGAATTGATCCTCCGTAACACCTTCACCCATGGCAGCAGTAGCACTAACACCACCTTGTGCAAGTTTTAAAATACCATCAATATATTCTGCACCTGACCATTTTTGATGCTTCAAAACATCAACACCATCATCCATTTCCTTTTGTTGAATATTTTGTGCATATGCTTTCATACCATCTTTTTGGAAATCTCTTGCAAATGCATTGATTGATAATGCTGTAGTATGAATACCTGCTAATGTAATAAATTGCCAAACATAGCCTAATTTACCTAATCTATCAATAAATGTATATTGTTCATCAACTGACATAGCTTTTTGCCAATTAAATGATGGAGATAAATTATAAGCTAACCATTTATTTGGATACATTGCTTTAACACCTTCAGAAAATTCAATAGCTTGTTCATAATCTGGATAATTAGATTCCATCCACACTAAATCAGCATATGGTGCAAATGCACGAGCTCTCATTACTGCACATTGTGTACCACCTCTATAACGATATAAACCTTCACGAACTCTTGGTAATTCCCAATTGAAGTATAATTCATAACCTAATAATTCTTGAGCTAATTTACGAGCTTCACGATTAGAAGTTTCAGTTAATGGACCAATTTTAGAATTGAATTGTTCAATTAACGCTTGTTTATTAGTAATATTTGAATCATTAGTAACTGCATCAGCAAAAGCTTCATGGAATAATTTTAATCCAGCTTTTTCGCTCCATTCTTTTTCAATTTGAGAAAGTTTATTACCATCAGCACCTTGACTGATAGCAATTTCTAAAGTTTCAGCTAATGAATATTCTAAATCTGGATTAGTGGCACCAACAATGAAATAGTGATCTCTAGAATCAATGGTTGAACTAATTAAAGTAGCAGCCTCAGAATCAGAACGTGCAACAATAACTAAGTTAGAATTCATAACATCAGCACACATTCTAATAGTAACTAATCTGTTAATATGTTCTTGAACAGGAATAACACAACGTCCTGCCATATGACCACATTTTTTGTTGGTAGATGTTTGATCTTCCATATGAATACCTGCAGCACCACGTTCAATAAACATCTTAGTCAATTTATAAACAGCGGTTAACCCACCATGGCCTGCATCTGCGTCTGCAACAATCGGAGTTAAATAATCAATGTTTGAACCCATTTCTTCTAATTGAGCTGGAGATGTAGCATTTCCTCTAACTTCGAATTGTTTTCTGTCATGAAATTGTTGAGCTTTGAATATATGATCAACCTTGTTTGGAACAGTATCCATAGGATAATCTGCTAAATCTGGACCTGGTTCATTTGAAGTAGATGCAGTTGAAGAACATTGCCAGCCTGAGATATAAATAGTGTCTAAATATTTAGCCATTTGAGTAATTTGAACTGGATCCATTACACCAAAAGTTCTTGAAGCTGTGCCATCATCATTATGTTTTGCTAGAACTTTAAATAATTTATCGGCCATAATAGAAGATGGATAAGTGACAGTTTCGAAAGTACCACGTCTTAAAGCAATATCCTTTGCAGAATA